ACATATTAATACATAATACTACGCCAGGTCGTAAGAGACCAGAAAAAAAAAATGTAATAACGAGCACACAACACAACAAGCACATGAATTTTACGATGAGCCTTTTGCGTAAACTCACGCTTACACCTCATCTCCCTTTCATACTTTCGGGCGTCGTCTCCCTCGTACTACATAGGTTACAGGTAAGGCACATGCTTATCTAGACTTTCAACTCTATTTTAAAGTCCACGATAGCATATATGCGTACGTATGTATGTATGGATGGATGGATGGATGGATGGATGGATGGATGGGCCGATGATGTATGGGCCCACGAGAGAAATAGGACCAAAGTTTAAGAAGTCGTCGGACCCTGGTTAAGATATCGATGAGCATAATACCCTCCCTACGGTACGAAGGGGTTATCATATATTATCTACCTACCTACCTAGTTAACCACTCTATCGAAGATAACTGCCCAAGGTAACTAAGACTTTATTAGAAAGATTTATTCTATATCCTAAGAGACGAAACTAGGTATAACCACCAGGTAGCTACTTAAATCCAAAAAGTGTTGGTTATAATATTATTTTCTTATAGATCAGAAGAAAGTACCACTTTGCATAGACCGCTTCGGGCCTATTTACATCTCACAGCCGTGAAATATACTATGCTGTCTTCCACATATCGTCAACTCTAGCATGGCTATGGTTTGTCTTAACCTATAATTAACTATACAATCTAAAAGACTCGGAATAGGATATCCTTGTATATGAAAACAAGTAGTCAGTCACTATCAATAGCTCTATCCTCACCATATAGCCCCCGGGATTTTGGGATACGCTGAATATAACTTTACGGTATGGATAGGTAGTTTATAGTTCTACTTAAGAACATTTTTAAATCAAATGGGTAGGCATTTGTGTCCGCTTCTTTTGAGCATCAAATAATATATGAAACCTTATCATTAGACACACCGCGTCTCCGTTACGTTCAAATCGAATAGGATAAAATAAATATGTATATGACCCCATATAACGCCATGCAATGGGACCTTAGGCTCTTGGAATGAACTATTAATAAACACGAACGCCCTGTCATCACTCATGACGTCGGAAAAGCAGCATAACCGATCGCTCTCTCTCTCTGTGTCTTGCACACACACTTTCTCTCAGCGCTTTACGCGCTCCCCTTGGTAGACTCGACTTCGCTGCCCAGTTCCCCAGGCCTCTTGGGATCAACAAGAGCCGAGTACCTCTCGTCGCCCCAGCGAGCTCCGATCGTGACCCAAACATGCTTGCTGGGCCCGCTGTGCATAGTCTCGCGGCAGCCCGTCCACTGCTGTCGGCGCTCGCGATCCATATTACTGTTACCCAAACCACCGTTCACAACCCACTCCTTGATAATATTCTTGATGAACTCGATCTTTCGGCGGAAATCGTTGGCCGTGGGAATACCCTGTAGCATGGGGTTAATCTCCGGTCGCTTCCGTGTAGCGTTACGCGTTGGTCGGATAGCCGGCTTAGCAGCAAAATTTAGGAGGGTCTGCAGCGGATAAGACAGAACAGCTCTCTCATCAAGAGCAGTCTCGTCTAATTCGCCCGTAGTTGCTAGCTTCTCAGCTGCTTCCTGTGGGAGGTGCCAGAAGTGACACCATGTTCCGGTCGCGTCGAGGACAATCTTCGTATGGTCGGGGAAGTTGAATTGGAGATGACCATCGGCAAAGACCCAACAGCCTACGTCTCCAATTCGCTGGTAGAAGGTAACAACGTCGCTCGGGGGCATCGTCTGCTTAGTAGATGTGGGAATCTGTACCAGACCGGTGTCGTCCGTTGTGGCATCTTGATCCCGCCCGTACGCCATCATGTAGTTGGCAAACTTCTTCCACAAGATAAGATGCTCCCGCTTGCGGTAGTCAAAGATATCGCGGCCCACTGGTATCTTCCCGGGGGTTCCATCCGGGCCTATGCTGATTTTAAACTGCGAAGGATGAACAAAGACTGTGGATAATCCAGACTCGCCGTTGTTCTCGTAGAATTGTACCGCCTGGCTCATGGGAACAATCTGACTCCGATCAGTATATCCAGGATCGTGCCGTCGCGAGCAGTGCTGTTCGGCCTCCCGAACTAAGATGCAGCTTGGCGGTAGTGTAACCGTCTTGCCCCCTTTAGCACTACCAGGTATGCTCTTGAGCACGCAACCAACACTTCCATCGTTCAGGATATAACCCAGACCAAACTTGTTGGAGTAGTCTACCCACTTAACGACGATATGTGGTGGCGCCGGTGTTGGTCCTTTGCCCATAATGGCCATCGATCTAGAGTTAAGGGCACGCTCGATTTCATTCTGCAAACGCTGGAGTCTGTCTAGCACAAAATCGGGCTGTGTATCCGGTACCGCCATCTTGCGTTCTGCAGGTCCAAATAAAGTCCCCGTAGGGATTTCCGTAGGCACCTTCGTTATTCTAGACGTTGTCTCTCGCTCAGTCTGCTTCTGAGGGAGTGCTTTCTCCTCTAGTACCGGGGCAGGCAAACGCGGCTCCGCTGCTTTGGGTTGCTGTGTGGTTGATGATAGAGTTAATGCAGCTACTTTTGATGCGAGACTATTCTCTGATGTGCTCTGAACGAGTTCTCGCTTTGGGCGTGACGATCGCATAGTACTAGTAGCACTAGGTGCGTGCATATCATCCAACGTACGAGATCGTACTATACCAGATGGCTTTGCTGGGCGACTTTGTGCCCGCTGCTGTGCTGCAAAACTCTGGGGCGGCGCTCGTAATAAACCGTTGATTCCTCCTTGCGTTCCCGTGCTTTCATCTTCTTTCTTCGAAATAGGTTGCGGGGCCGCGCGGGAGGGTACTTGGACGAGATTTTGCTCCCTGCTAACATCATCGTAAGGTCTATAAACAATCCCTTCCACAAGTGGAATAACCGGAGTGAGTCCAGCTTTTTCTTCTAGTGCAACTTCTCTCCAAGTGCTCTTGTATACTGATTGAGCGCTGTTCCAAGGCCCAACCTCACAGCTCCTACACATCTCCTTTAGGTTACGCATATTCTGAGCGGCCATCCGCGGTGTTAGTTCCTTATCGTAGAAATGATTTCCATCGGGTGGGTAATCGCGTAGTTTTATTGTTATTTCTGCCGACGTCGGGATATAGCCTGAGAGGAAGAAGTCGTGTTGGACAATGGTGTCAGGGTCAGGCCGTAGCTCTGCCTCTTCCAACATAGTAGCGACAACATCCTTCGCTTCCTCAGAGATATACTTGTTGGAACTTTCTGGTTTAGGCCATTCATAGTCCCGATTTTTGGCACGACGATAGATCTCATCTGTCGTCGAAGATTGGAAGGGCGGCTTGGAGGTGAGCATGGCAAACCTATTACCGTCTATTAGTTATGAATCGCGAACGAGATGATATGCTTGACTCACATGATGATACCCAAGCTCCATATATCGACCATATGGTCATGTCCTTTCTTTCCCTTCTCTAAAATCTCGGGTGCAATATAATTCGGTGTCCCGCACAATGTCGTACGACGAATTGTTTGCATGTCTTTGCCTGTAACCAGCAGTGCCGCCAGGCCAAAGTCGCCAATCTTGGTATTCATATCCTTATCGAGAAAGATGTTGCCCATCTTCAAGTCTCGGTGAATTATGCCTTTGGCATGCATGTATTTGATAGCACCAGCGATCTGTATCGAGTAAAATCGCACCTCGGGTTCTGTCAATCCCTTTCTTCGCTTAACCATATCCATCAACGAGCCATTAGGACATAGCTCCAGAACGAGATAAGTACAGTTCTCAAAGGAAAAGGCCCTGAGAAACTGGACAATGTTTTGGTGCTTCATTTTAGAATGAATTTGCAATTCGGTTTGAAACTGCTCGAGTGGTTAGTCTTGAGGATAGCCAGCAGCTGTCCTCTAGTGATCACCAACCTTTTGCTCCATCTTAGACGGCATTTTACTCTTGACGATTTTTAGTGCATACTTCCTCCTACTTTTACTCCCTGCCAGATATCCTTCATAGCAGACGGCGAAGCCACCCTTCCCAAGCATTTTCCCGACTTGATACGCGGCTCCATCTTTGCGATCAAAGCTCGGCGGCTCGTAGACAACGGGAGGGGGCTGTGGCGGGGGCTCCTTTTCCTTTTGGACAGCTTTGGGGGCCGGCATCGCTTTAGCTTTCGCAACGGCTACCACCCGGTTTGGGAGCTGAGCATTAGCATCTCTCGGGGACAAGGCGTCCGCATCAGCTGCCAGCTTCGCCGCCAAAATTCGGTCCGCCATCGGGATGCTGTGCTGATGAAGTACACAGGGTCAAACTTAGAAAGAAGCACGGTACGGCCGCAGCTTAACGGACGGTCTTATATTATGATGTTGAGATTCCTAGACGCGACCGTTAGCACGTTTACTAGTTACCATCACTCGAAGAAAGGTTTTTCTTTCTAGTGGCAGTTTCATAACAAATAAGAAGACTCCGAATTTTCAATGTACCATCGGAAAAAGTGTGAAATTCAAATTACATAAGGTCAAACCCAAACTTCTGAGTTTATATGGCAGTAATGATGGTCCTTCTGGAAAGTGCGCGCGGTTGATGCGTTTAATGCGGTTGTTGCAATTGATAAAATAGATAGGCGGTGTCACTTACACGTCTTGAAGAGCATTTGAGTCAACAGAAACTCTTCTAAAAATTAGCAATTGTCGCCGAAATCGAAATTCGTCGAACCAATCCCTCGCAGCAAAGATGTTGTGAGAGAAGCAAGAGAGAAAGCTAGGTACGGATCCGTAGTATGCAATATCATTAACGATCCGGTGTTGGACCAAAGAAGCAACGTGCACATAAAAAAGTGGCCCATTCATTTACAAGTAAACGCTGGCGTCGTTGGGGAGGCAACCGCTAAAAACTTCGGTGTTTATCCAATCAGGTATGCCCCTCACCTTGGTGCGATCCACAGCTACTATCGATAAGACAAGCTTCAGTGATTGTAAGCTTCGTTGGCCTTGTAGGTGGGGAAGTAGAAGCCTAGAAGGTGCTTCCAACGATACCTTAGGTACAAAACCTAACTGACATGCTTGCTTGTTCCCTAAACATCCGAAACCTTACTCGAATCTCACGATCCATACTATCGAACCGAAACCTACTTCCTAAAGGAGTCGAGGCGAGATGGTTGCGCTGCCATTATTTAAATTAGCATCCTTGTTCCTAAGGCATATTTCCAAATATGGCGCTGTACGGTCATGACTTAGTTCGAAAATGTAGCGTCATGAACCAAGTGCTGACGACAATGATCAGAATCAAATCAAGGTGCAAGCCCACGACCATCCGCGCTTCCGCCGTCTTGCCGCCAAGTATGGCCAATCGATTCACCAGTTGAACATGCGTCTATCCGTAGCATCCCTAAGAAACGTCGAGGCGGAAATAAGAGCAAAGGAGAAGGCCGAAGCACCGACAGTAAAAACGAAGGAGCAAATAGAGAAGGAGGAGGAAATTCGTGCTAAGCACGGCACGACAAACCAAGGGACTCGTACCCAAAAGTCCTTGCCTATAATGAGCGTCTGGAAAAGGAAATTCAGGCCTCTCCCAGAAGCTAAGGCGGTCGACCTATTTGCGGATGTGGTTGGCGATGCCTTTATCCTTTTCGTGGCCACGATTTTGATATTATATGAATACCACAGGTCCTCTCAAAAGCCGGACCCCAACCAGGAGAAGCTCAAGGAGCTCAATGCCCGCTTTGACGAGCTTGATAGGAGAGAAAAGGAGCTCGAGGAGGCTGAGAGGCGTCAGCAGAATCGAGTATTGATACTCGAGGAGGCTTTAAGGGGATTTAAAGACCCAAAAACCCACAAGCCACTCTTGCCTCCAGCGCCTACGGCATCGCCTCATGCTTAATAAGTAGACAATAACTGCAGAGTACAGGTCTACTACTTGGGTAATTGGTATATGCTTACCATACCATATGATCTAACGAATGTATAACAATTATATATAAAAAGCCGGCGTTGCTAGATGGTTATGGGCAAAGATAGAACTGTGTGTCTATGACAGCTTAGTAGAGCACAAGTATCAACCCCCCTTAGATATTAGACGCCGCTCTCCCGTATATTTCAACCCGATATATTCACTATTACTTGAATATAAGACAGCCCCTCGGCTCTTTACTCAACCAGTTCGTCGTTGATGTCTATTCTGGTACCATTATGATCATCTGCAGGTGTTGACTTTGACACTTGTATAACTAAATACTTAAATACCAGGTGTAATTATTTCTATTTATCTATACATATATGTTGACTATATGATTAGGTGCCTTGATCAAGATAAATATATCAATATAAAGGCACTACGAACACCCAGAGGTTTAAGTTCATTATAGGGGCCTCTTCGTGTGGTCGGTAATGAAGAACGGAAAGAACGATATGAAACCTTGTCTAGGAAACTGGGCTATTTCATATAATTGACTTTACTTGCATTAGTCAACAAGTACATACATTATATTACAAATAGGCAATAACCTACGGAAGGAGCAACTACCTGCATATAAACTTCAGGGTCAGAACTTACCTAGGTGAGGCTTAGAGCGTGTATCAATTCCCCTACGTACATAGCTACATGCAGGTATGTAACCTAGACTTTAATTACAACGTCTCAAGTTAACTCTTGTTTTACTTTATACGGCCACAACTGACGACGATTACTACGAGGTTTCAATTCCATTGCTTTTCAACAGGTCATTATCGAACGTGGAAATGTCGAATCCTTTAGTCTGCTACTCCTTGCGTAAGCGCCCTGTTTGGGCCTCCTTAGCCGAGGCGCTTCTACAGGGAGGCAACAGCACCAGATGGAAAGGTACATCTACAGAAATGCTTGAACAATGTATAACCTGTCGTACGATAGCGCTAAACCCAGATACTAGAGGCTAAACTTGATACCCACGATGTGGCTCTCCCTTTACCGAATCCTGGCGCTACACCACAAAGGATTCTGCGGGCTCTTCTGCTGTCACCGCCTGACGTTGGTAAGATTGAAAGTCGAACCCGGATTCAACGACTATTTCACCTAAATGGAGGGCAAGACATCGCGATCGTGTTCTTGCTTCAAAAAGGGCAGGGCCAAGAAAGCCCTATGACGGCGCTTATGACACTTCAGCTAGAGTGAGACATAGTTCTTCTCCTTGGTATATCTAGTCCATATGTTGCCCTAGTATGGCTAGGCTGACGAGATATAGTCTTGTCGATGAATTTGAAATACCTATTATCCTCGTTAACTCGGTTCAAGACGTATCGATCAACTTGATGGCATTTCATCGTCAAATCAGTATTAGCAATGGATCCCGGAGGACGGCGAACCCAGTTCAAACTCTCCTTCCGTATTGCTCTGACGGACAACTTCTGTCTGAGCATGCGGTTAATGTTCTAACCGATCTCACGTCTAACTTCAGGGATTTTGTGGGAGCGGCGTCGACGCAGGCGGGACAGATGAAAATGGCCGAATTCTTAGGAAGTGACTCGCAAGGCATTGCCTCCTTCTGGGCAAATGAATATCTGGTTGAATGATGGGTCCTTGTAAGTCGGTGGCTTCCTCTGCTGATACCGTCATTACATGTTCGGATTGGCTACGGGATCCAGCCCCTGACTGGAATTGCTCATAAACCATGAGCTGGATGGATGAAGCGCGCTTGAAGAAACCAGCAGTGCCGCATCGAAGCAGTCTCGCTAACTGAGCTTCAAAGTGAAGCGTAATGAGAGGGTTGACAGCAGCCCAGGGCTGAGGAATGTGGCCGTACCGACGACCAGATCAACCCATAGGAATTAGACTATTACGTCTTGGCACTGTAATAATGAAATTATCCAGTTAGTGAGTTCTTACGTGTACGCATACTGATAAGTGTCCTAAGCGCCGGGGCGAGAGGATTGGCGGGCAATGCATTACTGGATCGTAATATAGTATATGTATGGCTGGTTGTAGCGATCGACACTGGTCAACGCGGGTTAGATAAAGATCGGAATCGACCATAAATAGTGTAGATACGAGGATAAGCAAATGCTAATTTGGGAAAAACTAGAGAGGTTGGCTTAGAGACTATTATGTATGTTGACGTCAATAGAACAAAATAGAAAAGGCCCGAGTGGAATATAGAAGTAGTGACCAGATAGATATTGGCTATCTACGGAATTGATTGTGATAGTGACTAGGACAGCTATGTACTGGGCATTTGGAAACCGAACATTCTTTAAGATGTAAATTTGTCGTTCACTCTTGACTGATAATAGACATGCTGCAGGTAGAGTAATATGCACATGCACATGGCTTTTCTCTAGCGGACGTGCTCGTGGGGGTTTAGGCATTAGGAGGGTAACATGGAACTCGCTTACACGTTGGGCCGATGCTACCTAATATCTTCAACGTTCCTGATCCGTTTTAATGGATTTGTAGAGTTGGAATAAGAACTGATAAATCAACCTTGAATCGACTTGTGATGGAGCCAGTAACAGTTGATACTTTAGACTTGTCAACTTGAATGTGGATGGTTGACGCCGGGGCGGTAACAGGAGGGGAAGTCTTATTGGTTAGCTTATTGGTTAGAAATTATAAGTGCCCAGGTAAGCCACTTTGCTTCTCCATGCGCATGTGGCTTTCCCTGTAAGCGAGTCCAATTAGAATTCGGCAGGAACCGCCGTCAAGAATAAAGTTGGCCAATTGGAAATAATCTCACACAGATTGCTCTAAATGTCTCCATTCGTCTCCATTTCGCTTGCGGCACACCGCATACAACACTTGCATATCGAATCCAACTTACGCAATGTAGATCGAATGGCCTGTAAATCTCCCCGGTTCCCGCCATGTTCAATCACCTGACGATGTAAATCGAGACTCATCAGCTACACTAAGAACCTGGTATTACTATTCGCTTTTTCTTACTTTACTTTTGATAGCCCTGTAGCGTAAGGAATGGAAAATGGGGAAAGGCCTCGGCACAACTATGTGTTGTCTAGACCTTTCACGGCCGCCGCCTCGCTTAGAACTGGCAAGTCGATACGGGTTAGGATTCACTCTTACTTACACAGCCGTAGAAAAATTGCATTCTTCGCGGGTAGGCTCAAACGTGGATTGAGACGAGCTGAAATCCGAAAGCTCAGATTCGAAAACCAAAAGAAGGAATCGCAACTTGACTCGTTTGGCTGGTGCTTTTTATTTCTAAGGTGAATGCGGTCGGACCTCCATCGAAATCTCAAACCCTGCCCAGGTGGTCTATATCCCTGTCGGAACAACCCCTGATATATCCCTCGATTTGGTATAGTCTCCCGGATGACGGAGATAACCCTTGCTGCGAACGGCTGGTTGATCTTAACTAGTCGCTTCCAAACCCGATCTGCCTCAGCGTTTTCCCCTGCGAAACTCCCCGTTGTTTGGAAGTTCTGGGCATTCCGTTATCCGAAGGGGCACGTCTCAAATTTGAAATGCCTACCCAGTCGGCCGGAATCACTGCCTCAATTGCCCTGGCCTTGAAGGATTTAACGTTCGATAGTCGATTAGCGACCAGCCTAAGCCAGTTGAGGCGTCACGAGGGGCACGTAGAGGCTCGGATAAGGAGCCATTCACGAGGTGAGATTGAGAGTATTCTTGAGAGCCGCTCCCTGCCGGATTGCTAAGGGATCATCCTCCGAGTAATACCTGAATAGGTGACCGTTTTTTTTTACATGGCTTTACCTAGGTGCAGAGTAATATGTACAACAGACTCTAGACTCCAGCCACTCAGTCCGGCACTATGGAACTGACATCACGTCTTCCAGCGATCTACGGCGGACAATATGGTATCATTAAATATTCCGAATTACTATCTTCGGCAGGCAATGAACAGATCATATCTACATATCTACATCGATAAACTATCAAGCTATTGTATGTAAAGCTTCGAATTGCCGGGGTGATGAGGGCTCAGAGAAGATGGAGACCTTGGGAACATACCACATAACTTTCTTTATCCCATCTGATCCCTGCAAGCAGGGATTCCAGAGACGGGGGGAGATTGGGGTTATTATGCAGCGGAAGCACCCTAGAAAAGCTTCTCATTGGCTACGCAAAGAATTGTAGCCGCCGACGAAAAGCCCAATCACATTGGTCTCCCTCAATAATGGCTATTCTCGACGACCGTCCTCACGGCCGCAATATCAAATATACCCAATACCCATAGCCACAAATATGCAGCATTACCGCCTATTCATGTACCCGCATATCCGGGCCAAGCAGCTTGGTACTCTTTCTACCCAATCGACTGCTGGTTCACATATTGTATCCACCCTGGTTTGTCCAGCCCAGGTTGTGATGAGAGCTGCTACGGTTGATAATCGTCAGACTCTAAACTATTTTGGGTTATTCGCCCATTCTGCACATCATGAAGCAGGGCGCAATATGTACGTACATAGATGCTTTTACATGTCCTCTCTAGATCTTGGCCATCTAAGTATTGGTTCTAAAGACGGCGGTCTCGGGATGGGCTGGTGATACTCTATGCGCTTCTTGAAAGACCCACCCTTCCTTGTCTCTTTCTTAAACTCTCTACATGCCACCTCGTGTCTGAAGACTTTTAGGAGTTCCCCTTCCATAAACGAAGAAACTCGGGACACCTCCTAAGTATCATCACCCTGTTTGATCCCCAACCCTTTTCCCATGCGACGAGCTTGAGCTTCACAACCCCCCCGGCACTAGAACGACTTGGACGAGCTATGACATTATGACATTGTGGAGCAACTACGAACACTTAAAGATACAACTTCAAACACTACCTTGCTCTCTTATATCGCCTCAACCCAGTTGACACTCCGCTGCTGGATAAGGTTGTGGATCATACGTATATCAATTCATAGGCAGGGGCCAGAAAGGAGTCGTTAAAGATTTTCGATGCCGCTCGGATGCATGCTGGAGTTATAGACAAGATCTCAAGAACGTGGGTCTCGAACGAAGCTTAGCACTTGTCGGCCCAGAAACGCCAGATACTACACTATACAACCCCGGCTCAGATCAGTCGGTCCTGACACGAGCCTCCCTCAACGGGAGCACAGCTCCCGGCAGGGGATAAGAGAGCTAAGGCTATCGGCTCTCCAATATAGCTTTTCAGAGCCCCGTCCGGGCTTGGATACTCCTAATTAGTCTCCATCTCTTCTTGTTTTCTTCTTCTCCTCCCTCTTAGCTGCCAGCGCTGTGCACTCGCCGTCGATAACCTTCTTTAATATCGATACTTCTATTCTTCGCCAAGCAGGTCCGGCTACCTGGCATTTCCATTCACTTCACGATTGTTGATTTTCGAGACGGTATTACCTTCTCTCGCTCGCTAGTCGACATTCGTTTGCACCTGGTGTGTGTTTTGTTTGGATTCTTTAGGAGGGCTGAGCGCTTGGATCGTTTGGGGCTTCAGGAAGAAGGGAAAAAACTAGGACGAGAAAGAGCTTTGGAATCTCGAAGAGTAAAAAAAAAAAAAGGGACCGATTTTTATTGAGGAATTCTGAGAAGGAATTGTCAAAATGGGAAAACTCATCAAGAACCACTGGGCCAGACTCATCGTGCTCACAGCCGCAGGTTGTATGTGTTTTAATACTACGGGAAATTTGCAACCCTACTAACAATTTCTTAGATCAAGTTGCTGCCGCGCTCGAAGCATTCTTCTGGCCTAAGATATTCTTCGACTTCATGACGAAAGCATTAGATCCGGCCGTTAAGCCGGTTCCAGCGCTGCAAATCATAAACCTAATTTTAGGGATAGTGATATTTGCTTGGGAATGGCCGTTAAATCTGATCGCCGGAACCTCGATCCACAGGAGCATGGAGGCTCGTCTCGCTACATATCCGCTTGCTGCACTCGCCGCGATTCTTATCTACCAGGGCACCAACGCTGCTATTTATTATCTGGTGGCAATGATGGCTTACTTTTGGGCATATAGTGAAGGCGAGGTATGTTTATTTCTCAACCCCACCCGTTTTAAATTCCAGGACATCAAAGGCTAACCAGTCAACTAGATTGTATGTGCCAAACCATGGACTCTACCACAGCGAGGCCGCTCCGGGGGATCCAAGGCGTAGAGGTAGAACGGCGGCTACCTCACCCTCGGCCAAGCAAAATGCACCCGGGGTCGCGTGTACACGGCAACCTAGCCTCTCTTTTTCTCCCCTTATCCTTTACGTACGCTCCCCTAGTTTGACGTGGGCGCTAATCCTCGAAATACCCCTAATGTTGTGAGGAAGCGAGGAAGCGAGATCCCCCCCGTACAATATGAGCAAGCAGGCTCTTATTTCTCCTTCTAAGGAATGAAATAACCCCGATGTATATGCATATATAATCACTATCTATTAAATAAGGAAGAAAGCATATATTGAAATGAACCTACGCGGTCCCTTTTCCCTGTCTTGTGGAATTATGGCATTTGCAGACATGCATACCTATCTATGTACACTACTAATACACTACATCTCAAACATCTCGCCATGTTCGCATGTGGCGCGCGAATACGCTGTAACCTACCTACCTACACAGCAGTTGCTCGATGCAGTGCAATACAGTAAGTCGGTGATAATACCAAGAGTTGTGAAACCTTGCACAAATCCAAATCCAAATTCAATCTTCAATCTCGTATTTGATGCACCTGCTTTCAATAGAAACAGAAACTAGAAACAGAGACGCAAGACGTCGTTCCATGGTTGACATGTAGCGTCGCGCGGACCTGGGCTGCGTCGTTTCAGATGCTGGCAATTCGACTAGGTTACGAAACGCCGTGTGGATGAGATGAGGCTCGGCCGAGAATACCAGGGTTGGGTTAGTTACAAGATAACTACCTACGTAGGTAGCCATTATGAAAAAGCCATTTTAATTGACAATGATAAAGAATAACAACTAGATTTATCTTCACTATGTGATTAATTCATTCATTAAAATTCATATGTCGCTAGCTACGACTATCTTGCAGATCCATCGCCATAATATTCCTCGTTAGCTAGTAGATGATAACTAGCTATTCCACGAGTATTACATTCGAAATCCGCCTTGGTTGGTAAATCATTGTAACACTTATCCAATGACACCCCCAACTCACCTGAGCGCTGCTCTCCTAATTGATAGTTGATAGCTTGACGCCGTGCAATAGAACAGCGCACCAGGTTGCACCGAGCGCTGCCGGTGAGTTGAATTACGACTCTTATCTGGAAACCTGACCAGTGACAATGGTGCCTCTCTGGGCGTCGTTCTTGGGTCCTTGGCGTTCGGGAAACTGATGTGATTTATCGTCAGTAATCGTGCCATTCTCTACTGTTGGGTCATAAAGGGGGCGGCCTACCTCCGACTCTTGAATTGTGCCGGCCTCTAGTATCTTCTTGATGACTTCTTCCTCGTTAGAGACACCAAACTCGTTCTCGAGTGTACTCTTGGATGCTCCGTCCATCTGGCCCTGAGCTCCTTGCCTGTTGGACATATCATGTTAGTCGCCGTCGGCAAAAGCTGGACATACGTTGGGGGTGTGCATGAATTAGATGGGATCTGTGATTGGCTCCTGGCGTCTAAGGCGAGATCAAGACAGGATCGTTGGTCTATGTCTTTTGCCAGGCCGCCGCCCGGGTCGCACGCTTGGGGGTTAACTGTTGCAGAGATGAAGCGTGGGTAACACCGGTTCAGCCCGCAACCGCCCCGGCGCTTACGGGCTAGCGAAAGCGGCTAGCCAACTGCATTGCCTCATCACAGCCCGCACCTTTCGTGCTGCTGCCGATTATGGGCTATATATATCGTGGTGTCCTTGGCAGAGGTATAGTGATATTATGCTTGGAAAGGCGAGTTGTCTGAGAGGAGAAAGATGGCACGTGCCGAGGTAAAGACTTACTTGTGTGTCACGAAGATCTTGAAGGCGGAAATGAAGTGAGCCATGGGAACGGATTTGTCGTTCTTCCACTTCTTGTAGGTCTCGATGTCGTCGACGAAGATGATGAAGTCGTCTTCCTGGCCCTTGTAGTGGACCTTGACTTGGGTGGTTTCTCCTTTAGTCATATTGGGCGATTTGTGTTGGGAGCTGTATATGTCACAACTTGGTCGTCTCGTGTGAGGTGAGAGGTGAGTGGTGATGTTAGATGTGAAGTTGGAAGAGATAGATAGGTATGTAAGTTGTGGGTATCAAGTTGATAGTTTGTCAAGAGATGTTTGAATGAATGGAGTAACAAAGGAAAGGTTTAAGAAGCAGCTCTAGGCTACCGAAGCTTCAAATACGCTACCGGAAAGCTGCTGTTTCCCTGTCTTGTTTACACATTCGATCATCATGTGGCATGCTCTTGCTAAATAACAGCAACTACGTCATCATTCACATATTGATTTACGTATTTACGTACAAACGGGTAGCTACCCCTCTGATTGTACAGTGTTTGTTCCTGCGTCAGCTCCCCGCGAAAATGACTTACGTCACAGGCGGAGCTTATGACAGGGATCAACAAGTCAACTTAGAAGCCCTTTGTCTTGGCCCCATCCCTTACCAAGTATAAACGACCTTTTCTTGTATCCTACATACTAATTTACTACGTATATACCTACCCTATGCAGAATGAGGCTAATACGAAGGCTCTGGAATAGAGTAGAAAAGACACATAGCTGTTAGAGGTACTTGGGTACATTTCCCCAAAAAGGAGATCGACGTTAGCTTAGGTATCGCCGCATTAGACGGGAGCTGCCGGGCATCACCGAAATAGTATACTGACATACGTAGTATCATAGGGTGGTGAGACAGGTAAGGCTGCATTCCATGAGATAAACAGCGTATGTATAAACAGCGTATGTATAAACAGCGTATGTATTATTACTAAATCCCGGAATACCGGTATAACCGCTAGGCTGGCTGGCTGGCAAAGTGCCGTCGCTCGTAAGTAACTCAAGAACTTCCATTGTTCTACCTAACTAAATTGCTCCGGGGTATAATCATAGTTTGTCTAGGTCCGAAAGCCTGACGAGGCAACTGATAAAAAAAGCAAAGCGTTTTACGGAATCCGGTACCGTTCCGATGCCATCATGAAGAGAGAGAGAGAAAAAAGAAAGAATGGTATAATCCCAAGCCAAAAGCCGTCCAAACCATGTATCTATACCCAACCCTGTTATCAATTATTGAAGTTGCCTTCCTTCATCTAAAGAAGCTTCGAATGCCAGACGCCACCAAACCTCTGTTGATGGCGCCGACTCTTGCCCACTTGTTATTCGTAGGCCTAATATTAGTTAATGTTTCGTGTAATCGATGTTTCGCTCCAAGTCCGTGGTAGATAGTGTCTTCATCCCCAATGGACGACGGAGAAGATCCTGCCGAGAGTGTCGTCTGCCTGCTATCCTGTCGAGTGTGCCTAGATGATGGCGACGATCGTAAAGTATGGGCGCTCATTCCATCTCCTAGCCAATCCAGGTCGAGTTTCAAAGGCTCAAGCTTCAATGTTCCTGGCTGCATGCAGGCATCAATTGCCGATGAAATATCCGGGTTGGGATTACCAAAATGCTCGATCTCATCCCGAATCATTGGGAGTCTTGGCTTGATATCCCCATCGGTTGTACTGACTCTAAGGAGCCTGGACTTTGGTTTGTCACTGTTTAGACGGGTAAGATTATCAACAGAGCCGTTGTAATGTGGGAGCTCCTCTTCGCTCGACTTTGGTACACTGGTAGCGCTTGTAGAGCGCTTCGTAAATGAGCTTGTGATGCTTGCCACGCTCAGCTTTCGCATAACAGTCGAGGCTGAGCTACGGACAAGGTGCTCGCTTTTCGATCGATACGTTATGCCGGGAAAAGGTAACACCTTGCGACTCCAGACATCGGCCAATAAAGCCTCAAGGCGAGCTCGCTCTCCCCGGGAAGGGGTGAGAACGGGGATACGAGAATTGGTCGTCAGCAGCGATTGCGAGCGATTGATTTGCGGGGGGATCGACGATGAATTATCCTTCATCGTACTTGTATTTTTAAGTATAACTTGGCACAATGGCGATTTCGGCCCAACGGTAGTGGCCCTATGAATGGAAAGACGACGAGCAACGGTGCCTGTGGTTGGGGTTAGAAAACATCTGAAGTCTTCAAATGTGAGTCCTGTGCCTACCTGGTTTTCCAAAGATTGTTCCAAGACTTTTTATGTCGAGGAAGATTGAGCTATAGAATATGGGTTCTGATAATTCATACGATTCAATTGAGTTTTGTCGTGTAAGACGACTACGCCACTCCTGTTCTTCCTTTGGAGAACAAGCTGTCATGATAATTTCGTAGAGTTGATGATCACATTCGAAGACCAGCTTCCATGAGAAGGGGGCAGTGTGACATTGGAGGCCTTGATTTGGTTAGCATACTGAAGATGAAACTAAAATGTAAGTTTAGAAATGCCTACCTCGACCATTGTCTACTTCTTCAACCTTAATATCGTTAAGACTGATACAAGCTTGAATGGTATATATTTGGTCTGCTCGGCTGGCTGTAGCAAGGCACAAACAGTCCTTGTATAGGAGCGTAACCATGTATGCGCCGTCCGCACCATCTTTAGTTTGCCAGCACACATGTAGGGCACCACATAGGCGGACGTGTCCGAACGAACGGATGGCGGTCTTCGAAGCCGCGTCTAGCTTCTGCTACACACTTAGAAATAGACTCAACTATAGGGGCTGACGCTACATACCTGATTTGGGAACACAAGTCGATCCTGAAGTAACCAGGTCTGCTCCATTGTGGTTTTCATTCGTGGATCGTCGGCGGCTCGGTTAAGTTCGGCGGTAGCCTCGCGCAGCCGAATGAGAACATTTTCGATCTCCATATGTGAGTTTGGGCAGTCGCATACAGGCGTATACTTGAGAAGTTCGGCAAAAAGGAGAGGATATCTGCATATCCTTTGGATTGGCTTCTTGCTATTAGCGAAATTCCTGACATAACACAACGCTATGGCTCACCTTAACCAAGAGATCGCCAATAGTCAAGGATTTCTTGGAGTGGTCAAGATGATAGTTGGTAGCGCCTAACGAAGCTGCTAATGCTTCCAGCCCTTTTTGGTAGGTCTCCCATTCAGGTAGCGTTCGATGAGCGGACGCGACATCCTTGATCATCATCTCATATTTCGCACCATACTCTTCGTAGATGAAGAATCGATTCATCTGCTATGATATCAGCAAAGCTGTACAACTTGGTTACAGTGGGACCGAGAATAGAATTGTTACTCAAAAATCGTGTACATACCCTCTTGCCAAACACATGAGCCACCTCGGCCGCAATAGCTGGCTCAGCTACCACACTAGGTATGCCTTGGAGCCAACTGGAAGAAACCCCATCGTCCTCCGAAGTAGAGTCAAGACTCCGCCAGCGGTTATGGCTTTTAGAAGCTGTTGATTTCGGGATGACCGGAATACATTCAGGTTGCGTGTACTCGGAGTTAGGTACTACCCGATGAAGTTCGCCGAGAATCTCCTCGTGTAACTCAACAATATCTGTCAGATTACGGTTGATAGAGGAGCGAAGTCCCATATGCGGTGATGGTAAAGAAGCTAATATTGTGACATAAACCTGAGTTGAGTTCAATTAGTGCCGGGAGCTTAGTGATATCAACAGGGCAAGTACATACGTTCATGAGAAACTTGACATCTCCAATATAGCTTTCTTCCGTGTTGATTATCTCCTCTAGGATACGTCGCCTTTGAAGTAGCCGTTCCGTCACCCCTGTGTCGTTTGATACTGTTCGCTCAAGGCACGTGCTATCCTCGGAAAACCGCGGTCCTGATGTCGATCCTCTGCTACTAAGGTCCGCCCTGCTATGGCCTGACGATCGTGTAGTATATCTCCTTGGCCGAGTGATCACGCTAGCGCTTGCAAGACTGACGCTGGCGCTTCTGACGGCGGTAACAAATCCGAAAGAGGAACCAGAAAATGATTTCCTGTGACCGTCCGTAGATAAGGTCTCATCTTCGAGCGTGCGTTCTGAAAATTCGGGGAAAGACTCGGACCGGCTACGACTGCGGCGTGTAACAGGACGATGTGCTCGCTTGTGTAAGTTCTTCATCCACTTATGAAATGGGCCTACTGGCGGTGAAGGAGTTTCTGAGTACCCAACATCGGCCCCGTCATTCTCGAAAGTAAGTTTAGGAAATCCAGTCGAATGTGTCGTTTCTTCTTCGTTATTCTCTAAGGTTAAACCAAGGGCAGCTATATTATCCAACGTCTTCCAAGCCTCTTCGCAGTCGTTACGAAATACATCGGCATCTTCAAAGCTTAGACCTAGATCAGGGGCGGTTCGATTCAGCTTAAGGGCTGCGGTCCAATTGGTCTGACCGGCAACGCGTAGGGAGCTGGTAGTATGTGAACAAGGTCGAAGAGAATCGTTGTTCAAAACGGCTAGGGGCATGGTGATGAAGGGCGGGCCAAGAAATGCGGACCAAGAAAAAGTGAAGATGCAAAAATTGTCACCCAAGACACCAAAACCAACCGGCTAGGACTCGATTCAAAACATAATGATCAACAACAACAACAACGACAAGAGAACTATGTAGTGGTGGTAGATGAGCTGGAAGACGACGTGTCTCCCCTCGGGAGCATGGTTGATGCAGGTGATACTGCAAGTTGGGACATGCAGTAACCCTAGTTATTGGTAGAGAGAAAGAGAGATAGAGACGGGGGACCTCGAACGAGTGACAGCAGAGCTGACTTCGAGCCTGCGAAGGAAAGAAGCGAACAGCAATAGCGAATGGGCGTAGTGGGGGGGGAGGAGGGAACAAAGCAAAAAAACAATTGCTACATATGTAAGCTTCCTTTACAAAAACAATTGTTACTATGTAGGTAAAAAGCTAAGTAAAAAAAAAATAACTACATAGCTGGCCGCGAGCAGCTCCTACCTGCGTCTCGGACGAGGTTTCGTAGATATCTTAATCGGGTGGTTTCAATGTTTATGAAGTGACACGACTTTAACTAGCTCTAATCCGTACTAAGGTACCTCAATTGATAGCAGGCATACAGTACCTAGGCGCAGCAGCTCTCACTAAGCTACCCGTATGTAATCCGTATGTAGTGACACAAACTAGATAGCTGCGTCATATCGTCAACACCCCGGTAACAAGCGACATTCCGATGTGCAGAATAACGATCCACATTTTTCATTTTCGTCAGCTATGTATGTTGTCATTCATCTAATAAGATCATATAGTTCGAATGATTCCCCCTTCGATGAATGATATCATGATAATAGTAGTGGTCATGAAAACGAATTGAGAAGGATGAGAAGTTGAAGAAGAAAAAACAGATACGAACCGGTTGCGATGTACGCATGCATCTATCACACCTTCAGCAACGAATACGACTTTTCGTGTACAAGAACGGACACCTTCGGTGAGTCGGTGTTACCTTAGCAGCCATACCAACCATCCGTCATCCGCCATCCGCCATCCGCGTTCCAATGAGATGAGCACTACATGTACCTAAGTATTATATCGATAGGCTATTGATTTGATTGGACATGGACAACATATCCTCTATCTCGAAGATAGAGGCGAGGCTAGCCAATAAAAACCAGCCGCCAAAAATTCGCTTAATTCTTCCACATCACATCCCGCCCCGCCCCACACCACTCACAAACCCACCCGCTCAATTGCAAAATCTCCAAACTTGGGCCCTGGGAAATTTTCATATCCTTTCTCTTCCTCCCACCGCGAAATCTACTAACCCCAACAGCCATCACTCACCACCACCAACACCCTTCCGCGATGGCAAAGGAAGCGCCAGCCCGTACCGGGCTCACCATCGGTCTCAACCACGGCCATGTAAGATGAAACACCTTACCCGCCTTTCTCTGTATTCGAAAAGCAAAAAGAAAATTTTTTTTTTTTTGCGAAAGATACAAGAGTCGTTTCCGCCCGTCTCACCTCGTGGAGGATCTCTGCTCTTGCAATCAAAGTCTTTCTTTCTTTCGCGAATGCAGTATAGCAGACGATGGACAATGGGCTGACTTTTGGATTCCTTCCCGGTAATTATAGAAAACCACTCCTCGCGTCGTCAAGCCTCGCGTTTCGCGAACCAAGGGCCACCTCAGCAAGCGCACTGCCTTCGTTCGTGACATCGTCAAGGAGGTTGCTGGGTAAGTCATTCTCACACTTATATCCCTTTGATACCTGGTGCATTGCTTGAGGTCGAATGATCCCGAGGGTGGCAATGCAGTGCCCTCAAGGTCTACCTTGATATTATCAAATTACTAACGTCTGTTTCACCACAGTCTTGCCCCCTACGAGCGCCGAGTCATCGAACTGCTGCGAAACAGCAAGGACAAGCGAGCCCGTAAGCTAGCCAAGAAGCGGGTACGCATCTCCTCTACTTCCCTCTGTCTCTCAAACATCGCAAGACTAACCAAATTATCAGCTCGGTACCTTCGGCCGTGCCAAGAAGAAGGTCGACGAGCTCCAGCGCGTCATCGCCGAGTCCCGCAGAGCCGGTCACTAAACGACATGATCTCGAGTGGAAAATTATGGCGGTTTAACGGGGCGTCGAGGGAACAAAAGAAAGAAGCAAACTGTTCGGCATGAGGTCTGGCGTCCGTCTTTCTCGGCATTGATGAATTTACGGAGGATCGGTACGGACATGATAGCTAGCTTTGCCATAGCCATAGCTATCTACCTGAATCCCAAATAGCCTACGACACGAATAGGAACAAGACCTGGGAATCTTGATTTGGCAAGCCAAATTATATTCATTTCATGACTTAAAATCAATTATTAATGATTATGTGCCATGTGAAAAGTTCTCGATAATGCTACCTAAACTCCGAGCAGATGTTGATTCCCTGATTCTAAGCTCAACACATAAGCCATCGTTCGTCGTAGCCCTTTTCACTTTTTCCCGAACCCCTTTAGCCACTTAGGCTTCTTGAACGCAGACCCCTCACCTTCACCCCTTGAATGGGGTGCGGGCACTGATATGTTAGCAGCATTATGGCCCGCCTCGTCCTCGACTACTACTTCAGGGACTTCAGGAACAACCACCTTCTGTGCGTGACCAGCAGCGCTGTTCTTCAAGAACGGCAGCTTCCGAATCTCAGCGGGCACCTTTTCGTCCCACATGAAATTCACCAGCGTATTAGAGCTTAAGCGGTATCCGCCGATGAGCTTATTCGCGGGGCTGCTATCGTCCTTGATCGCCGTCTTGCCGGGCGGCAATACCAGCTTAAACGGCACTGCCTCGTTGGCCATGATTTTCCTGATCTCGGCGTACAGCGTTGCGCCCGTGTCATCTGGGCCGAAGGGCCACTCTGCGGAAAAGTTGTCTGGGAAGCGGACTCTTATCTTGATAGACTTGACGGCTGCTACTCTGGCTGCTTCGGCGGCAGCCTTTTCTTCGAGCTCCTTGTCTGAAAGGAGGCGTCTGTTCTCGCCTGCAGTCTTCAGCAGCCTTTGATGGGCCTGCGCATGCTCGATGCGTGGGGCGAAAACCTCGTCGGATTCTTCTCGCAAGGCTGCAGCTGGCGTGCCGGAGGTAGGCGCAGAGAAGATGGTGACGGGGCGGTTATCAGCGGATGGGACGTCGACGTCCATAGCGTCCGTAGTGTCCACTGGGGGTGCTTGCGCCGCGGAAGAAAGGTCTGTGTCATCATGTTGAGTTGCTTCAGGCGCATCCGTCTCTGGCTTCTCTACTGAGGGAACACTCGTTACACTATCCAGGGGCGACGCATCAGTCGAAGGGGCTGCCTCGTTGTTCGTCGTCGGTTCACTGCTAGACTCCTGCGCCTTCTGCTGATTCATTTCTTCCTTCTTGAAGAACTGACTCATCTCTCCCATAGCATCCACCAACGTCTTGTCAGTCTTCTGAAAAGATAGGCGTGTTAGGACACCTCCCGAATTATACCCTAACTGCGATAGGCTCTTCTGAAAGTCGGCAAAGGTTGACAGCGTTCTATTCTCGATCGTCAGGACCGGAGTCTCATAATACAATTGTCCGCTACCCGCGGCCGCTCCATTATTCGTTTGCGCCACGCCCCTCGCCGTGATGTTTAGGTTCTTCCCCTGACTCGACTTGCCGCTCTCGAACTGGCGTAATAGCTGCCATATCGTAATATCACTCGGTAGCTTCTCCGTGATCCGACCGGATGGCGGGAATAGATTTGACTCGGGAGCTGGGAGTTGTAAGGCGACGTTGATGGCGGAGGGTGTATTAGAGCGGACGATGAGTTCGAGCTTGGCGCCGGGTGGTAGACCTGAGGTTCGCCATGTCTGCGACAGATCTAGCTGCTTTTGCTTGTGTTTAAATAAGAATTTATCGGAGGGGACCTTGAGCTTCTCGCAAGCTTGCTCTAAAACATCTGTCAGGTAGGTTCCAGGATTGACCTTAATGGTCACCTGTTTAAGGTCCGTTCCCACAACCTTGACGTTGGTCGCCATGTGTTGTAGGATCTGGTCGACGGTATTCTGTATTTCGAGTGAGACTTTCTTAAAAGACCTTCTTAAGAAACTTGAATATCTGGATAACAGCCGACGTAGTTATTTGATTCCAAAAGACGGAGACGTGTCCGACGAAAGTTTGCCAGTGGAATATGAAAGAATATTTAAAAGTCCCGTTTGTACATGCCTCTTGTAGGTAGCAGTACGATTACATCAGCCCTTTAAGATCGCAGCTGCGCGGGCAGTTGTACATACATACATACATAGCTTCCATAATGGAGGGGCAAGCGGAGCCACTGATGTTTTCTATTAGTATGTACAAGTGTACTTCTGTGCAATACAAACAGTACTTCTGTGATACCTACCAGTCTTGATTAGCCGTCAATTTTCCGAGAGACCGTGCCGGACTTGACCTGGTCCGATCTGGAGCTGAGCTGCCGCGCCAGACGTGTTTGCCTTGCCGACGCTAACGCTAACGTATCTGGTACTTCGTACCTTAATACCTTAAGCTGCTGCTATTGCAACCAAACCTCAAGCCCACCCACGCCATTGAGCTATCCTCACCACAGCGAACTGCGTGCTCGACGACGAGACATCATCTGCGAACCACCAAACTCAAGTCGACACACTTAATCATCACGGCCCTACCAAGCCTCGCCGTTTTATTTTATTTTTCAGTAATACATTCGACGCCATGGTAAGCTCTATAATAGCCAAGCTCCCAACTAAGAGGATAATCAGGTAGCTAACATATAGAATTAGTCGTCACCCTTCTCTATAAGTGCGCACCCCCCTACTCCTACTCCTGCTCCTACTCCTCCTCTCCTACCAACCCAACTCCCAAGCCGAGAATAACTAACTAACCAAGCGAACGCACAGACGGCGGCGCCTGCGTAGCCATGGTAGGCAAGGACTGCGTCGCCATAGCCTGCGATCTACGTCTAGGTCTGCAAGCCCTCACCGTCTCCAACAACTTCCCCAAGATCTTCCAGTACGGCGACGTATTCCTCGGGCTCACCGGCCTGGCCACGGACGTGTCCACGGTGTCGGACCTGTTCCGGTACAAGGTGAACATGTACCGGCTGCGCGAGGAGCGCAACATCGCGCCCACCACCTTCGCCAACCTCGTCTCTTCGTCCCTGTACGAGCGCCGCTTCGGCCCCTACTTCGTCAGCCCCGTCGTCGCCGGCCTCGAGCCCAAGTCCGGCAAGCCCTTCATCTGCGGCTTCGACTCCATCGGCTGCATCGACTTCGCCAAGGACTTCATCGTTAGCGGCACCGCTTCCGAGCAGCTATTTGGCATGTGCGAAAGCTTGTGGGAGCCCGATCTGGTGAGTAGCCATATAAACCTGCCTATATATGACCCATATATGCATAACGAGCATCCTACCTCGTCGAATTTGGAGGGTTTCCTTTCGGGTGAACGAAGACGTACTAATATATAATCACAATCCAGGGCCCCGATGACCTCTTCGAAACAATCTCGCAGGCTCTGCTAAGCGCCGTCGACCGAGATGCTTTATCAGGCTGGGGTGCGCATGTGTACATTATTGAGAAGAACAAGGTCACCAAGCGATTACTAAAGGGCCGACAAGATTAAGAGACAGATTGTATCTGGTCCGGTGCTATCTTAGGTCTACTAACGTGTACTAGATACCTCATACGTGAGGTAGATAGTAATTCGAACGGGGTGGATTGGTCAACTCCACGAATAGATAAGGGCTAGAAAGAAATATCTACGGGAGTAAGGCAAATAAGACGTAGCGAATGAACAGAGGAAGACACGAGATGGCAAATAGCCCGTTGTTGTACTAATATCAAGGTAGTACCTTAAGCAAGGTGGCCAAAGTCAAGATGAAAAACCTCACGCGGAATCCCTTATCCTATTTCTCGTTCAATGAATGCATCGTATTTCTTATACATCTATATTGCGCAGCCTAATTTGCATATGCAGTGTAATACGTCTACTCTAGTCTATGTAGAACTTAGATCTATGCCCCGCTACGCCTTCTTCTTGGCCTCTGTAACATCATCCGTCGTCTTCTGGATGAAGAACTGCCTTTCGATAGCCTTGAGGACTTCATCGATGATACTGTGACAAATTAGTATTTCGTGGAATCAACTATGGTTAGGAAGACAACTTACATAACTGGTGCGCTGATGATAAGCACCGCTTTCCACTCATTCCAGTTAAGAGGCAGGATGGAGAACAGGCTCTGGAGGAAGGGAGTGTAAAGGAGTGCAAAGTGGAGCGCCATCGACAAAGTGACGGCGTAGACTAGCATCATATTCTTCCAGAGGGGTAGGGTTAGTAAGGACTCGCTAGACGATAGGGCGTTCATAGCGTTCAGCATCTCGATGACGACGAGGATAGAAAGGGATATCGTCGATGCTGCTTTAGCCATTTCGTTACCGAACATCTCACATCCGATTTCCGAAAACTCAGTGGAGCATCGGTGGAAGTGAGAAAGTTGGTAGAAATTAATCTGAGGACCCTCGGGGTTATACATGAACCACCAGGCATATCCGGCGACAGTGGCGATACCAACGTAAGATCCAATAACCAGGTACCTGAAGAACAGCCAGCCGCCGATGAGCGGTTCATCTCGCTTTCGTGGTTGTCTCTTCATAATATCATGGTCCGGAGGGTTGAAAGACAAGGCGGTAGCAGGCAGACCATCGGTGACGAGGTTGACCCATAACAGTTGGACAGGAATAAGAGCTTCCGGCATACCCAGGGCGGCAGTAAGGAAAATTGAGACGACTTCTCCGATGTTCGAGGAGATGAGGTAGCGGATGAACTGTTGCGTGTTATTGTAGATAGATCGGCCTTCCTCGATAGCAACCTCGATAGTAGCGAAATTGTCATCCGCAAGGACCATGTCGGCAGCCAACTTGGAGACGTCAGTACCGGATCCCATTGCAACACCAATATCCGATTTCTTGAGAGCGGGAGCGTCATTGACACCGTCTCCAGTCATAGCTACAACTTCACCGAGAGACTGGAGGAGATCTACAAGCTTCGATTTGTGACTGGGTTCCACACGCGAGAAGAGAGATGCATGTTTCGCTGCTTCTAGCTGCTCGCTAGGGCTTAAGTTGTCGAATTCTCGGCCAGTGAAACTCTTGCCCGTAAGGTCCTCATATTCTCCAAAGACTCCGATCTGGCGACAGATGCTCTCCGCGGTGTTGCGATTGTCACCCGTGATAACGATAACTCTGATACCGGCGTCCTTACATTGCTTAATAGCGCCAGGAACTTCTGGTCGAGGAGGATCTAGCATACCGACGAGACCTAGTAGGGTGAGGTTCTGTTCCAGTTGGGCATATTGAGCTGTCGACTTGGCATTGTGAAGTAGGGGGTTGGATCCAACATCATCTAAGCTAGCAAGGGCAATAACTCGTAGTCCACGGTTACCATATTCGACGACCTCCTTCAAGAGCAGACCACGAAGCTTGTTGTCGATACGAACACGGTTGCCATCAGCACCAACCAAGGTAAACGCACAACGCTCGATAATGGATTCAGGGGCACCTTTAACCAGAAGCTTTTGTTGGTCACCGGCTTGGACAAGGACAGACATGCTTTTCCGGTCTCGAGAGAATTCATATGTGGCAAGTCGAGGGAACTTGGCTTCATACCAGCCGCTGGCGTGGTGGACGCTGTCCTCAAGTCTCCAGTTTGTCGGTGCGCATGGTCCAACCTTTTCGGCTAGAGCCCTTAAGGCTCCTTCGGTGGGCTCTCCTACATTAGAGAAAGTACCGGATCGGGTATCGTACACGAGTCTAGCATCATTGCAAAGGGCAGCGACCTCGGTCATCTGGCGGATTGTACTTGAGCTTTGAGCAAGATCCCTCACCACTTTGCCGTTATGCTTGATGTCTCCTTTCGGTGCAAAAGTAGTACCCTCAACGTCAAGCTCTTCTAAGTCGGTACCATCTGCGTTAATGTAGACGATCTTGCTCACACTCATCTGGTTCGTTGTAAGAGTACCCGTCTTGTCTGAGCAAATAACACTGCAGCTTCCTAGTGTTTCAACAGATGGCAGGCTTCGGACGACAGCATTCTTTGCGGCCATCTTGCGGGTTCCCAAGGCTAGGCATGTAGTGATAACAACGGCAAGACCTTCGGGGATAGCTGCAACACCAAGAGAGACCGCAATCTTAAGATAATAAATGGCACCCTTGGTCCAGTTTCCATGACTTGGGTCCGCGAAGTTGGGGATGTTGATCAGCCATACGAGAATACAGATAACTGTAATAACCTTTGCCAAGGAGTCGCCGAAATCGTTGAGCTTCTGCTTGAGAGGAGTCGGCTCGGAAATCTGAGCCGTGATACTCTCGTGGATGTCGCCAATCGCAGTATTCGATCCAGTCAAAACCACGATCGCCTTAGCACGTCCAGTCACGACAGTTGTTCCCGAGAAGAGCATATTGACCTGGTCCTGGAGGACTGCCTTCTCGTCTTTCACGACTACATTATTATCCTTGCCCACGCTTTCGCTTTCTCCGGTTAAGATAGCCTGGTCCACGGCGAAACTGTTGCTTTCGATCGCAATAACACGGCAGTCGGCAGGTATCCTGTCGCCAACGGCCACCGAGATAATATCACCAGGAACCAATTCTTCAGCCTTGACCCGCGAGACATGTCCATTATTCCTGACCACGCTAGCGACGTTCGCAGAGTATTCTTGAAGCGCGGCGATCGCCTTTTCAGCGCTGCTTTCTTGGGAAACGCCGACGACAGCATTGAGCACGAGAATAGTAAGAATCTAGGAACCGGCCAAGTTAGCTTCTGGGTCGCAAAATAAGAAGTGGGTAAAACTTACAACCAAAGGATCGACAAATGCGCTCCAGCCACTTTCTTCGTCTTCGAAGAGAGCCAAGACAAAGGACACAGCCGCAGATCCTAAGAGTATTAAAACCAATTGATCTTTGAATTGCTCGAGAATAAGCTCCCATAGGGGTGTCGGCGGTTCGTCTGGGATAGCTACAGCAAGTTAGCATACACATCGACTTGGTTGTTTTCTAATATGGCGCGTTGCAACATACAGTTCTTCCCATGTTTATTTCGTAGCTCCGTAATCTGTTCATCTGTAAGACCAGCCTTTGGGTCTACCTCAAAGGCGGCTAAGACCTCATTTGTAGGCTTCGCGAAGGCGCTTTCCATGGCAGCCGACGAGAGTGGCGGGACGATGCCGCAGTAATTCTTTTTCTAACGGGAAGACTAAACAAATGCAACAAGATATTTAGATTGTTAATCGCTACCTATGAACGAGCATAAAAAGTGAACGGAACCAGCTCGATCAAAAAAAGACTTGAATCGGTGGAGGGGTTGGCGATATGCGAAGAGAGTTTCTGATAGAATCTTTAAAGATGCCACATATCTTTTGGACAATCACTAGTCTAGCTCTGAAAGTAACTGGTAACTGGTAACTGGTTGAAAGTCGCCACAGAAAAACGAAGTTGCCAGAGTGTAATGTAAACGAAAGGATGTGCCGAAGTAGGTAACTGTATAGATAGTGGTGGAAAGAAATCGTCGCTCTTGAAGTTGAATGTGGACCTTTTACACAGCAACGTGTTCTCTCACTCGCATTTACCTAGCGACATTCTAGGTGGCTTCTATCGCTGTTCGGCCCTGAACGGCCCAGCGACAGGCCCTGAGCTGCAAAAGCCGGTCACCAGGTGCGAGGCGCCGTGAGCCCCAATCTAATCCGACGCTAGCATCCCTACCGCTAGACTATCTTAGGGTCCAAAGATCAATTTCGATTGGACGGGCTCCATGACTTGCATCATAAGCGTACTACCTACCTCATGTACACACCCAGGTACCTACCTAAAATTGCATAAGTGAGATAAACCTGGAGATAAACGCACGGGGTCTAGATTTACTTTTGATTACCTCACATATCAGGTAAATACATAGTATGTGACATGTATTTCAGACCAAGTTTAAATATAGCCCAGGGTTGGCAGTATATTTTCATATTGCACAAATGTCTAAAAGGCGAAACACCTATGAGGTACGTAATAGTAGACTGCAATTCCTGCTCATATAACTGTCTATTTGGGGGGTTTGCTATCTAGAAAGCTGCAAATGCAGCCATGCATCTGAAATCAACGGCCATGAAAGGTTATCGACCCCAACCTAGAGCGTACGCAGCCGTTCTGCATTAGCCCGCACAAGTGACCCCCTTGTCTTTCCGAACTTAAAGTATTACCATAATCCTCGTAGTCCACCAATCGTGTCCTCTCGTCGTAGCTCATTTACAAGTCATCATCCTCATCCTCACCAGGCAGGGGTTGCTGGGCAGCGCTGTCCATCTCCTCCTGGTACTGCTTGAGAAGTGCCTCATCGACCACAGCAGTGGGGGGTGCAAGAGCGGGAGCAGCGACGAATTCCTAAGTAGGTTAGATATTGTGAATACCGAAGGGAGCGGTCGAACTTACTAGTTGAGGGTTGCCAACGAGCTTGCGGGCCAGCCAGAGGAAGGGCTTCTCGAAGTTGTAGTTCGACTTGGCGGAGATATCGTAGTACTGGAGGTTCTTCTTTCGGTGGAAAGTGATAGTCTTGGCCTTGACCTTGCGCTCCTTTACATCTACCTTGTTGCCGCACAGAACGATAGGGATGTTCTCGCAGACACGAACAAGATCACCTGTGATACAATTGTGAGTCAATAGGAAAAAGAGATCGGGGATATATTCTACTTACGGTGCCAGTTCGGGACGTTCTTGTAGGTAATGCGGGATGTCACGTCAAACATGATGATACCGCATTGGCCGTTGATGTAGTAACCATCACGGAGACCACCGAACTTCTCCTGACCAGCAGTGTCCCACACATCGAAGGTGATGTTGCCGAAGTTCTAATTATCGTTAGATATTTTGCGCCAGATAGGACGGATGCGGTAGGACGAGGCGAGGATTGGTCCGACTTACGGTCGTGAAGCCAAGGGGGTGGACCTCAACACCAAGAGTGGCCATGTACTTCTTCTCGAATTCACCCGTCAGATGTCGCTTGACGAAGGTAGTCTAATAATCATGGTCAGCGGTATGGTCTTTAAGATAAAAAGCAAAAGGCGGGGCAAATTATGCGCAGGGCGGCACATAGTAAACAGAGCTTAGCATGCCGGTAGAAGGCTGATAAGCGGCAAGATATAGCAGATGAGATCCAGAGGATGGATGTATTTACCTTTCCAGTACCACCATCGCCGACAAGGACGAGCTTGAAGGTAGGCGTCTCGGCAGCCATTGTGCAATCCTCTGTTGTGAGGTAAACAGAAGATGGGGAAGACTAGGCTCGGCGTTAGTGGGGGATGACTAAATGATGGAAAGGCATAGAATGGTATTTTGCAACCTCGATATGAGTTGTTGAAGATATATCGAGAAGCGGGAGAACGTACTTGATGTTATCGAGAGAAGAAGATTGTGGAGAGTATTACGGGGGTGTTCGTAAAATAGTCGTTGAAATGATGAGCGGGCTAATGTTTTTTTTGAGAGTTTCGAGAGGCGGCGGGACCTGGCAAGAAGATCTAATAAGGTTGGGTTTCCCTCTGCAAAAAAAAAATCGGGCGCACGGTTGCGGGGCAGCACGTGATCACCTGGGCATTAACGGAATGGGCGACAATGACGCAAATTTGAGGTAGGAAACGGCCTTCCAGATGTATTATTGATAGCAAATACACGTACCTGACTATGTAGTCTGACGGCACTTGCATCGTTTTATCATTTCCCTGCAAGGTACTTGAATCTAAGTCGTCAGGAACTCCATATATCCCTATTTATTTGCACTGTAGCTACCTAAAATATACCTTATACTATGAAGTTGTAACTGTTTTTCCCCCCTTATTTATATATGTTCTCCTAGCCTTTTGTCATAGTGAATCATACATGTGTACCTAGGTAATGTCCGGAGTATTACAAATGCAAGGCAGTAAGTACAAAGTACATTTCCATTCCAATACCTTTAAGTAGCCTCGTGGCGTCTAAAAAGTCTAGGATTTACGTTGCTACCTCCGTTGTTTAAACCGTGGAATTTAGCATTTATCTTTTGCCTTCCATAGCAACCATTAATAAATTCGTTTACAGGCGACGTTTCACGGTACCATCATTTGGAATTCCTTTTCCCTCTTTTCTTTGACTCACCCCCATAGGCAGCACTCGACTTCTACATTAACAGCCAGAATACAATGAGTAAATACTGAAGGCGCTAGACTCATTTTGGGCGTGGGCATTAGGCAACTAGCAAGGGAGCTGCGGCAAACTCGCCGGACATTTATTGGTAACACGGCGAGCCCAATGCCTTTTGTGTCAACAGCCCTGTTGCGAAGGAGGCTGGGCAGCGTTTAGGCTAGCCAAACGTTAAATAGCATCTCGTATGTCCGTTGGATGTCTGCTGGCATGATTGTCTCCTATATAAACTGGTTCGGGTTTCAAAGCTGCCTAGTCGTGCCGTACGAATACATAGCCACATCTAAATTATTACCAATTACCTAGGTAGAAAAGACCAATGATTATCAATACTATTTGTTTTATTCATCAGGTTAAAACGCCTTTGCCTCGCGTGATGCTGTCTCCATTCAATGGGGGAGGAAATAGCAGCCTATTGCAACATACGGAGATGTTCGCATCTAGAATAGAATCAATAGTTTGATACCGCTTGGTATAATCAGACCATTAAAACTACCTATAGCGGTAGGATATGGCATCCCAAAAGGCCTCTTCCTCCCCAATTCCGTCGTGGGGTTAAATTCAGCTGTAGCTCTTGCTTTTGGTTGGATTCTATTCGGCGGGTTACCTTAACAAGAATCCTTTGCTATATAGAAGATCAGTCTTATGGCTCAAACACCGCCTTAGCGCTTCGAATTCTCGTAGGGTTCAACTTACGCCTTCATTTCCTTGGACGCACTCTGCGACTTTCTTGAGGCCATCATGGTTTCCCCTATTAACGTAGCCGAAATTTCGAATTTCATCTCCGGGTTTCAAGCCGGCTGACTCTGCCGGGCTGCCTGCAACAACGCTATTCACCTTCGCAAAAGGTTCCTCCAGAGTTGCCGGGATCGAGTCGCCTAACATCTCGGTACGGTTTGCTGAAGCAGGCGCAACATCATCAGCATCTTGTATGCTCGCAAAATGTTCATGGAGGTATTTCTCTAAGGTATTGAGGAGGTCTTTGTAGTCGTTTTTTAGGTGGATGATTTGAGCTCGGGTGGTGCGTACTATGGAAGGGGTTAGCTCAAATTCAAGAGTGTCTCTGTTAAAGGGAGCTCCTACTTTGCGCGACGTCAATATCTGCCCGAGGAAACCCATCGGCCGTGGTCAAAGGCGTTTCCATATTGACACCATGCTGTAGATAGAATCAGGACCGGTATTATAATGGGCTTGAATGGCGACCACTAACCGAGTCAAGAACGCCACTCAGGGCTTTTAATTCGGCTTCCATATCGTCTTTCTTAGCCTGAAGTTCAGCAAATGAGAGATGCTTTGCATTTCCATTTGCTAGCGGCCGGGACGAGGGTCCCGCAGGAACGGTAGGTGCGTGAATGTTGTCCATTCTTAAGGGAAGGCCCATGATAATATTGAATGAATCAACTCATCATATGTTGAACATTGGAAGAAGAAGAAATCGCTTTCCCCCATGCGCTTGAATATGCGCTTTAGTTAAGGACTACCTGTTAGTTGAATAGTTGAAGTTGAAGCGAAGTTTAGGCCCGTAGGAAGACGCGTCAAGTGGGATGGCGGGGTCGACTACATATACGTAAGTACTGTACCTAAATACTTCAAATGGGTATGTGCATGCACGCAGGTCCGATTTAGGGTAGCTGCCATAGATGTATATATTTTAAAGTTATATGCACATCGTCTTCTATTTTATATAAGGTAGGTTAGGTACCATATATATAAGGGTTTACCTACTGCGAGGTAAGTTCAATTTTTGTTTTACCTTTATTCAGTATAACTATGAGGTTAGGTTGATAAAGACAGTCACGATCGTCTCTTTAGCATACCTAATACTAAGTTTTAACACTCCTTAACTACATCATCCTTTAGAATAGTATTAGTTGAGATTAGGTATAATCAACGACCAGGCACGGCTTTTCAAGATCTAATGGTGGGAGCGACTTTATATTGATATATCAATTTACATAGGTTATCATCTGGCCAGTAAACATTAGAGTGGGATTTTATAGAAACATATCCTAAAAAGATTTGCAGCTTAGAAGGCTACTGTTGCCAAGATTATGCACCTCTTATAACCACCCTTCTTTAGAAATGGCTGATATATATCCCATTGCTTGGACGGGGGATGTTTGCGGCTATGACTTTAATTCGTTTATATATTTCTAATTATAACAGTACATATGCGACCACGAACTTGGTTGCTTAAGACAGGCAAGTACGCGCATTCCCGAGTATATACCTAATGTATATCAATATATACCTAGTTATGTTATATATAACGATATGTATGCTTTGGTTGACTACCTACCCGGGTGGGGGGGGTCCCAGGACAGTATGACTCTAGAATGTTGAAATGTACTATAATGTCAATTTGGGGAAAGCCTGTTAATAGAGCTGTACCAGAATTATATAAAATAATGATAACTTTACTTCCGATCTTTTCCGTAAAAATACACCCTCGCACTGACCATATATTCTAACATAAACCTTTTATATAAAAATAATATTACCATTAAAATAGCTTTAATATTGTCGATTTTATACTGTTTTAATAAGTGTTATTATAGCTTTAAAATTAAAATAAAAAAAAGATTTTTGTGAAAAAATAATGCTTGTAAAAATAAAATACTGTTATTTTCGATAATAAACGCTTTTGCCAGTATAATAAAGCTTGTTAATACGGCTATTATATTTATTTCGTTACGTTGATTTTAATTTAATATAATTAATATAATAAAACTTATTAATACGGTTATTATATTTATTTTACCACGTTAAATTTATATAAAGTTAATTAATTTAATAAAATTATACGTTTTATTATTTTAATAATAAATAGGTTTTATTAATATAATAATTTTTAAAAGTTTAAAATACTTTAATTAATTTAAAAAAAATAAATGTTTTAATATATTTTATATAAAGTAATAAATTACTTTTTTACATGCGTATATAATGTAATATAATATTTTATAATCGATTTAAATAACTTGTAAATTTGTATGATTTATAATAATTTATAATTATTCGAATTTTATTATAATTTAATAAAAAAATAAAAAAAAACAATTTTAAAGCTTTTAAAATAAAAAATGTTTAAAATGGCTTTTTTTTTTTTAATATATATTTTTTAATATATAATAACTATTAATTAAATATATTAATAGTATTATTATTATTATATTAAAATATGTTTTACGTTAATGTATTTATTATAAACATAATATAATTATATATAATATATACTTTGTTTATGTAATTTTAAAATTATACAATTAAAATACTATTAAAAATATAATATTAGTAAAAGTATAATATTAACTTAATTTTATTAAATTATTATTTTTATTATTATATTTAAATTAAATTTACAACTTTAAAAATATTTTTATTAAAATAATAAAAATTTCCAGGTCGAATAATGTCTGATATAAAACGTGTGAGTCTTTATTGTTTAAATAAATTATTTTAACCTTTTTTTATAATGTTAACAGATTGGTATCAGTCTGTCCTAGGACCCCCCCCACCCGGATAGGTAGCTCTTTACAATATCTTGTTTGTTTAAGTTAGCCTACATATTCAATTGTAAAGTATGCAGGTTGGCAAACACAGTTAAGTGACTGACTTGGATTTAGGCTTGAATATTAATAATATAATGTCGTTTGTTTGCCCCTAGCCCCTGCAGGTCCAGCCTGGCGGATACGCGCAGGAAACTGCTGGGCGGTATCTTGCAGAAGGAGCGTACAACTGTAGCGAATCGTTCGCCTAATTGAGTCATGATTTGCAACATGACTTACACATCTAGCCGTGTCCTACTTCCTTAAATTCGTACTCGGCTCTCTCGGTAATCTGTGAAGGGACGAAAAATACAAACACAGGTACGTAATGAATAGATGCACAGTGATATCCTGGTAGGGGAAACGCCGCCCCAAGCTGATGTAGGATTCGACTTAAAACAAGGTAGGTACTTGCGTGTTGGATCCACGAATTTCTGAAGATCGGGAACCGTCTACTAAGATTCCTCGATAACAAAACTCGGCACAACCCCGAGATATTTCACGGCTTCATAACCTCACATCATCCAATTCACTTTTATAAATCATAAAATGTACGCTGTTGCGCTTTTAGGCCTTTTGGCTGTGCCGGCCACTTCGAAGGCCTTGAAATACGCCATCCCTGTGAGCCTTAAAGCCACTGACTGCACGTTCCCGGCCAACTATACCGTCTCCAACTTCACCATCTACACGGATAGAACAGACAGTAGTAAAAATAGTACTTCGTTCCTTTTCGATGATCCGAGAACTGGGATCAATACCAGCTGCAGTCGCAATTCAACCTCGAAGCTTAGCGGTTCTAACCGATGGCCCTGCGATGACTCGAACGTTGCATTTATTTACCAGACAACTGGTATCGCAGGCCTAACCTTGATTGAGGCGGCATGTCCTGGAAAGTACGTAGATTGTTTCTATATTGACTCGCTACCCAACGCAATGACAATGTCAAGATAGCTAACAACGCATAGTGTTCCTCAGTTCGAAGCCTCTGGTCTCATCAGGCCAGACCTGGCTTGCACAAATTCCACATCGGGAACCACCTGTGTGGCTAAGCAATCTCCGATTGTAGGAGATTTCGACAGTCTCGAACCCGCACCACCGCCTTCTCGCTGAGCGTTGGTAAAAGACGATAGGAAACAACGGGAAGTTGGCATTGCCTAAGACACGTAATTATCATACAAGCTCTCCATGGGATTCGAATAGATGACTATCCACAAGCAAGATGGGCGAGACGTTGTGTTTGCTTAATCGGACATTCCTACATCAGATGGTGTTAGAGCTAGATAAAAAGCCACTTCATCAATAGTTATTATTAATTGCTTAATTGAGGCTCAATCAAGATTCTTACTACTTGTGGTAGCTTAATGCTTAATTACTTAGCATGCGAAGGCATGTTAGGTGTTGTGTTAGAGCAGAACAGGAATAGCGGAAGCCCAATCTAGTAGGTATTACCTAAGTCCTGTACCAGCAATTCCCCAGAACAGTATACCTACCCCGCGTTACCAACTACCAATAGGTATACTATTAGCAGTAGCTTCCTATTGGCCACAGCCGTCACCTACCTCGTCATTTCTTAACTTGTTAAGAGCCGTGTACGCATCGAGTCGGGCAGGCGAGCCCCAGCAATAGCCAGATCGTCAAGAAGCCAAGGGATGAACCTCGTCTCATCTGTTAACTTTGTCAACGTTATCCCCTTTTAACCATAACAACTTTAAAACATCACATGGATTCCATAGACTAGACCCTGCTAGAAGTAGCATTGGCGCGATGCTTAATGCACCAACACAACGTCAACCAGGCGTTTTAGAGTTTCATCATTTTCATCATTTTATATAATACCTAATAGCCGACTCATCTCCTTATTCAATCTTCTCTATCGTAGGCCACGGGCCTGTCTTCTCTGGGACATGGCTATCCTCGGTATTGATCTCTCAAGCAGAAATTCTCGACACTACGCACCCGAAATTGCTACCAAACCTGCTCTATAGTACGATGCTGATCTCTTTGTGGTTATTGTACTTAACAGCCACCATCGTGGCAGGGTCCCCTCTAGCGGATCAGTATCCTCTCCGAGAACAGAACGATGCTACGACTGCTGATCACATCTCGAATGGCCTCTTCGCATCTCTCGAGCGTCTCTCCCGCCTAGTCGACATAACTTACTGCGTCGGCACCACTGGCATCACGCCGCCCTTTTCCTGTGCATCTCGATGCAAGGAATTCCCAACCCTAGACCTTGTCACGACATGGAACACTGGAGTTTTGATGAGCGATAGCTGTGGCTATATTGCTATAGATCATGGGACGTCGCCAGGCGGGACTGATAGCGAGGGCGATACCGTGGGTAATAGAAACCAGGGGGCAATCATCGTCGCATTTCGTGGTACCTATAGTATAACGAATACCGTTATAGACCTAAGCACGATTCCCCAGGAATATGTTCCATACCCATCGCCAGATCAAAGAGGATCTGAACCACCTGAAGAATCAAAACATACTTGCAAGAATTGCACGGTTCATATGGGTTTCTTGGCATCGTGGAGGATAGCCCGGACCGTCGTTCTGCCAGCACTTGAACCATTACACGAACAGCATCCCGACTACCCGATTTACCTTGTCGGTCACAGCTTAGGTGGCGCCGTCGCAGCGCTCGCAGCGTTGGAGCTCAAAGTCGTTTCTGGCTGGGATGACATCATCGTGACAACTTTTGGCGAGCCGCGGGTTGGAAACGATGGATTCGTCAAATACCTTGATTCAGTTTTCGATCTTGGCGGTATAGAGAAGCAATACGAGGCACAAACATATCGGCGGGTAACACATGTGGACGACCCCGTACCGTTGCTTCCACTGTCGGAGTGGGGATATAGATCTCACGCCGGCGAACTTTTCATTACCAAATCCGATTTGCCTCCCGAACCTTCGGATATTCAGCCATGTACAGGGGATGAGGACTCTCGGTGCATCGCTGGTTCAGTTGGGGAGCCGCTTAGGACGGTTGGCCAAGCCCTAATTAAGGAACGAGAACACGATGCTATTATGTGTATTAGTGGACTCTGGGATATTCCTAGCCGGTTCAAATTGTGGCAATTGTTCTTTGCGCATCGAGACTACTTCTGGAGATTGGGTTTGTGTGTTCCCGGGGGGGATCCTGTTGATTGGGGCAGGGACAAGTATCCTAATTTCACTACTAGTGGTGAGCTATGAGTCACAGATGGGTAACACGCTCTGTTTAATCCGAGATGAGGATCGGGTTTATTTCTAGCGTCTAATCTGTTACGGTGATCGAACAGAAGGAGTCAAAATTGATAATGCGATCAGGAAAAGAAATATTAATTAAATTACTTATGTAATATGAAATAATGCTTAATACACGTATTGACACATTTAAAGCTCGTATATGAATGTCACTACTATTCAATATAGTCGAACGTTATAATTAGAAATCGTTAAACTATTTCGTACGCTATTGAGAAATTTAAGGGACCAAATCTTTAAAGCGACCTTTGACTAGTTAGATGTTGTTGGGTTACCAAGTACGGCAATGATCACAATCTACGGGCCAGGGGCTACATGCGTACAATCAGACCTGGAAAGATATTCGCATGTAATACCTATTATGAGGCTACGGAGTACGGTGAGCAAACCCGATGGAGTGGGTTCAGAGGTCATGATGTCTTGGCGATAGTACGGTGAAGTCTGCAAGATGGAGTGTTGACGGCTCGTGACAGGGCTATTTCGACTGACCGCGCTTAATCGCGTGGGATTGACTTCTTTGTGGGAGAGGAGGGACTCGTGACTGGAAGAAAAGTGTGCCAACTCAGCCAGCACCACTAGCCTTGGGAAAGTGATGACAACGCATGGGACCGACGGACCACACGATGATAAGACCCTGCGTTGGGGGGGCAGAGCAGTGGGGTTTCTAGATTCTAGAGGCGTGCGTCGGTACCTGTATGATACTCTTAGGACATAATATACTCATCTAGGACATCTCATACAAATAATGTAATAGGTATAATCACGAGCTGTAAAGAGAACGGGGATACAAACAAGATGTATATTTATGGTTTGGGGGTGGCTTTGCTGCTGACTGATTGTGATATTCAACATTTCCGTTCTCGTTTCTCGTCTCATTCCGCTGCCGACTCGCGCAAGAACGCTGCAGCGGACATGCGAGTCAGCGTCTGGATCATTGGTAGGATCTCATGCGATGCTGGCTGATAATCTTGGTGAAGGATGAGATAATTTCGTCGCGTCTCTCTCTCTCTCTTTGCCTCTTAATAAATAATTTCCATAGCTTGTCATTGAAGGTCACGGATATTTCTTGAACACCTTTCTAGTGGACAGTGGACAGTGGACAGTGGACCAGTTATTTTATTCCAAGGTTGAGGCGGACGATAGTGGGGAAAAGCAGGCTGCCTACGAAGTATCGTGTAATCTGAATTGGGAGAGAACAAAAAATAGAGTTAAGGGTTTTATTAACGTTGATACTAATTTACAATAATACAAGTTAGCGGATTGGTTCCCCGATGTTTCTAACGTTTTTTATGATTAGGCATTCGCGGTTTTGATATTATTGTTTACATATTGATTGTTTGATTTGTTGTTGATGTATTGCGTACATGTATAATGTTAGGAGAAGTACTAAATACTTAAGTACTGATATACCTACTTTGATAAGGGATAAGGCGTAAGATATCGAGAGAAGATTCCAGCCGAAGACGGCAGTGAGGGGCAAGCAAGCCCTGGAAAAGATGGAAAGGTGTACGGCAGCACAACCTTACTTTACTGGACTAGACGCTACCTAGTACACAGAAGGGGGTGGAACGTATGTATTCCGTACCCATGTACTCTTTCTTTCCCGCACAAGCCAGGTGCCAAAGTTGGAGACTCAGGCGCAATTTTGGACCTGGCAGCCCTGGCCGCATTTACTGATTTCTCCTCCCGCACCTTAAACCTCGTCGATTTTCAACACCCTTCAACTTTGACGTACCTGTAAACAATCCTGTCTTTCCCTGTTCACCAACTTCCTCAATCCTGCATCCAAACAGTTCATCCCCAATTTCCATTCCTACACCTCCCTTTTCTATCGCCTCTAGGCTCAGAATCCTCTTCTCAAACCGCCCAACATGACTACTGAGGTAAGTTTTCGATACTCCGACTCCCCTTTCCACTCCCCAAGACTGCCTTGTTTCGGGCGACGCTGCTATTCGCCTCCGCCGCGCCCGCGCACCGCTGCGTAGCCTTTAGTTATATCCCTACTCTAGCATTCTATGGATAACGGTCATGCTAACATTGCTTTCTACCTTGTAGCGTGAAAGGTTCGTACCGCATACCCCCGCCGTATCTAGTCCTTACTTGATGCCGCCTTTTTATGTACCGAGGGGGAACGCAAATCCACTAACTAGTATTTTGTAATAGCAAAACTTTCCTAGCCCGCCTCTGCGAGCAGGCCGAGCGTTATGATGAGATGGTCACCTACATGAAGGAGGTTGCTAAGCTTGGTGGAGAGCTCTCTGTTGACGAGCGCAACCTTCTGTCTGTTGCCTACAAGAACGTGGTCGGTACCCGACGTGCCTCTTGGAGAATCATCTCGTCGATCGAGCAGAAGGAAGAGTCCAAGGGTTCTGACAAGCACGTCTCTACTATCCGCGACTACCGAAACAAGATCGAGACCGAGCTCGAGAAGGTCTGCCAAGATGTTTTGGACGTCCTGGACGAGAGCTTGATCCCCAACGCTGCCACCGGCGAGTCCAAGGTCTTTTATCACAAGATGTTAGTTGCCATTTTTCATCGCGATGTAGTCTTGTAATGGCTATATACTAACGTTTGGGTTGCCCCACATAGGAAGGGTGATTATCACCGCTACTTGGCCGAGTTCGCGTCTGGCGAGAAGCGAAAGGTCGCCGCCACTGCCGCCCACGAGGCTTACAAGGTTAGTCTATATCATAGATATAAACTATATAAGCGTTCTAATCTCACATTTCTCCTTCCTAGAGCGCCACCGATGTCGCACAGACTGAGCTCACCCCGACGCATCCTATCCGTCTCGGTCTTGCCCTCAACTTCTCCGTATTCTACTATGAGATCCTTAACTCGCCCGACCGAGCTTGCCATCTCGCCAAGCAGGCCTTTGACGATGCCATCGCCGAGCTTGATTCGTTGTCTGAGGAATCTTACCGCGATAGCACTCTCATCATGCAGCTGCTCCGTGACAACCTGACCCTGTGGACCTCATCAGAGAGCGCAGAGGGCGAGGGTGCCGCCGCCACAGAGGCTGCTAAGGAGGACAAGCCCGCCGAAGAAGCTGAGAAGCCCAAGGAGGACGCCCCCGCTCCTACCGAGTCTTAGACTACCTTGCATGGATAACCTCCTTGCCTCAACTGAACATGCATATTCTGTAATACTTTCTGAAGGGCCAGGGTTCTGTTGATACCCAAACTGGCAAAAGATTTGTAACATCGGTTGGGGAGGACGTTAAAGGTGTCTGTTTTGGACGCGGGAGTGAAATTTGAGCAGAGTGTCGGCTTTCACTCAAGGATACGTCAGTAAAAGGCTGCTTTTAAAGTAGGCCCTCTACTTGGCAATACGATAACATTTTCCACAACTATGGCTGTATTTCAACTACCTCTACCTGTATAGGGGCGGCGAGGGCTCGTTGGTGGTCGTGTGGACGGTTTCATACACGTTTCCCCTGTTTGTTTTTTGTGGTTTTTTGAGATGAGATATCTCACGTTTTCCTTTGATCCAGCACCCATTGCAACATCCCCTGGAGTCGACCTTGTACGCCGGTCCTTTACGTATCGCGGGAAGATTAGGTAGTTTACGGGTCCGCTTTCGGGTGGAACTGCAAAATGATCCATGCCTTGAGATTCACCAGCCGGAGAGAGAGAAAGCTTAGCTTAGCTTTTCGACGGTTCGGCTCGAACAGACTGCGATACTTAATTAGGCTGGACTTCTGCTTTGATGCGTGTGTTTACTGCATTCGTCAATCACCCCCGATCCGCATCTGCGCAATGCGTATGCCCCGATATCAGAAATTAAAAAAGCAAAACTTAACCCTGACTTATAGGTCTTTCCATGCTTAGATCTGACGTGCTCGTAATACCCTTGATCCTTTTTATCCTAGTAATGAGGTATTTTGCTTAAGCTATTGAAATATTGGTGATAATAACCCAAGTTCCCGGTCTTTATTTTGATAAGCTATTTGTATCTATATTCTGTCATAACAACCACTCTTCCCTCATAAGTCATGCCATCTATTTTAGCAACACCTGTATTAATTAATACTACCTAGGTAGTCAACCGTAAATACCTACATATATGTACATATATACGTTAGGTACATAAGGTCATTTAGTTCAAGTACATACCTAGGCGTACTGGCTTATCTCACGTGAAGTGTAAAGTAATCTCAGCCTCATACATAGGTACACGGGACCCCCACCCGATACCGACCCTCTTTTTTATAGGAAGATAAGTGGAAGATAGTATCCTCTCCCCACAATAGAATTTAACCAATTTAATCCATCAATTCGCAGGGCTGATCCTAGGAAAAGCCAAGGCCAAACGTCACAGGGCCAGTTTTCATCAGAGGTATGTACTATTAACTTTCAAACCAGCATATGCACCTACAATTAACAAATCCGTCCCTCAAGCATGTGGATGCCGCCTCCGTGCATTTTCCGTTCAACTACTTGACTCTCAAATTTGTCCAGGTAGCATGTGCTACTTTTCAAAACAGCTGCTGTCATCTTCTTGCTATCCTGCTGTCCTGCTAGTTCAGCATGGATCAGTATCCATCCGTAACCCGAACTCTCGCAGCCCCGTCGGCTGAGAAGTCCAGCCAGCTGCTCATCCGCGAATATCCTCATCGAGCCATCGCCATTAGGACACCGACTCATGCCTTGATCTTCCGATATAGCCCTAGTACAAGCGAGGCAATCGCCAATGGCTCGCTTGCATCCGTCTCGTCAGCACGACCCCGGGCTGCCGGGGACGGCCCCGTGTCTAAATGCATGGTCGAATTCTCCCCCGTCTCTAAGCAGCTGCTTAGCGACTTCAGACCTCTCACTCCCCGGCCCATATACGGAACCCTAGGTCTCATATCTATAAACCAGGACGTATTCCTATGTGTAATCACGCAAGCGTTACGCGTGGCGACGGTGCGTCCCGGGGAGACGGTCGAGAAGATTGCGAGTGTCGACTTCTTCTGCCTCAATAGCGCCGAGTACGATAATATTGTATCCCTGAACACGTACGAGGACGAGATATCCGAGTCCATGTCGCCGTATGGCCAGAACCTCGGTCGGAGGGAAGGCGAAATAGAATACCCATATCAGGAACTGCAGAAGCTGTTAAGCAATGGCAGTTTTTACTACAGTACAGACTTTGATCTGACCAACAGGCTTCAGGATAGGCCCATAGACTCGGACACGTTTAACATTGACAATTTTGATGATTCCTTCTTATGGAACTATTTCATGATTAGTCCTCTAGTTCAGTTTAGATCTCGGCTCCTAGCGCACGAGCGTGAGGCCCTCGATGCTTCTAGGATTTTAACCTCCGCTATACGAGGATTCTGCTTAACCATGACAATCCCCCAAAGCGCAGCGCCTTTACGGGATGGCAGGTCCGGTCTTCCTTCCTTTCTCACTGTTATTTCCCGCCTATCATGTAAACGAGCTGGCACTCGCTTCAACAGTCGAGGTATCGACGATGACGGGCACGTGGCCAACTTCGTGGAGACGGAAACCATTTATTGGAGCCCATCTGGCGTTCTCTTTTCGTATGCACAAGTCCGTGGCTCGGTACCAGTGTTCTGGGAGCAGACTCCAGGGCTCATTCCTGGTCAGCAGAAGATAACCGTCACCCGTTCAGCCGACGGGACACAGCCAGCCTTCGATAAACATTTTGAAGACCTGGAACAGTCTTATGGTGCTGTACATATTGTTAATCTGCTCAGCGCAACGAAGCCGGGCGAAGCCGAGCTGACGCATCTATTCCACTATGGCTTAGAGCATTGTTCACTTAGCCATGCTGGTGAAAAGCAGTCTGCTGACCATGCTCTACTGCGAGAGACCGACTACGATTTTCACATGGAAACTAAAGCTGCAGGATACGAAGCTGCTCGGGAAATCCGCCGATATATTGAGCATTCAGCTGACGGATTCGCGTATTATCTTGCTGAGCTCACAGATGATATGGCTGATACGAATGAACCGACGGGCCATCAAAGAATGGTGGTTGTGCTTCAACAGGAAGGAGTCTTCCGGACAAATTGCCTAGACTGTTTAGACAGGACTAATCTAATCCAGACGCTAATCTCACAAATGGCTGTTGAAGCCTTCTTGAATCATCGTGGGGAATATGCTGCGTCGGATTTCTGGATGCGGCATTCTACTCTCTGGGCCGACAACGGCGATGCTCTCTCCAGGATATATGCCGGAACAGGAGCTCTCAAATCTTCCTTCACAAGACATGGCAAGATGTCTATAGCTGGTGCATTTGCGGATGTCCGGAAAAGCGCAACGAGGCTCTATATTAACAACTTTGCCGATAAGGCAAGGCAGAATACGATTGATATGCTCTTGGGGCGGCTGGTTGGTCAGACTCCTGTTCATCTCTTCGACCCTATTAGCGACTTTATATCTAGTGAACTCGGTAAGCGTAGTGCCGAATATTCATCGACGGAAAATATTACGATGTGAGTCCCGAGACGTCCTAGCTGTATGCCAGTTTAACAAAACTAACTTTCTATAGGTGGGTTGGGACATTTAATCTAAACGGCCGTACTAATGGTATTGACGAGGATTTATCCCCTTGGCTTTGCCCTCAGGAACTCGGTTCAGTGCAGCCTGAGATAATGGCCGTTGGATTTCAGGAGATCGTTGAGTTGAGCGCGCAACAGATCATGAATAGCGATCCTCGTAGAAAGCAGCTATGGGAGCGAGCTATTAAAAGGACCCTAAACAACCGTGCCAAACGGTTAGGAGGCGAGAGGTATGTCCTACTTCGTAGTGGACAACTGGTTGGAGCCGCCTTATGCATCTTCGTAAAAGCATCATCACTTCCTAAAATAAAGAACGTTGAAGGAAGTGTCAAGAAAACTGGCATGTCTGGCATAGCAGGAAATAAAGGCGCGGTTGCCATTAGGATGGAATATGCGAATACTCAACTATGTTTCGTGACAGCTCATCTTGCTGCCGGGTTCGCCAATTATGACGAGAGAAATAAGGATTACGCTACTATTCATCATGGACTACGATTTCAAAGAAACAGGAGTATTGACGATCATGGTAAGTGGATGAGCATGCATAGTACTCTATCTCTTACTAATTTATCTGCAGACACGGTCGTCTGGCTTGGTGATTTTAATTACCGCATTGGCCTATCGCATGAAAAGGTCATGGATTTGATTCAGAAAAATGATCTGGAGAGACTCTATGAAAATGACCAGGTACGACTACACAACAACGTCAAACGAATAGACGGACGCTAACATGCTTCAGTTAAACCTCCAAATGGTTGCCGGTCTTTCTTTTCCATATTACTCAGAGGCTAGAATTACCTTTATGCCAACTTATAAATTCGATGTTGGTACCGATAGATATGATACCTCGTAAGTCTCTGTAATATACGTTCTATGGATAAGACTAATATCAAGGCAGCGAAAAAGCTCGTATCCCGGCATGGACAGATCGCATCTTACGCAAAGGCACGAATATAAGGCAACTATCATATAACTGTGCCCCCTTGCGTTTCTCGGACCATCGCCCGGTATTTGCTACGTTCCAATGCACAGTGAACATCATCAACGAAGCACTTAGAGAACAGATCAGCCAGGAGCTGTATGAGCGCCGCAAAGCTGAAGTTGGCCACATGGCGTCGAGTTTAATTAGTGAGGACTCTGAAGACGACGAAGATCTAATTGGGTATGATCCTATCGAGCCAGGTTTGCCTCCGGCGAGCTCAGACCGACAGAGATGGTGGCTCGAGAACGGCAAGAGGGCGCAGTCTACAGTTGGCCCACCTAAGCCTAACAGCGGGAACCGCGATAATTCTACTATGATGTTAAATCCTAACCGTCCCTCAAACCCATTTTCTCCAACCGAGGAGCCTGATTGGGTTGCGATTCCCAGGTCCAATTCAAGGCTCTCGTCTTTTTCCAGCATCTCCAGCTCGCCATATGAGCATATCAACCACTCTACCCTTCTATCATCATCCGCCGCATCCAACTCGTCGCCTAGAAAGCTACCGCCGCCCTTTGATCCAGCAACATTACCTGTCAAATTCGGTCAAGTCAGCTTGCTTGACGAGCAGACACCTATACAGAGGAACGAGGCCCCACCGCCACCTCCGCCTAGAAGGCAGACCTCCACAGGCTTTACGCAGCCCTCTCAGACGCTCACCCCGTTGGGCGCGCAATCAGTATTGCGAGAAGCGAAGTCTAATGGCTTGCAACAGCCATTACAGGCAGTAGCATCCTCATCTCAGACATCGACCAAGTCTAAAGCACCCCCACCTATAGCAAGGAAACCAGTTCATCTCATGTCTACTTCGCCAACGACCAGTCCAGCAGTATCCGAAACTGGTAGCTTTAGTTCGCTCATAGACCAGCAAACACCTAAGCCATCCATCCCACGTAAAACTTCTAACGCTGTTTCCAATCTGACTTCTAGACTCGAAGCTAGTAGATCCGGGGCCTTAACGGGCGGAATGCACAAGACGACGACTATGCCACTTCATCTAGAAACCATTTCTTCTAACGAATACCCTGTTGGTGCATCAAGTCGAGTATCTCTGCCTGGACTGGGAAACATAGAACGCAAGCCAAACTTGCCGACTCGCCCGCAACCGCAACCGCAACCGCAACTACAACATATACAACCGCCCCGGCCAGAGGCGAGAAAATCTACCGTCGACCTCCTGGGCGGTGACGATGGGGCCGATGTGAACGGGTGGGAGACGTTAAAACCGAACTAGTTATTTTATGTCGCATTTAGACGGGTACTGGGTTGTCAAATTTTAATACAGCATGGTGTTTACGGCGTTAAAGTATTAAAGTGTTAAAGTTAGACGAGTATATACGGGTCTCAATTGAGAGACTAGACGAAAGCTTTGCTTTACTTGTGAGACGGTTTGATATTATTGTGATGTTGTTGATATGCTAAACATAGTATATAGTGTGTAGTGAATAGCGAATATGAGAATATGTTGCTAATTGTTTAGATTTGCATGTTAGTTATTGGTATAAATGTATAAGTGTACCTATGTATACCTAGGTAATTAGATGGACTCGGTCAGCTACTGCTGTACGCCGAGTAAACTCCGTTGAATTCTACATCATCAATGCTAAGATAAGATAAAGCTTTAACTTAGGGACTGAGGGATACCGCGTCCGAGTCACGCGTTACATCGACAGCTCTCGGGTTGCTTGGAACAACCGTCGAAGCTTCAATAGATTGCCCAATCATACTTATTCTATGAATTAAGTGATTAAGTGGGAGAAACGTTTGCGGCCCGAGTTTTACTATGCCGAACGATCAAACTCAATGTACTACCATAATATACCGTGATACGGATACCCCAAGGTCTCACGAACAGGTATCTAGAGACTAGAGTACGGGTCTTCGAACACAATGGTTGATGAAGACAAGATGCCGGGCTCACACAAAAGGTTACGGGAGAGAAAATTACGGATGATCGAAGCCTGGAGAGCCGAAGTCAAGTCGAATCAGAATTATTGCGCGTGCTCTAGACCCAGCTTAGGTTCATCTAAAGGCACAAATGAGGCATCGGGATCTACATCGACTACAGCCGTGGGTATAGACAGCAGACCACAATCATGGCATCAATCTAATTCTACCTTGTCTAAGCCTCCTGTCGCCCTTTCGCCAATGGACATTACAGAGCCAGAACTTTTGGGCAAACCAACGTGTCCTGTTTGCCACTTGCTGATCGATCAAGACATATCGTTAAAGAAGCTTAGGGAGCATGAGGAGACGGGTCTCGTACGCAAGGGAAGTCCACGGTCTTCAGCCAGCTTGCTCAAGCTGGACCAGGTTATATTGTCCCATGAGCATCCCCATGAGCATCAAACCGCCAATATACCGAAGAACCCGAGCGTCATCAAAAGACAATTCTTAAACCCGTTTATAAAACTCAAACGTTTAGGGCTGAAGACCGTAGCCTCCTCGAGAGCATTGAAGGCCAAGGGGATGCGCAGTCTAAGGTCTCTCAAAACAAAGAAGTCCTCGCCGCCGAGCGATAACGTTGGCGTTCGAGATAACCGCCCCCGCGCCACGGAAATATACGCTCAGTACAGGCTGGATGCCTCGTCGGCGGGGTCAGTTGCGACCCTGGCGGGATTGAGTGATGATGAGCGTAGAAGGCCTGAGCTAACTATTGATGAATCTGCAGCTCGTCTTCGAAGAGCTGCCCGCTTATTAGACCGCGCAAGTGCCCCCATTGCGATCGAGAATACGAATAATTCACCGGAAGTTTAGGTCAACGAGACGTTATACGGAAGGGTTAAGGGTATCACGGAAAAGAGTAGATTCGATGTTTTAAGGATACCAAGCGTTCTTCTTCAAAGCGCTGCTTTCACGGGATATAATAATTATAATAGCATTGGCTATCCTTATATAAGTGAGTGATAGAGGCGTTAGAGGGGATGGCCGGACTTGGGATACGGGATACAGCGGCATTTGAATTTAATAATAGGAATACTCATTAGTATTAAGAATCGGGTTCTGATTTATCAGAATGGGACAGGAGCACATGTAGATTACTCCAGCTGTTGATGTTTAGTCGACTACCCTACCTACTATATCGTATATAAAAGACCCTCCATTGACTGACTTCAAGCTCTAATTACAATTCACTCTGTCTAGAGAGATATATATATAAAGCTATTTAGTTGGATGCTAAACGAGGTAGAGAATGAAATAGGTAGAACAATGCAGGCCTCAGATTTAATAATTGAGATCATTTCCATTATGGATATCCCTCTTCCTATCATATGATTTATTGGAGTATCATCACCGGCCTGCTTGTTGCTTGAGAATTTCCTAGTAGAGTGCTGGGAGAGATGAAGGAAATATACCTACGAACAAGGCCAATATTGGAAGTCTTGAGATATTGAGCCTCTTATTCTGGTAGAGAATATTACGCTTGTAATTGTCATGCAGAGGTTTCTCACATATGTTGAGTCACTGATACTATCGAAGAGCTCATGATATTGAATCTCCTATTGATAGTGATTGCGTGAGGAGGTTGGCCTTGAAAATAGAATTGTATATCAGAAGAGAGGAGGAAATGATGTATGTTGTGTTGAATAAATTTTCTGCAGTATTTTATTTTAGCGCTAGAGCCAAGTAGTACGGGTACGTACCCACACTGTTTAGAGAGAGATGGCATTTAAGCATGGAATTTCTTGAACAGATCAAGGATCAATAACTGTTGCACATAGAAAAAGATACATGTTACTATGTAATTGACTTTAGGACCTTGTTTACCTAGGTACCTCATAAGGTTTGAGAAAGAAACACACACAAACTTATTGTTTCTACCGAGAATCTTTAGATGAAGGCAAGTGCAAGTTAAGAAACGTACAAAGCAACAGACAGGTATGAAAATAAAAGACCCACACACATTCCCTGTTAGTGCAGTTAATGAATGTAATGAATGTAAGTGCACAGACCACATGCAAGATATCCCATGCTCCCAGCCTCATTTAGCTGCATGTGCTTTTCCTTCCTACATACCTTAGTTAGCACTATTTGAACTTTCTCTTGCGATCATCATTGTTCGTCGATCTCGACAACCTCATTGTCATCCAAACCCATTCCCCGTCGCGTCTTTCACATCTGGGGGGGTCATGAAACTTCAGAACTGCATTATTCCTTCATTGTAATTATCTTGTTAAAATCACCGCCATTTCAATCCCGTCCACGTCTTTTTTCATTCCTAGCCTCGAGTAAACCCACATCTCTCTACTTGCCTTTCATCACCTTCACCGCGTTGCTAAACGGGTCGCATACCATTTTCTACAAAGATGGCCGATTTTAATCAGTTCGGCTCTTCTGACGAGGAGAATGCCGAGATAAAAAAGTTGACACTCGAAGTGGAAGCCGACACGGATAACTTCGAGTCTTGGGAGAAGCTCATACGTGCTTGCGAGGCCCAAGAAGGGGGACTTAACCGGAATTCCAGTCCCCAGGCGCTTGCTGCGCTTCGCGATGTCTACGATCGATTCCTCCTCAAGTTCCCGCTTCTTTTCGGGTACTGGAAGAAGTACGCCGACCTCGAGTTCAACATATCAGGCCCTGAATCTGCTGAGATGGTATTTATTAACTTCCCTTTCTGATAAGTCGGTAGTTACTGTAAGCTAACTTGTGTTAGATCTACGAACGTGGATGTGCGAGTATAACAAACTGTGTTGATCTATGGGCTTCCTATTGTTCCTTCAAGATGGAGACCACCCACACCCCCCATTTGGTCAGAGAGTAAGTAAAACCGGATGTTTCCTACCCCATAACATTTACCACCAACAGAGCAAAAGCTACATAGCGACCCCTAACACTATCGGAACGTTTAATACACGACTGCTTAGTCGTTGACGGTGAGAGATGCCAACAGAATCCATGACATGTTGGATACTTTCTCACAGATTCTGCCAGGCCGTGGTTCCCTACAATGTCATTGGTTTGACCTTGAACATCCTCGTCGCACTCTACACCCTGCGCCTCAAAACGGATTGATTTGGAATCGGAATAGTTGCTTGCACAAATCCCTCCTCTTCTGTATTTGCCCTCCTACCCACCCTCACTCCCCAACCCCCTTTATCGTTCTCGTCTTTGCTGACCTTTACCTCCAGGCTCTTCGAGCGAGCCGCAACTTCTGTCGGCCTTGACTTTTTAGCACATCCCTTCTGGGATAAGTATATTGAGTATGAAGAGAGACAGGAAGCGCAGGATAAGATCTTTGCCATCTTGCAGCGAGTTATCCATATCCCGATGCACCAGTATGCTCGATATTACGAGCGCTTCCGCCAACTCGCCCACAGCCGGCCTATTAAGGAGTTGGTACCACCCGAGACGCTCGCGCGTTTTCGAGCAGAGGTGGAGGCTGAGGGCGCTGCGTATGGTGTGATGCCGCGGGCTGAACTGGAAGTCGAGCGAGACGTCCGTGCTAAGATCGATGCCATGTTCTACGAGGTCTTCCAGAAAACTCAGGATGAAACGAATAAGCGATGGACGTACGAATCGGAGATCAAACGGCCGTATTTCCACGTTACCGAGCTAGAGAACACGCAGCTAGCTAATTGGCGGAAGTATCTCGACTTTGAAGAGAGCGAGGGCGATTTTGCTAGGACGACATTCCTCTACGAGCGTTGTATCGTCACATGTGCCCTGTACGATGAGTTTTGGCTGCGCTATGCCAGGTGGATGTCGGCGCAACCTGGAAAAGAGGAAGAAGTCCGTCATATCTATATGAGAGCTGCCACCCTCTTTGTGCCTATTAGCCGACCAGGCATCCGCCTGCAGTTCGCTTACTTTGAGGAGTCTTGCGGTCGCACCGGCGTCGCCCGAGATATCCACGAAGCCGTATTGATGCAGCTGCCCGACTGCGTGGAGGCCATCGTGTCTTGGGCCAACCTTGAGAGACGACAAAACGGACTCGATGCGGCTATCCAAGTCTACAAGGCCCAAATCGATGCGCCACACGTTAACATCTTCACAAAGGCCGTTCTCGTTACTCGGTGGGCTTTCTTGCTATGGAAGATTAAGGGATCCGTCGACGAAGCAAGAACCGTTTTCCTGAAGAACGTCCAGTGGTATGCTGATAGCCGCCATTTCTGGGAGCAGTGGCTTGAGTTCGAACTAGAACAACCGACAAACGCAGAGATCGAATCTCAACATGCCGAGCGCGTTAAGCACATCTTTGACGAGTTGTTGGCGAAGAGCCGAATATCATCGACAGCTAAGAAGGACTTGTTCCTGGTCTATCTTGCCTATCTCCAAGAGAGAGGTGGTGCGGAAGCGATGAAGCAGTTCCTTACTATCGACCGTGAGATCTACGGGTATGTGGCTTCTTTTTAGTTGTGTCTACGTTGAAATACTAACATTGCGTAAAGTCCTACTTCATTGTCAGTGCTCGATAGGCCTGCAATTAAGGAGAACGGCGTCGCAAGAGCCCCTCTAGACGATGCTACCAAAGCAAAGGCTGAGAGTAGATACCCTGCATATTACGAGTACTATATGGAACCCGAGCCCAACCCGCAAGGAACTGCACCTTTCCAGTAAGGTCGAGCGCAAACTCAGCTTCGACTCCTCGAGAGTCGGTATTCAATATTCTGACCTCGACGAGTAATAATGCCCGGGGAGTAGGAGGGGGCAATGGATTTGTATCATACTTGAATTCCACTTGTGTTAAGGGCTTATTTATAATAGGGGCATATGAAGTCTCGGACGAATTGGGATGATAGGTAAAGGAGAATCTGGTGTGTACAACGGCCAGAAATATTCACTCGAGGAGCTCACTGCACTCGGAAGTTACCAGGCAATAGTTCGTACGCGTGTTTTTACGATTGATTAAGAAATGAGAATTAATCCACCAGTGTTTCAATTGCTAAAATACCTATAGGTAGATATTGTAAATGATTATGTCATATTTGTTTTCTATTAGTGTTTAAAAGAATTGTCGATGCTGCTTGAGTCAGATTTGATCAATTGAGTCATCCGTGAGAATATGATATCTGATGACGAGCTGGCATTTTTGCAGCTTCTGCGGAAGACGAGACGATTCTGCCGAAACCACAAGCCGGTAATCGGAGATAAGGCTTTAATAAGCTACCAGGTACCTACCATGCTCGGACAAGCTCGGGCAGCTGGGATGTTTCTGTTCTGGCTTTTTTCTTCTTTCTCTGCTATGTAAGTACCTCATACTATGTAGTGGCAGCAGGGTGGACCTCGGGTGCGGCGCCGTGCGGGCAGAGCGGACTACACGTACTTACTCCGTGCCAGTGGTAAGCTGCCTTAGCGGGTGGGTTTTGCGGTAGCGTTTTAATGGTGTAATTACTAATACCTAAGGCTTAACGTTCCTGACAAATACGAAATATCTAGGTAGGTACCTAGGTAGTTAAACCAAAACTTTCCAAGTAAGGGAACATACATTGTTAGCAGTTTGGTTCAACTCGGGGAGAATGGATGGAATTTTTTGGTTGTGATGGTTCGATTATCGACCTTGAATCTACCTATGCAATACACGTGGGGGCATTGAATCTTTTTTTTTTACATATTCTATACCTTTGTTTTATAGGTACGGCCTGAGAGAGAACATTACATGTATTGTACATGCGCACGCGCAGGTTGCATGCATGCGTGGCCCCGTGAATCTAGGCGTTCTATTCGCTACGTCGTTGTTGGCATCAGATGTTGCCATCGGTTGCTCTCTCTCTCTCATCAACAAAAATTCCTCCGCAGGTAAGAACTTTAGTACTACGTATGTACCTACCTACATAGGTTGGTTGGTAGGCCATGGCAAGCGCGAAAGGAAAAGAGAGAGAGAAAAAGATAGGTACCCATTTAGGGGCCGGGGGCCCACTCTAGTAGAAGCCGAGAGAAAATGATGCTAGGGGGGGTCGCCACCCAATAGGACGGCTTAGATTCTTTCTTACTAAACATTTCGGCTGCTTTTCCCAACGACGGAGACTTGCCGTCCTCGGATTTCTTTTCCTGTAAGCCTTTACATAGAATTGGCCTCTTCCCTCATCGTCCCTCCTTCATCGTTATATATTAGCTCTCTCTTGCTTTTTTTTTTTCGTTTAATTTCCTTCCCCCGGTTGAACCCAATTGCATTCCTCTGCTGTGCACTAGGAAAGACAAAAGTAAGATATCCATCATATCACCCCGCTAATATTATATTTCGTCGTGTGTCTAACCCACGACGCTGTAGATGTCGGCCGCAACTGTGTCCCGCCAGATGGCCCGCGCGGCCCTGCGCACCTCCGCTAGAAACACATTTGCTACATCTTCTCGGCAAGCATTCCGACAGCACGGCCGACGATTCTATTCGTCGGAGCCTCCCAAGACCTCTAGCTCGTCGAGCCTGATCTACCTGGCAGGCGCCGCCGTTGCGGGTGCTGCCGGCTACTATTTCTACACCTCGAACAACTCGGGTAGCACCAAGGTGTTCTCAGCCACCAAGGACGACTACCAGAAGGTGTACAACGAGATCGCCAACCGCCTCGAGGAGAACGACGAGTACGACGATGGCAGCTATGGCCCCGTCCTCGTTCGTCTCGCGTGGCACGCCAGCGGTACCTACGATAAGGAGACGGGTACCGGTGGTAGCAACGGTGCTACTATGCGATTTGCCCCTGAGGGTGACCACGGCGCAAACGCCGGCTTGAAGCACGCTCGGGACTTCCTTGAGCCTGTGAAGGGTATGTTCTTTTTTCTATCCGTCAAGATTTAAGACCACAAGCTAACACCTAGCTTATAGCCAAGTTCCCCTGGATCACCTACTCCGATCTCTGGATCATTGGCGGTATTGCTGCCATCCAGGAGATGCAAGGTCCCGTCATCCCGTTCCGACCCGGCCGTCAGGACCGAGATGCCGCAGCCTGCACTCCCGACGGACGTCTTCCTGACGCTGCCAAGGGAACCCCTCATCTCCGTGACATCTTCTACCGCATGGGCTTCAACGACCAAGAGATCGTTGCCCTTGCTGGTGCTCACGCCCTCGGTCGTTGCCACACCGACCGAAGTGGATTCGATGGACCGTGGACCTTCTCTCCCACCGTCCTAACCAACGACTATTACCGCCTACTCCTAGAGGAGAAGTGGCAGCTGCGTAAGTGGGATGGCCCCAAGCAGTACGAGGATGTCAAGACCAAGTCGCTCATGATGCTGCCGGCCGACTACGCCCTTATCCAGGACAAGGCAACGAGGCCTTGGGTAGAGAAGTACGCCAAGGACAACGATCTCTTCTTCAAGGACTTCGCTGCCGCCGTTACTAAGCTCTTTGAGCTAGGTGTGCCTTTCAAACAGGACACCGAGAAGATCATCTTCAAGCCTGTTAATGCTTAAATTTAATGAGATACCATCTAATAGAGTCAGAAGTGATGTAGAGAAGGAAGGCAAGGCTAGAGTTAGACCTAGAAGCGATGTCGCGTCGTGACTGTCGACGGGAGAACTGACGAGAGCTGTTAGAGTGGGATACCTGCCCCCGAGCAGGGCTTGATTGAACTATATACTGTTTCCATTAGCCTAGTTATCTATTCGATCTTGTTCCAGCGAAGTTTAAGAGCTGTATATATCAATGAAGCGTTCCCATCCCTATATCCATTCCATGTGTTAGGTATTAGGTATTATGTGTAGTCTTGTTTGCTTACCGAGGTAAAGTTAAGAGGGAAAAGGGAAAAGAATCCGGGGATGATTGAAATAGAGATGTTTTAATAGGTCGACTCGCAGCAAACGTAATGGAGATCCTTTTTGTTCTCCACTGCCATGCGGTTATGTACTATTATGTCTTAGGTACTGTTGTACGTAGGTATGTACGTACTCTGATTTGGAGATGGAGTCGTGCCCCACGTTTTGTCGATAAGTCTTTACTATGCCTTAGCTATCCGCTATCCGCGATTTCTACATAGTACGTCCAAAGTTCAATTTTAGCTTCGTTTTTAATTCTACACTTAACCACCACATCCTTGGAACCCGCCAATTGGTGAAGCGTGGTAATAGGAACATTACCTACATAGGTAGATAGGGTTGTACATACCTCCTACTCGGTATTTTTCTTCTTCTTTTCTTCCCGCCCAGTCTTTCCCAATGGCAACGGCGCGCATCCCGGCCCTGCGCAACCTCCTCGGCCGGCGGCAACCATTTCGCCTGCCGGGCCAGCAGCGCCGCTGGGCCCAGGTCCACGACGTGCGCTTCGTAGCCACCACCCAGGCCGCCCGCAGCGTCACCGAGAAGTACCGCGACAAGCTCGACCGCAAGGCCCGCGAGGAAGGCCTGCGCGATATCGGCGAGCTGAAAGAAGCGTACAAGGACCGCATCCAGGAGCTTAAGAAGAAAGATAGCGTCTCGGTTCCCGGGCTCGATGCGCTGCTTGCGGATGAGCCCGTGCCGGTGCAGACACAGGCTGGGGATGGGATTACTCAGAAACCACCGCCGCCGCCGCCGTCACAATCGCAAGTCCCACCCGTTAGCACGGGAAGCACAAACGCCGCTGTAAAACCGCTCTCCGAAATCCTCGACCTGCCGAAAGCCCGCGCGCTCCCCGAGAAAGAACTCGGCGCGATATGGCGGCTCCGGCACGCGTCGTCGCCGAACTCGCTCTGCGCGGTGATCCCCAGGGCGACGTACGCGACGCTCGAAGCGACGGCGCGCCGGCACCCTTCCTTCGTGCTCCCGGTGCCGCGGGGCGCGGACGTGGGCGCGGAGATCCACTTCCTGCAGTGGGTGTTCGACGGGCCGTCGCGGACGGCGACGGTGCTGTTCACGCAGCTGGCGGAGTACAAGGCGCGCGGGGAGTGGGCGCAGCCGCACACGAGCGTGACGCACTACGTGGACGAGGGGCTGGCGGGGGTGCTGATGGCGGGGAGCGTGGTGGATGGGCGGGGGGCCAGCGTGCAGGATGCCAAGTGGCTTGTTATGCTTATGCAGCGGTTTTACGGCGGGGAGGGGACTGGGGGGGAGAAGGATAAGGGGAAGAGGAGGTTGTTGGAGGAGTTTGGACGGGGGGATGGCGGGTTTAGCGTTGAGAGGTTGTTGGAGGAGAGTGAGAAGTTGGGTTGAGTTGAGGGGGTGCTGGAGGGTATGGACGATTAACAAGATTAACAAGTTCGAGTCGAGATGGACTTGAAGCTTCGTATACATATGAGAGGGAAGGTCATAAAGGGCATTTTGAGAATGAGTCGGATGGGACTGTTACGAAAGAATATGCCACACGTGTATTCAGGACTGGTTTAGACGACAGATAACGCTGCTCACGGATAGACAAAGGGAAAGGGGGGCCTGTAGCTGGCTCGACTGTATAATTATCTGTATATATAAATTCTATATACATGGGTATTCCGGAATCTCGATAGAGAGGGTTCCACGCCTAGCTTTACATGCTGCTCTTGTCTTGACATCTTTCTACCTTCTATTTCTATTCTACTAATAATTATGTATCGTCACCGTATATACCATTATAGTAGCTTCCTCCCCCCTATCATAACTTGGGCCCTTCAGCCCTCTGATCCTCCCTCCTAGCCTCCTCCTTCAACACCCGCCGCAGCAGCTTACCGCTAGCATTCTTGGGCACCTCGTCGACGAACCGCACGCCGCCGCGCAGCCTCTTGTGCTGCGCGACGCGCCCCTCGACCCAAACGATAAGCTCCGCGGCCTTGGCCTCGTCGCGCGGGACGTTAGGACGGAGAACGACATACGCGCGCGGGACCTCGGTCTCGCGCACCTTGTCGTGCGCCGGCACGACGCACGCGTCGGCAACTTCGTCGTGGCCGAGGAGCACGGACTCGAGCTCCGCGGGGGCGACTTGGAAACCCTCTGGGCGGGCGTTAGTAGAGCCGGGGGTATATATAGGTAGGTAGGTACCTAAGGTAGGTATATATATATAACAAGGGAAGAGAACAGAAACAGGTAGGAAGATAGGTAGAGACTTACTATACTTGATCAACTCCTTCAACCGATCCGTAATATAAAAATTCCCCTTCTTATCGACGTACCCAATATCCCCCGTCTTGAAGAAGCCGTCCTCGCTAAACGTATCCTTCTGCAGCTCCGGCCGATTCCAGTACCCGGGAAAGACATTCGGGCCGCGGAACCAGAGCTCGCCGTCGCCGTCGCCGGGGCCCCTTTCGACGCGCGTCTCCACGTCGACGATCTTGGCCTCGACGTTGGGCAGCAGTTTCCCGCAGGACCCGTTGAACCGCTTCCAGTCGGCGATGTGGCCCTTGGTGACCGCGGGCGCCGTCTCGGACAGCCCGTAGCCCTGCATGACGGGGATGCTGAGGCGCGCCCATACCTGCTCGACTAGCGCGCGGCCGAGAGGGGCCGCGCCCGAGTTCACCCATTTTATGCTGGAGAGGTCGTATTTCGAGACGGAGGGGTGCTTGGCTAGGGCGAGGACGACGGGGGGCGGGATGGCGGCGAAGGTTACGCCGAAGTCTTGGATTGCTTGGCAGAATTTGTCGAGGTCGAATTTGGGCAGGACGACGACTTGCAGGCCCGTGAATATGCTCTGGAGGGCTATGCACGTGAGGCCCTTCGGTGTGTGAGTGAGTGTCGATTTAGAGCATATTTCTCCTTCGTGATATGATATGATATGGAGTGGAGGTAGGGTATAGGTGTTACATATTTATATCACTTACATATACGTGGAAGAAAGGCAGCACCGCGATCTGCTTATCGCCCTTCCCGTCGATCCCCCCTGAGTGGTAAATCCCGTTGAAGACATCGCAATGTCCCAGCTGCACAAGGTTGGAAGCGATGTTGTAGTGCGTGAGCATGACCCCCTTCGGCAACCCCGTGGTCCCGGAGCTGTACACGAGGAACGCGGTGTCCTTCTTAGGATCGATGCGGGGGCGCAGCGATAATCCCAGCAGTCCCGAGCTCCCGCGTATCTCGGTGAAGTGCTTGAACTTGCCCGTCGGGTCCCTCGCGTCGCCGAGCAGGATGATGCGGTCCTCGGATAACCCGATGGTCTTGGCGGCCTCGAGCACAGTCGGCAGCATAGGGACCTGCGTCACGATGCCCGCGACCCCCGAGTCTTTCATCTGGTACGCGAGCTCCTTCGCCGTGTACGTCGGATTAGCAGTCGAGCAAGCGCCGCCGGCCCAGTGCACGCCGAAGAACACGGCCGGGTAGTCTATGCTATTCGGCGAGAAAAATCCCAACACGTCGCCCTTCTTGAACCCCCATTGCGACTTGAGTCCTTTGCCGAACTCGAGAGCCGTGCTGCGGGCTTGCGCCCATGTATACGAGCGTCTTGTGTCGGGGTCGATGTATATTTCTGCCCGCCAGTGTTAGATATCTCTCCTTGTCATATATCTTACATATAAGGGAAGAAGTAATAATGGGTGTTCTGTAATAAACGTGTAATTTTTATTAACCTACCCTTGTCTTCCGGGAACGCCCTATCCTTCCTCTCGAATACGAGCTGCCATAGGTCGACCTCCGGGATCTGTAACGGCGGGTGAAAGGACTTGATAACCACCATGATGACGACGACGACGACGACGACGACGACACTACGGGAACCCCGGGAACACCTAGATAAGCAGAAACAAAGACGGTTAGATTTATATTTACATGCACGTTGTAGACAGCAATTAAATATGTATGTATATTCAAGCTCAAGCCGCTTGAAACCAAAATAGTTGTTAAGTTTAGGTAAAGAAAATCGACGAAGCTAAATCGGTGAACGCGAAGCTCCCGCGGTTAAAGCTCCCGAGGTTGTTAGTAGCGTCAGAGAAAGGAGCCGTGGGAAGCCGTGGAGCTCCCCCCTGGGATCCATTTAGAGCCCCGTCCCCCTCCCCGAGGCGATACGTTCTCCCATGTCAGTTGAGTGGAGTCTGTTGGGGTGGGAATATTGGCTTAGAGATATTAATATTGGCTTAGAGATATTATTAATCGGGGTTCGCGATCCCTGACCGGAGATGATCTTCCTGTCCCCGTTGTAATACTACATTTCAAGCTATCTAGCCTCCTACTATGTAGGTAGTGCCCTTACTCGCCTCTGATATTAAATATGATATCGACGACTAATTGTGTAAAACTAAGTCCCAAGTCAGTACGTGCGTATAGCTCTCCGGAAACACATGGATGATGGAAATAATGCTTATCTCAGATGGCTAGGCCATGGGGACCCCAGAGAAACCAGAACACTAATCCTAGAGGAGACAAGCTCCAATGTGTCGTTGTGGGGAACTTGGAGAGAAGTTGGAGCTGCTGACCAACGTGAAGATATTTAGAACAATAATTACATCACTATATATTCAAGCAAATAAAGTAGCTGAACGTAATATAGTATAAAATGAGAACGATAGACATTATGTATACTCTATGTGACCTATTTGTCTCGTCTTATATACGTTTAAATATAAATATATATATATGGCATATTATACGCATCAGATATGCTGTATGTAATCGTCTCCGTACCGTCATACATTCGTGTCCAAATGTATAAATCAAAGGGGGTATCATGTTCCAATCGAGGATTACGCCGAATCGCTACTCGACTGCTCAACATCCTCATTATCCGCCCCGGCCTTTTCTGGCCGTACCCACGCTGCGACGTCCTCGCAGCCTTTCGGTATTCTGCATTTGTCTCTAACGTCGCAAGTCTTCCATAGAACTTCCCGAATCTCCTCGAAAATCTCTTCCACCGCGTCCATCGCCCAAATAACATCCAGGTGTTCGTAGTCTGGAAGTATTTTACTGTGGACTACTCTGACGTGTGGTTCTCTTCCTTTCTCGAATCGTCGCAGCAGTTTCTTCCCATCTACGAGATTATCTTTTCCAGCTACCCATAGCGCAAATGGACACACCTTCTCGTTGTACCACGCCGTGGAGCCTTTGGGTTTCTTGTGGTGTTCTCTATTCACGTTTTGTAGTATAGAGCCTCGGCGCTTGCTGGCTGTTTCGGCAAGGGGTCCGTCTGTCCCATCCTCGCTCTCTTCACTTCGCCACTCCTCCTTAGTAGAGAGTATGCATTTATGTTTGGCAAAGCATTCCCTACCTAACCACCAGCGCATCGATTCGGCGCTCACGTAAACGGGAGCAAACTGAAACATGCGATCCCTCAGGCCACGATCCCAACGAGTATCCGTCCAGTCGAATAAAAACGAGAATACGGTGTATCCAAGCTGTCCGTAGATGCCAGAAGGTAGGATCGAATGCATGGTCATCATAATAGGAATGAATGCGTGAATACCGAACATAATTCGGAAGAGACCCGGCGATATCACGCGCATGAATTTGAAGTACATTTTGCCAATCAGCGGCCCGGCATAGGCTGCTGGTGCAAGGGCGCAGAACACGGTGAGCTTCTCTCCCAGCTCGGGACGCTGCTCTTTCGCTAAGGCCACGAACGTTTCTGTCGTGCCTTGTGAGTGACAAATCAACCCGGTCTTCTCGAATCCGGTCTCGAACAATACTCGTGAGACTAACGCAGATAGATCAAACACCCCCATCTGCCTAATATTCCAGCACCACATACGAGGATCTGAGTAGTCGAGTAAGGCGTGCTTTGGACTGAAACCGCATCGATTATTTCCTAGCCATACGTCATAGCCCGATTTGCATAGGTAAAATGCCAACGAGTCGTCGTCATTGACGCAGTAGGCGCCAGAGCTTTGAAGCAGACCATGCATCAGTAGTACAGGAAACTTACGCTTCTGGCTTGGGTCCCTTAATACTTTCCTGTTGTCGCCCGTGAATAATTCTGGTCCTCGGTAGGACCGTTCCTGATCATCCAACCTGGTATACTCGCGGGGATCGTAAACGTGCCACAGGTCAATGATGAATCCATCCTCGGTTTGTACTTGAAATTCCTCAATGTCCAAACCAACCCTCCGCGCATAGTATCCCACGTCGCAGACAACGGGATCCGGTCCACCTTCGGTCGGAATGTAGCCTTCATTTCCCTGGGCGTCCTCTTGATCCGAAGTTCTCCGTGCCTGGGATTGCCGCCTCTTCCAGGCCTTTTCCTGTTTATCTCGTACAGTCTGCCTCCGAATCTCCTCTTCGTGATAGGGCCTTTTAGCGTAAGGGTCTTGGAAGGTTATGCGCTTCCAGGCCTTGTAACATACTTTAGGTATGTTCGTAAATAGGGCGCCGAGAACAATTACTCCTAGGAAGGCGGCGCTAAGAAAAAATGATGTAAACCGAAAGGTCCAGCATTGTATGTCGCGAAGTAGAGACTGCGGCCCATACAAGGGAAGGGGAGGGAAAAGCGGATGCGTATTTGTCGGCGGCATGGACCTCCGCAACGAACCCTCAGATGATTTCTGTGCTGCTTTATTATTGGCGTAGGACACCGATCCTAAGCCAGCGACAGCATGAGGCGGTGAGAGGGCATCGTGACTGACATGATCAATCGCATCTTTAGAAATACCACTTTCTAGCTCTTCTTTTAATATGTTGAGTTTATGCGCTTCCTCAAGAGGGACAGTAGGCAGTCGGTTCCCATCGGCTGTGATAATGACCGGATCCTGTGGCGTCACAAATTGGGCCTCGACGGCAACCGTATCTATGTGTTCGTTATTTTGGGTTGTCTGAAGTGAGAGCTTCTCTGCCTGTTGGGCGAATTTGACGGCTGTTTGGACAGTAGCGGAGCTGGACGGCTCCGACATGGCCTGGTTATGGTCGGTACTAAGTCCCATTGCGATGTTTAACTATTATAAGTATATTCATCTGGCCTCGAAGGTTATTTGTCAAGTCTTTGTATGAACTCTTTAGACGGAAAGATAGTTTGCAAAAATTTCCAACTGGGATAATATCAAGTAAAAAATAATGAGTCGTGTACCGAATGGATTGACGTCGCTAAATCCAAGTGTGATCTAGTAATGAGATCTAGTAACCCAGCAATGTTTGCAATACCACGTCATGGTTTTCTTAGAGGGAAGATATTGAGCCGAACCCGGATTGGATTCCAAGGCAGCTAGCCACCGACGAAATGAAGATATATCAAAGTAGGGAGTTGATGTGCCACTAGTGTAAATCGGTGAATGACATTAGGATCAAGGGGTCACGATAAAAATGGAAAGCGATCGAGGGTAGAATCTTGCTAAGGTAGGTCCTGGAGATCAAGGAATACTACGTCAGTATGCAGATCGTAGTCTGAATTTCCTGTGTGCCTATTAGGTAGTTGATTCCGAGCCGCTGGGCACTAGTGAAGACTAAATGAAAGAGAACGTAGGGGATGAATGCTCCCTTGACTTAGGTTAAGTGTTGTGGGTTGGACGATAAAGACATGTGAAAGTGAAGAAGAGAGGGGACTATCGCCACTTTATATAGAGGCAAATGAAACCTTAAACTATGGTCTATTCAATGTCAAGTATTATGTAGATTAAATAATTGATGTTGACGGAAAGAACACTAGTCAAGTTAACTCTAAAGAAAGTGAAGAACGTGCGAGTTACATATTTCTATAAATTACCTAAGTGTAGTTGCGTAAGGAAAGTATAAATGGATAGCATTGGTAAAGTTGTGCTAAACAAGGCAGTCAAAGTTTACATTAGTTAGTACAAAGTTCTTGCCCGCAGAGATTAATACCAGAGTTACCTAAAACGAACACAATTGCACGTGTTTAATAGTTTACTTGAATCACATTGTAACTATTATTTCAGACGGATAAAAGAAAATTAAATAATTATACAGGATCATGCATATGTTCAATAGAATCTACATTCTTTTTCTTTAATTTTTTATTATCAATTAAGTAAGTAGTCGTATGTCACAACAACAACAACTTACATGTGGTACGAAGTAGATACAAAAATACTTGGGTAGATCCACCTTTAATTGCAAAGCCATCAATTGATATCGATAACGTTGGTTTATTCCACTTACCATACTATTAGTTGTTGGTCTGTGCATCTATCGAATATGGACAATGCCTCGGTCAAAATTATAGCAGGTGTAAGCAAAGCCGAAAGTCAATTGGGTCAATTGGGTGACCCGAAGAAGGAAGAAGCAAGAAGCGAAGAAGAATAAGAAAAGGGTATACAACGCGACGGAATAATATACCCGTGGGGTCTTATGAGTTGTCATCCTATCAATCCTATCATTTATCGACCTCGTCAAATAATTGTCTTCTAAAATTCCACTTTCCTCTATGCGCGACACCTCGCGACTTGCGGGGCCCTGATCCGCCTTAATGATTTCTATCACGGCGTACCGCTCCTTAAGATTCTAAAAGCCATACGTCGCGACTATGGCTACTCCTACTCGCGATCCAGGTGCTCATCGAAAGCGAAGGCGGAGGAGAAGGCAGGATAAGCCTGCCTTACCAGCAAAGCTTGTGCTGGACAATCATGTGAAAGGAGACGTTGGCATATTATCCAACAACCTATTCGCTGATTTGTTCCCTCACTTACAAGACGGTGAGTGTCTCGAGGGGATGCTTGGGCTCTCTGCACGTAGCCGTGTTCGAAAACTAATAAAGACCTAATGTGATACAGATTCGGGTGAAGACGAGACCAGCCAACCTCTCAACATCCAGCATGTTGCTATTGCCCCGTGGACACCGTCTCCGAATCCCCAACGGACAAATTGGACTATAGTCCCCATCGCTAAATCCACCTCCCTTGCCGATTCTACAATCCAATTCTCCCCTTCGTCCCTTGCCCTGCAAAGTTTTGCGACAATATTGCAGCAGGTTGCACCCTCGAGGCTTTCTGGTCATAATAGAGGCGGCATTGAAGTTCTGGTCTTAGACGTGGCAACCATCCCCTTGGATACTGTCTTTGTACACCTCGAAAGTGACTTAGTGAAGAGACTTGAGAATGGGGAAGGGACTTTCTTTAACGATCATCTCTCCGCTGAAAAGAAAGCGGTCACGGGGCCTGATGTTTCGACGGATCGCCTCGCTGCTGCGTTGCGTGTAGCTTTGGGGACCTTGAAGATCGTTCATAACGGAGACCTATTCCCTTTACCATTGCCTCCACATCCTATCACACACGTACCTCCTACACCCGGCAAGGTAACACTTTGCGAACCCGTAGCACAAGGCATCCTAGCACCAACTACCAAGATCATCTTGACGAGGGGTCACACTCAGTCGAAGCAAGCTCGAGGCGCCATTACCTCACCCCAAGCTTTAAATAGCGTCGACCAGGATGGCGAAGACACGGCAACCGACCAGTTTTATTCTGCTACCGAAGAACGAGATAAGGCGGATGGTCCGAGCGAGACGTCGGATATTATAACAGATGTTGACACGGAAATTTCAGAACCCGAGAATGAAGATGAACTCTCCGACGATTCACTTGACGAGATCATCTCTCTTCAAGCCCCGTCGCTGCCATCTACCAATGCTAGCGGCGTCTCTACCATGCAACCAGGAACGCCATTGACCCTTGGGCGAGGAAGGATCGGCAACGGCAATACTCCCTCGGTCTTCTCTAGTTTTACCGCTACGACCGCTCGCCAAGGTCGCCCTAAGGGTCGCCTCTTCAAGGCTCACGGCTTGATGAGCAAAATACCATCGGAATTACTTCACCCTAAACCAACAGCCGAAGACGATGAAGAAGCAAGGGTATACGTAGATATCATCTCTCTAACTAGGATAGGGTGCTTCTCCGGGGATTGGGTCCGACTCGAGGCCTCAGAGGAACCTCCGGCAAACGGAATCGGGTTGTTCGGCCTAGGCAGCTTCGGACAACCAGGGGAAGAAGAGTCAGTATGGCGACCAGCTAAGATTTATGGGCTCCCGGAGGGTTATTCCCACAGGCCCATGACTAGAATCCCAAGCTCGAAGCACGATGTAAATAATCGAAGACCTTCGTTCTTTGATTCCAAAGTTCCAACGCATACTGGACCTGGTGCGTACATGTCGCCCCTCTTGCTCGCAAACCTAGAGGGCGCGCCTTACGTTCGTTTATCTCCGTTGAAAAGAACAGCTCAACCTCCGAGACCAGGCCAGGCAAAAATCACCGGATCGATCCGCCCTCCCTACGCTCGCGATGTTACTCTTCAGCAAATACGCACGCCCGTCTCTTCCGAAAAAGCTCTTCAGACAGCTATATTCGGTGGACTCAAGGATCACTTCGCGCGAAGTATTCGCGTAGTCAAAACTGGCGATTTGGTTGGAATTCCAATTGACACGCAACTCGGACGTACCCTCCAGGAATCAACAAATACCGGCGATGGCCTTGTTCTTGACGACGTCGTAGCTCTTACAGCTTCAAGCAAGTCCGGTGCAGTAGCTGCATCAAAACCGGACGCCGTCGCTTGGTTCAAAATCGCTCACATAGAACGTCAAAAGACGGAACCCGTCGACGAAGAGGACGACGAGGATATTTGGGGTGATGTAGCTTGTGTCGACAGCTCTTCGACTCAGATTGCCCAATCTGGCGGTACTACTAGTTGTCTCCCAGGCACGAAAGATAGCAATTGGCCTTACTATTTAGGCGTTGAAGAAGCTCCTCGGCCTACATCTAGTGTCCTGTCTTCGGTGGCACAGCCTCAGGCGAGGTTTACCCCGCCCCTGAGACGGCGATTGAGAGAGCTACTGGCGGCTGCTACGAGTAAACGAGCTGTTCATCTTAAAATGCCCCCGGTTGCTGTTCTTCTCGTATCAAACCAACGCAACATAGGCAAGGCTACTTTGGCTACCAATGCTTGTGCAGACATTGGTCTACATACATTCACTATCGATTCTTATGACGTGGTTAATGAGAGTGGAGCTGGGGGGAGCGATGTCAAAACTGAAGGCCTCCTTAAGGCGCGAGCAGATCGTGCCATGAGTTGCGGTCCGGAATGTTGTGCTCTGCTTATTCGACATATCGAAGCCCTCACGGCCGATAGGATGGTAGCTGCAATGAAGGAAGTACTCAGTGATACTAGAGTATTAATTGCAACGACAACCGAAGTAGACAAGGTGCCGGACGGAATCAGAGGACTCTTTACCCACGAGCTCGAAATGGGTGCTCCCGATGAAGGCGAACGTGAGGGTATTTTGCAATCCATAATACAAAACCGAGGGGTATCTTTAGCTCCTGAGGTTGAGCTAAGTGGAGTCGCCATTAAAACGGCAGCTCTAGTTGCTGGTGATCTGGTTGATGTGGTTGAGCGTGCGATAGTCGCACGTGACTCACGCCTAGAGAGACTATCGACGAAGGCTTCGAACGATAATTCGATCGTCACCGTTCGCGATGTACAAGTGGCAGGAGGTTCGTCTGCGAGGTGTCTAACGAAGGCTGATTTCGAAATTGCTGTGGACGCGGCACGGAAGAACTTCGCAGACGCAATTGGCGCACCGAAGATTCCGAACGTCACCTGGGATGATGTTGGTGGTCTCAGCAATGTCAAGGAAGCGGTGATGGAGACCATCCAGCTTCCGTTGGAGAGGCCAGAGTTATTTGCTAAAGGAATGAAGAAGCGTTCCGGCATCTTGTTCTACGGCCCACCCGGTACGGGAAAGACGCTGTTAGCAAAGGCAATTGCTACAGAGTACAGCTTGAATTTCTTCAGTGTGAAGGGCCCCGAGCTGCTAAACATGTATATTGGAGAGTCCGAAGCCAATGTCCGCCGCGTCTTCCAGCGAGCCCGAGATGCGAGACCCTGCGTTGTCTTCTTCGACGAACTTGATTCGGTTGCTCCAAAGCGAGGAAACCAAGGCGACAGTGGAGGTGTCATGGATCGTATCGTCTCCCAGCTTTTAGCAGAACTCGATGGCATGTCTGGGGGAGATGACGAAGGAGGCGGCGTCTTCGTTATTGGCGCCACGAACCGACCCGATCTACTTGATCAGGCGTTGCTACGTCCCGGTAGATTTGACAAGATGCTCTACCTTGGCGTGTCCGACACGCACGAAAAGCAGATCACAATTATGGAAGCCTTGACAAGAAAGTATGTCTTTAATCTAATTATCTTAGCCTTGCACAGGGGAACAACTCATAATATGCATATACTAACCTCGCCTACAGATTTACACTCCACCCGTCCGTCTCATTGCCGGCTGTCGCAGAGCATCTGCCCTTCACTTACACGGGTGCCGATTTCTACGCGTTGTGTAGTGACGCTATGCTTAAGGCGGTTACGCGACAGGCGTCTCTAGTAGACACCAAGATTCGGGTTATCAACGCGGAGCGGGAGAAAGATGGGCACGGCCCGATCTCCACAGCTAACTTCTTCGACCACCACGCCACGCCCGAGGACGTCGCTGTCATGGTCACAGAGCAAGACTTCCTCGACGCGAACCGGGAACTAATCCCCAGCGTCAGCGCCGGCGAGCTCTCTCATTACGAGCAAGTCCGCGCCACCTTCGAGAACCAAGACTCCAAACCTCAGAAGCAACAACGACCGCCGTCACCGCCGCCGCCGCCTCAGCCAGAAATAGCCGAGGCTCCCGCGACGCCGGCGTTCCGCAGGCCGAAGTCCCGGTCGATCTCGAGCAACAAGGGCAAAGGCAAACCGACGACACCCACCAGCACCAGCAGCAAGGGGAAAGGGAAGGCCCTCGCCAACGCCAGCGACGAGGGGAGCGGGAACGAGAAGGAGAAGGAGAACGAGGCGGGAAACGCGTACGGTGGGAGCAGCCTGACGAATGGGAGGAGGAGAAGCGGGAGCGCGAGTACGACGACTAAGGGGAAGGGTAAAGCACAGGCTTCACCTACAGCGAAGTTTAACCACGGGACGGCGAGCGATGACGAGGGCCTTTACTAAATGGACATTGTGGGTGCCGTCGAAAAATTGTGAAAGGAGGGGGAGGGGAGGGGAGGGAGGTGGGACTTGGAGGGTTATATATAAATATATAGATGGTAAGAGTAGTAGTATAGTATAGTATAGTATAGTATATCCGGAAGGGTATAGGTTACTAGTACAAAAGATATATTATCTACTAGTTATTAAGTATTAACTATTAACTATCTATTATAATAACACGTTATTAATCTAAAAAGAAGTATTCCCATCCTCGTCGATGCAATAATAAATACTGTGTACCGCTATTAACGTTCTCGCGGATCAAGATAATCGATAAGTCTTTATTTAGGTATTTTGTCTTCTCTTCGCAAATTTGGTATCTAATTAGCACCCCCGGCCCCTATTGTCTGCTGAAAAGCAGTATTAAGTGAAGAGTGAAAAACTCGCCGGCATCGTCGACGTATTGAATACTATAAAGTTGATTGGTTATTTCTTTGCTTCAACTTTTCCCTTTCCCTTGCCTTCCTCTTCCTCCGTCTCCTCTTCTTCGTCATCGTCGTCGTCGTCGTCCTCTTCATCATCTTCTTCATCATCTTCTTCCTCTTCCTCTTCGTCCTCGCCCTCCTTTTTCTCCTCTTCATCGTCATCGTGCCCCTCCTCATCTTCACTATCTTCCTCCTCCGAACTCGTCGCCTCGGGAATCGCCTCGGCCTTTTCAATCTCGGCGATTTCCTCGAGAGACACCTCCTCCACGACGGCACCGTGGAGAAGCTCGGTTATGTTAGGAGTCGCGCCGGTACCATCTGCCCTCCACGACCCAGTCGTCGGGCTTTGCAACATGGGGCGCAGCACGTCCTCTTCCGTCGGGGTAGTCTCGCGCCATGACGCCGCCGTTGGCGACCGTATGGCCGCTTCGCCTGCCGGTATTTCCTTATCTTTGTCCGATATCTTCAGCTTGCTTAGCTTTTCAGCTGCTGAGCGGGTAGACATCGCAGACTTAGGCTTAGGTAGTGTAGAAGTAATTCTAGATGATGTAGTCGTAGTCTTAGGCTTGATCGGGACTGTTTTAGGGATCGTCGTGGCAGGAGTAGCTTTTGAGGGAGTTGCTCTCGAAGGAATTGTTCTCGAAGGAGTTGCTTTCGAAGGGGCTACTTTCGAAGGGGCCGCTTTCGAGGGGGTTGCTTTGGAAGTCGTTACTTTAGGCTTGGATACTGCCGCTGCCGCTGCCGCCCTAGCCCTGGACGAGGCTGTAGTGGTAGTAGGAGTAGTAGTAGTAGCCTTCCTAGCACTGGAGCTAGTACTGGCGGTGGCGGTGGATTTCTTAACGTCTTTGGTGTCCGTCTTCTTAATGACCTTGGTTTCTGGCTTCTTGACCTCTTTGGCGTCTGGTTTCTTAGTATCCTTCTTTTCTACTTTCTTGACATCCTTGGTGTCGGGCTTCTTGGTATCTTTGCTCTCGGGTTTCTTAGCATCCTTGCTGTCTACTTTCTTGGCCTCCTTGGTGTCTTTGGTATCTGTTTTCTTCGTATCCTTGACATCCTTGACGTCCTTGACGTCCATTACTTCAGGGGTATCTGGTTTCTTAATATCCTCGGTTTCTGATTTTTCGGTAGTCTTGCTCTCCAACTCTTTGGTTTCCTTGGGCTCTTCCTTAGGCTCCTCCTTGCTCTCCTTGGTGTCTTTGTCATCTGACTTCTTAATATCCTCGCTCTCCTTGGCGTCGTTATCTTTCTTCCCGTAGACCTTAGCTCGCAAGCTGTCCAGATGCACCTGCTTCGCTTTCGCCGCGGCCTCCTCAGCAATACTACGGACGGGTTCGGCGGTGCTAGCTGCTTTGGCTGCTACTCCGGATTTGCTTGTCGATGACGCTGCTGCCGCTTTCGTCTTATCGTTTTCGGGTAGCGGAGGTGCCGCAGGCGGTGGTGGTGCGGGAGCGCCCGTCGCAAGGGTAGGGGTTGATGCGGCGGCTGGCTTCTTAACTTTAGGGGCAGGTGGTGGAGGTGCCTGGCTCTTGGGCGGGATGGTGAAGTCGTCGTAGTAGATGGTGACATTTTGTTTCAGTTCGCCGTACTCGTTCCACTCCTCGATCTCTACTAGATCCTACGCGACCACTTCGTTAGTGGTACATCTAAGAAGCTTACATTCGTAATCGACTTACGCCTAGAACCATGCCCATCTGTACTAGACCGGGAAGCTTGCGTTGTCGTCCAGATGCATCTTTGCCAGCCCTTCGACCCCATATCATACGTGCCTTGTCATCAATAGCAATATCTAGAGCTTTGAATGGCACCTTGTTGGCTCTTAGGATAGTCTCTAATCGCGAAGTAGCCGTCACGATGTGAGAGGAACCGGCCGTAAGAGAGGTGTAGATATATAGAGCGGGGTCGGTCGAGTACGTCGCGGCCTTGGTGTCGTCTGCCATCGTGTCGCAAATGATATTATCAAGTTTTCGAGAGGATCGAGAGGACTAAGCCGATAAAAGAAGAATGAGGAAGGAGAAGGAGAGAAATCAAACTTATAAATCTTTGGAGGTTGAAAATGGGATGCTCCTGGTTCGAGGTCGGAAGAATGCGAGAACGAATCCCCTGGATCAGATAACGATAGACGGCCTAATCGATAGCACGTTTAGGAGGTTTAGGAGGTTTAGGACGTTTAGGACGTTTCACCCGTGCTCTACCAGCCTGCCGGCACGAGACCGCTAAAGCCTAAAGGCTAAAAGCCATTGGCGCAAGATTTAAGTTTTGATTGGGCGCTTGTACTTGAATATGACTTCATAGCATAATTGAATAAGGTTTGACGCTTAAGATTTAACAGTAACTGCATATGTGCAGCTTTACCGAAACCTCGGGATTTCTATTATTGTTCAAATATCTGCCCTCTGTCGAAAACATAGAGCAATTTATAATTAGGGATATTCCTGATTGACCCAAGTGTAGAATACTTACAAGGCTTCGTAGTCTCTATTTTGTTTCAAGACATACGAATCATGGACATTGGCCCAATCGCACAGAAATCCAAGGTGCCCAGAGTCTGTCTTATCTACAACTCAAAGAATGAAAGGATGATGTGGTGGTTGTTGAACATTACAATCAACTCGGACTTCTTCTACTGGGTGAGGGAGATCCCAGCCTCGATCCGTGCCACGGAAGGAATGTCCATAACCAACGCAAACCAAGGGTCGTCTTATATAAAGAAACTTCGTGATGGGTATCGCGAATCTCAGACCGGTGTCGTTGCTGACATATCGTGCTCTTTCACCGGTCACTCCTCGTCGTACGCGTACGAGTATTACATCCAGGGTTACTGTCTATTAACTTATCCTGCCTTTTTTACTAGTCATTTTAGCCGTCAATGGTGTTGTATGAAAAAGAAAAATAAGATGTTTGCATAATTCGCTCATCCTGAAGGAGGTGGCTCGGTCTACCCGCGGTACCGGTTTCGTGGGAGAAGTCCATTGCAGAAAAAGAATGGAAACGGGATCAGTCAGAAGTATGTAACTATACCTGATATAACAGGTTCTCACCGTGTCCCCGAAAGCTCGTTAGCTCCATTTCTTCTGGGTATCTGCAGCAAGGGATCCCTGCGCGTACATCCGGTGGGTTGCAGCGAGCAAGCCTACAAGGCTATCATGTATGAGGAATATATTATATACCTACTATTATATTATATACTATTGGCTGCTGCGTTGAAATATAGCCGTGGCTTGAGCCTCCGCCCACGTAGGTACTGTAGTGATATGCCTCCCTTTTTATCCTATGTGACACAGGCTACGAGGTTGCTCGCAGATCAACTCCCTTTCGAACTAGAGTGTAGTGATTGCTAATCCCGTTTCCCAAGTCCTGCCGTCTGACTTTGGTGCGCCCTATTTTGGAGTGTCACTTTTGAGTTCCTTGTTTATTTCAAGTAACTAGGTATTGTGAGTTTATCCTTTCTATAAACCCAGGTACTATTAAATATCAGGAAGACTGCAGGGTTTTCCTAATACGGCCCCTATCACATATCATAAACTGATTCGAATATATCTAGTTATCATCTGTAATAATAGAAAATTCCTTTCACTAGCTCACCCAGTTACATTAACACGGCAGGAATATTGAAAGCCCAAATCCTAATGACGGCTCGCTAGTCATCAGACCTGAAGATTTCTATTCTAGTAGTACCGTAATAAGCGGTGTACCTACGGCTAAGTTATGACATGCTTGGTAATACTTGGTAATGTCTCATGCCAAAACGTAACTCACGAACAAACTATTGACCTTTCTAACTCCGAAACGCCGCTGTTCTATATTCTTAGCCCTCACTCCCCGACTAGTGACCAATCACCAGAACGTACCGGCAATACCCTACTTGGCACTCTGCTGCCCAATGGCGTTCGAGCCCGACACTAAAGGACAGATTTGACGTCCCGACTGCTCGGGTAGGATGTTGAGCAGTCGGCGGCCGTCGGCCCCACCGTATCTCAGTGGCGATGAGGCAAGCATCGATGATATGTACCGGTACCTATTCCGCTGCAGAGTTCCTCGTGTCACTTACACTACCTATACCTACACTACGTAGGTAGCTCGCGTACGAAGTACAGGGGCTTAATAGTTTTGCTGCACGTAACAGCTAATATGTGCATGATATGCGTGATAGTGCGCAAGCGGTACCATAATATATTACACATACTATGTGCGCTACCAATTTCAGCTGCGTTCGCTTAGCACAGAGACCGTCAGCATTAGAGCTTACAATATAGGTACCTATACCCAATCTTGCTAGAGCGCGCGGGTCGCTTAGGGACTCTCACCGTGGGGGAGACGGAGACCCTGGTAGAAATGCTTCGAAGGAGCCGCCCAGCCGCCCAGCCGGCCACTAGAGCCCCTTCGCCGTAGGTCGTTCATTCATGATACCTAGATGCTACCGTCGGCATGGGGCTGATCCTGTTTTGGGCTGCAGGGCTATTGATAAAATAACCCGCGTTAATGACTGGCATAGGCATGGCATGGCATGGCATGGTTGAATGGGCCAAATGTTGGGACGGCCAAGGGTTGCTTTTTTTGTTTTTCTTCCAAACGGGTATTTCGTTCCGGCCGTGCACCGCATTTCGACGCCCGCGATGATGTGTTGCAGATCCAAGTCCTTGGGTCTGAAAACCCCCGAAAGGTAAAAATGATAACGACAGGCCCCAAGCTTACCGGTCTTGGTTTTCCTAGATTTCTCCTCAAACTGCCAACTTCATTCCTGGACCCTGGTACGCGCCCTCTTAGAGACAAGACGGCTGAAGCCGAAACTCGAAAGGAGGAGAGCAGAAACTAAAAGTCAAATTTTTCTGATCGGGCACCCGAGATTTTGGTCGTTGACCCGGATATAGATATAGACATGAAACACGACGTTACTTCGACCGTGATGGAGGAGGCTAACGATGAAGGGAACTACCGCTTGGACGTGATGATACCAAGTAACGGATGTACCTAATAAATGGTTCATGGCAACATTTGGTATTAGCGGGCACGAAATGACGAGATGCCACTCAACCAGGAAGACGTGAGTTCTGGTCGAGACAACCCCTCGGATAAGGGAGTCTGACATATTTCTAAAGAAAGAAAAGAAAAAGAAAAGAAAACCCCCGTAGGTAGGCTGGCCTTGTAGGGTGTTCCCCGAAGAGCAGGATTGTCCTCAGCATGGCTTAAAAAAAAAAAACCTGGGTAGGCGAGATAAGTCTGGTCTGGTCTGGGTTGGGTTGGTTTGCCTGCTGCTTATAAAAAGGGCCACGGGAATCCTCTCGCAGCGCACCAACGCAGGTTATTCCCGCTCGATTGCCCTTTTACTACCTAATATATATATATATATGTATGTGCGTAAGACGTACATTAGAGAAGAGAGACACTGCTAGCAAACTGCATCTAATTTATTTCTTCTATTGTTGACGGGACCGTACGAGTTACAAGGATCTTAAGTATTGGTTCTTCCGTTTCCTCTTTCGTTAGTGGCTTATCCCCAGAGATCCCTCAATATGACAGCTCACAAACTAAACTGACTTTTGGATCAGGTGCTCGTGCTAGGTACAGCAAGAGAGAGCGAAAGAGAGAGCGAAAGAGAGAGAGAGAGAGAGAGAGAGAGAGAGAGAGAGAGAGAGAGAGAGAGAGAGAGAGAGGGCCGCGCGGCGATAAACCAATAAACAGCCCGTTCGTCTTATAAGTCGATCTGCTTATAAAACCACCCGCAGCCGCCGCAATGGATGCCGTGCGTCATGGACTCGACCGTGGCTCTGTTCTCCGGATGCCAGAGCCAGAGCCAGAGCCAGAGCCAGAGCTTACGTACAGCCACGCGGTCCCCTCCTCCGACCACAGATGGTTCCGTGCCTTTGCCGTCCAGGACATATCACCATCACCGCTTGGGACGAGCCATCATCGGGGACCAAGAGTGGTAGAACTCGCGCAAAAGTGGTGCGACCATCGAGATCGAGGTTGTCCACACGACTGCGACTCGAAAAAAAGCTTATGTGACAGATGCGAGAGGAACGAGTGCAGTGCGTTTCACGGTTAACAAATACCTAACCTATGCTTTTGTTTATATATCTATATTTTTTGGAATGGGAAACGGAGGAAACAACAGATCTAGAGCGGGGAGTTCTTAATGGGTTGGTTGGTTGGTTGGTTGGTTGGATGGGCATGGGCATCTATAATATTAACCCTTCTCAACTTGTTTATTCATGTTGAGGGAATAATATGTATGTATGTATGTATGTGTAAAGGAAGCAAGCAGTGGCTTGGAGTGTGCGTGTTTTATTTTTGTTTTTAATAATAATCCCTTTCTTCCCTTTTTACTAAACTCCGTGCTTACCTACCTAGGTACCTATATCAAAACATCATCACACTATAATATGTCTGATTTCCCTGTTCCTGACGTGAGCAAAAGCAATTTCGAACCAGGTAAGCATGACATATTCCGTACAGGAGGTTCATATCATCATCATCATCATCATCATCATCCGTGCTACCCAACCCTTCAGCCTGGTCTGTCCAACCCTCCAACCCTCCAACCCTCCAACCTCGTGGCTGGACAGGGATTCCCGGTTTCATCATGGTGGAGAGATGGACCATGTTGGCCCGGCCTCCGGAGCCTTTCCGAAGCCTGTCGCCTCCAAACCGGGTTGCGGGATGAGCGCACACAAGGTCAAGATTCCCGTAAAGAGGTACCTAATCAATAAGATACGCGTTAACAACCGCAGGAAAATCTTTCACCGGTGTGGGGAAAGGTAGCTGTCACATCCCCCTAGGGTTAATTATTACAACTATCTTATACGCGCAGATCCGAGCGAAATCGGCCTTACCATCGAGCTATCTGGTTCAATTTCCGAGTTACGGTAGTATTAAAAATTGAAACTGTTTGAAATATAGTTCGCCTTAGCTACCTATTGCCTAGCTCATGGAAGCTATACTATAATTACAATATTAACGTAGTATAATACACTGCTAATATAGCTTAGTATACGAGTTACAGCAATTCGTACAGAACTTGGCCACTCACCCCGGACCACTATATCTATAAGAAGCCGAGAGGATTATATCAAAAATATTACAAAATTCACAGCAAAGAAACACAAAAAAGCATTGGCAACGGAAAATATTTGTCATTGGTCGAGTCGGCTCCGTATAACCAACACGATGCCTTAGTTGAATATGCAACATGAAGAACCATCCAACTCCTCCGCATGCTCTCCCCTGTAAGTACCGCACCGCACCGCACTCACTCACTCGCTCGCAACACAAAACCTGCAATTATAGACATAGAGAAAGCGCTGTCACGCCTAGGGGGTATTCGGCCAAACCCGGCCAGATTTTTCCTAAACCGATATATTCGCCTCCGAAATGCGCCAAACGTCCTTCCCCGGAGAATTAATAGTGTGATTGGACGGAAGTGAAGAAAAATATCGTCCGGATATTTTGAGCTGAGCGCTCTACCTTGCGGGAGCTAGAACTCAGGTTTGCCAAGGGTAATTGTCACATCTGGCAATTCCTCGACCATCTCTATCCTTCCGCTTAGATCAGGAGAGCAGCACCCATAGCCACCACACCCATCAGCAGACCCGAGTGGACAGACACCAGGCCAGCAGCACCGGTAGTGGGGATTACGGGCGCGGAGGCCGACGGCGCAACAGCCGCCGTTGTGGAGACCACCGAAGTCAGAGTAGCGTACGTAGTAGGGATCACGTAGCTAGAAGTAGCGTTGGGGTAGGCAGTAGGTCCAACGTGCGTGGTAGAGTTAGAAATGGGGTACCAAGTGGAAGAGATAATAGATGAAGAGGATGAGGAGGTAGAGGTAGAAGAGCTGCTGCTGGTAGTGGTGTTCAACGCGATGGAGCTGGTAGGATAAGCAGGAGGCGTTGAGATCGAAGATGACGTTGTCGGAACAGAGCTGGTAGAGGGCGTGTACAGCGGGCAGGCGGTGTTGTCAGGGCTGCACTTGGTGATGGTGACTGTCGCCGTCAGGTAAGATATGGCGGTGGTGGTGTCTGCGACGGCGGACGCGACGCTAGCAGCCACTGCGATGAAAGATGAGGCACGCATCTTGGATGTTTTGTTGTTGATCGAAGAAAAAAAATTGGGTATCTTTTTTAGAATATCCTCCTCGAGATCGCCGGAGCGGAAATGTTCCAATTGTCCAAGCTAAAATAGCTACTTGAAAATCACTAGATCTGAAGGGAGCGTGGATATCACGATATGCTGATCCTGTGTGACGATCTGAATTGTAATTGTACTTCGTTAAGACGTTATTTATTGATGTCGAAGGAGTGACTGTGACCGCGTAACTGATGAGATATTTAAGGAGCGTGGGTTGCAAAAATGCAAATTAGTTCACAGTTACAAAAAGGAACGGAAACGAAGTCGGTGCTCGAAGCTTGAAGGGGACCTTAAAAGGGGAGGAACAGAAGAAGGGGAATGGGCGGTGGGAGTGGATGCTGGCGACATGGCCTTTTTTATTAGAACATGGGGGGGGGAGATTTTTGCAAAGCTGCAAAGGCAAGGTCAATTCCGCCAATTTCTTCCAATAATACCTCAGAGGCTCAGAGACAAGGGGCCGGCTAGAAAGCTAGGTCAAATTAAGGCATACTACCTACCGATTAATGTGGATCGACAAACGTCTTCCGGGAAGGAACAAGGGGGCTATCGACTACGGTCCCTTGCCGCTTGCCGGGGTAACACGGACAACCGACAAACAGCCTTGATTGCGACAAAGGGTTAGAACTTCAAAGGGGCCAATTCTATTGCTGCATGGCAGGCATGACAGGCATGGTCGTGCCATTAACCCGCGTGTACATAGTAATCCGCATGGCCATATTGTCGGCTTGTCAGTTGGTAGTTCAATGAGGCCATGGACCAAGTGGATTAAGGAAGATCAAAGAAAACTACCTAGGTACTTAGGTAATTGTATTTGAGAACAACTCTCTCTGACTGGTAGAATAACACAGAACAGACGCAGACGGACAGCTTGGCAAGCAGCGCGTGCAGCGTGTTCCTACAGTAGCTCGGTAGGGTTACTTTTTCATTGTTGTTCCTGCAGGAAAGACAAGAGAGAAAAAAAAAAAAAGCGGGAATACAATCATAGCTCGGTCTCCTGTCATTGGAGCTTGGAGCTCTCCCCCATGTGCACTAGCCAGGAACCGATGGCCTAGCGTAGCCGCTTGCAATTCCCTTTATAGAATTAGATCATCGACGCTAGAGCGAAAATGGCCTTTAGGGATCTTCCTACATAGTTTATCTAGCCAATCATAGTGTGTTGCAATCGGTACCATATGAGGAATAGGAAATTGTACAAAGTACCTCATATGCAAGATAGTGTTGTATTATGAGTTTATTATGAGTCCAGCTTACATATGTACCTACTATGTAATTCCGATTGATTATTCTGCGTCCATCTTGTTTGCCTCCGGCCTATATACTCATGCTGCAGTTACAAAGTCTTTTCATTGCCAATGTTGGTTGGCAAACAAGAATAATAAATCCCGCTCAGGTAGGAGAATAATCATATTTAGAGTATTTCTCATTGGTCTACATCAACGTATTATTCCTTCGTTTCCCGAAATTACAAACAACCTGTATGGCATGATTCTGCGCGCGACATACTTGGGCATATTCCGTATTGATCATTGATCACCGATTAGGTACCTATCCAACCAAGATATCTATTTTCTGTTTCTGTCCTCCATATGTATTCCGTAGTGCTTAATTATATCTCTAGGCGGTATTTCTAGAACCTCCATACATACAATCTTGGTTTTCTATTCAGCTCTTTGGCTCTTTATCCATTCATCTGCCATTGCCACGAATCTCGACCCCATCTTTCAACTCCACCTAACTAAATCAAACAACACTACATAGATCGAGCGCATTAGAAGACTAAAATGAGCCCCTCTCCACTAACCTTGCCACCCCGAGATGAAAGGAGAGAGTCCGTATCTACTTCGAATCACGGTAGGGCAACCAAGTGGTCATAGCCGCCAAACTTGTGGCTTCAGCATGATTTACACGGACCTGGGGGTTCCAGAACCTAGACCCTGAGCAATGGTGCTAGAATCAACAACCCCATGATAACACGTGAGGATTCCGACTTCATATTCGATAATGACTAATATCAGGGGAAGAGGTTGGGCTCTAATATCCACATATGTACCTAACATACCATAGACATATCTTGGGTTAGGTTAGGTTAGGTTAGGTTAGGTTAAGTACCTCCTAGTAATAATTAGGGCCACGACCGTCCCACACCCCGTTGTGTATAACCGGATGGCACTGGTATCTAGCAGCATTTCTCTTCCCCGGGCCACCGCGAGTACTGCTGCCGTCGTTGTTGTGATAAGCATCGTCTCGGGCCGGAAAAGGGGAAGCCTGAAATTGTTGCCAGCCGCCGCGGGGGTCTAAGTCTGCATAGTGCTGGGCACCCCCCCACGGCGGTGGAGATGTCGGGGCGTAGGCATGGAAGTGAGTGTGGTTCTGGGGGCTTCGCTCGGGGCGGTCAGCGTGCGAGCCCGCCTCACCGAGAATCTGGTCCAGACATTCCAAAACTGACCGCTTGAGTTTCCGCTGGTCGGGAGGCGCGCGTCCCTGTCCCTCAGACGCGTACGGGTCGTCGAGGGGTGCCTGTCGTTCATATGATGTTTTCGTATTGTTGTTTCTTCTGCTTGGCTGTCGGGTCTGATGAGGATTGCTACTGCTCTTAGACGACGATTTCTGTTCAGCCTCCTGTTCCGCCTGTCGAAACCATTGGTAGTAGTTCCACGCCTCCTGCATGTTTTGCTGTCGCTGACGCGCCTGTTCTTTATTTTTCGCGTCCTCCTCTAACATCGTTCGAACTTTGCTGATCTCGGCGGCACATCTGTCTTGCTTGGTGCTGTGCTCGCTGTAGTGCTTGTTGATCGCATCATGGGTCTGTCTAAGCGCGTTATTCACGCCCTGGACCGCTGCGTGGGTGTTGTTAATATCATCACGGGCCCCCTCGAGAGCGCCTTGGGTGCTTCCGGCCAAGGCTCGGGCCACCGCGACTCCGCCGGAGACGACGCCCTTCAGCTGCTCTATCTTCTCCCCGATCTCCTTCGCCGCGCCCAGACTGCCGTTCAGCGCCTCTCCATGCGAGGCCCACGAGCCACGCGTTACGTAGTAGGGTTCGTCTTTAAAATACTGCTCCATGCCGTATGGGAAGTAATTGAAGTTCGGATGATACATCGCCGCCGCAGTTCCTATTCCCGCAGGTTCCTGATAGAGTGCGTCGTCCGCTGCTTCGTACGGAATATCGTGGACCACGTTACCGCCGACTGCCCTCCTCAAACTCGCTTGCTTCTTTGCCTTCTTATTCCTGGGCTTGGGAGCTGGATAATGGAAGAAGCACATCACTCACATCACTAAGAAGTAAAAGAATGCGAGATGAATTCAGTTGCACATCTGAGAAGATATACGCACCACTTCTTTTTATAATCGTCTACATCTGGAGATCGCGGGGATATTCTATCCATCTCTCACAGGAGAATACTTTATCCTAGCTGAATCTATTCTCGGACAAGACGAAAGGTGATCTTAGACACCTCCCACCGCCATTTAGATGTCGCCGCATTGTTGGATGCAAGCTCCCGAAGCATACGTTCCCATAGCCCTTTGGTATGCTCATGCAGGTTTTACATGATGCAGCTCCCAATATCTGATGTAGGCGGGCTATCCTCACTGAGCTGATTCCGCCGGCGATACTCTCGCATTCGACCCGAGACAGGATATAGAAGGACAATCAGAGCTCATACTTCTTTGTCGCCATCAGAAGTCATCCAATCACTTTACCTTTATCCTTTCGGGACCTTGAACCACGAGGTCCCATTCCATCATTGTCTTCATTAACGAACAACCAAAACATTTTGCCAATCGGGGAGTCCGAAACGCGTTACATCAGTGCTGGGATATGTCTTGATACAGGCGCTTCTGGAAAGCGCATGGCAGATGTGAAGCAACATAACGATATGAACTCATGTCTCGAAGAGAAGATACGGTTTCTATGGATAACAATCATCTTCTTTTCTTTTGTATCCAAGTTTTCATTATGGGTCTAGACTACGGCATGGGAGGGAATGGAGTTCATAAGAATGATTTAGAGCTAGGATTTAAGAGGCAACGAAGTATTGATATAACGGCAACGTATATACTATAGATCTAGAAACAGGGATTTGCAATGGGTAAATGGGATTCTCAACCATATAACGATACGCTCTTCTATAAATAGTGAAGAGGCATGCGGATTCTACAGACGCCAAGTTTTTAAACATGCGTTTCACGTTGACGTATTATTGTAAAGACATAAGAGAACTTACGAACTTCAGCCTTTGTGACCTTTGAGAGCTTACTCTCCTGTTGAAATAATTAAGCTAGGAAGTAGCACTAGAGAGTTATATTTACTATTATTCGTATCCTAACTTAAGCTCCGTACTACAGTACCAAGATTTTAGGTTTAAAGCCTAACTAACTCGATAGATATCCTCCTTTTCGTACCCCTAACTGTACGTCACACACACACAGCTTACCTCACCATCTAATCACTCTACAATAACTTACTCGCGCCGTTCACATTTCAGGGGTGTGGGAAACCTTAAGAGTTAAATGTTAAGTAAGAATCTTAAAAGTCAATGCTTCATAAATTCCTGAACGCTAAGTCCATCTGCTATGTGCGCATGCCCATAATCCACCGCACGCCTAGGCGTCAGAAGGGGGGAATAAATGGTGAAGAATATATACAGGTAGAAGAAGAGAAGTCAAAAATCCCAATGTCAGCCCCCTTGCTATCCATCGGAACGAGATACCCGGCCTGTTGGGTATCTTTTACTCCCGCCCCTGCACCCTGCACCCTGGTATCCTGCCGAATAAAATCGCAAAGTAAATGAATAAAACGCCGTGCTTAGAACCTCTGGGTATCACTGCCCTCCTCTCTCCTTCCGACGCCACAATCCAAGCCGCCCCTAAAAGTCTTAAGAGATCACGACAAAATCTGTCCTGACCCCCTAAGTGTGATATGCGACATTTACGCTGTAAATCGTTTCCGGACAGCGCCGTCTCGCTTCGTCGCGTAACCGTCCGAGAACACTTTGACTGAGTTGATTAACCAGTACGAATCCTTGAACGCCTCCGGGTTCTGTGACACGTAGTCCTGGCACGAAGAAGCCTTCGAAGCGCAGACAGGGTCGCTGCCGAATACCTTTCCAGCCCAGTCGCCGCACAGCGTTGTGTCGAAGACGATCTGGTGCTCCTTGAAGTGGCTCGGGATATCGCAGCCCTCTCCCGAGAACGAAGTCTGAGGACTACCCCAGGTACTAGGATCAGGTTGTCCCGCTGCGATATCTTGAGGGATGTCGCCGTTTCGCGGGAAGAAGAATATGTTAATGGCTAACGAAGTCCACTCTACGGCAAAGATACCACCGCCGATCTCGTTGAAGCCGTCTGCGAAGGTTTGCGTGTCTTGACTCGAAATTCCGCAGCCGAGGTTTCCGGTTCCTGGAGCATTGCAATCGCCCTGCGAGAATGTACATCCAGGACCAGTGTGGAGAGTGTAAGTGCTGTTCGTGTCGAGGTTCACCCCTTCAATGATATCAATCTCCCCGTTAAACGGCCAGTCTTGGCCTACGGTCCAGAACGCTGGCCACTGTGAATATAAAGATTAGTTACTATGTTTCTTTTGGGATTGAATGCGGGTTACTGTGTGTTGGGAAGGGAGGAATACTTACAGTTCCACACTGGGAAGCTGGCTGATGAGCGATATCAGCAATAATAAGACCGTTACTATAAGTCTTCTTAGAGTTGACTCTGACGGATCCACGACCACCGATCGGATTCATGGTGGTGTGGTCGACACCTAGGTAAACGGCATCGTTGGCTAAGCCGGCAAGCGACTGGGCATTTGCCTCAATCGCTGTCTGATACCTGACAAACCCGTTTGTCGGATCAGGGAGACTGAAGAACTCGAAACCCTCGAAAAAGTTTGTTTGATCGTACGAGTCTTGGATTGTGTAGGCAGCTTGAGTAGCTGCAGCTCCGAGGGCTAGGGCGCCACCAAGGCGCGAAATTTGATTTGTGAATAACATCTTGTTGACACGGTATAATTCGTGTGAGAAGGAATGTGAAAGTAGGTCCAAGATATGCGTGGTGAGTAAATCGTAAGGAATGGATGCGTGGGAAAAAAAGAAAAAAAAACTTGCGCCGGGCAAGGTTACGATAGTATAGTGAGAGAATCGAGGTCGGTGTTGCAAACCAGTGCCTTTGAATTTAAATATGTAACAAGACAAGATCGAGTCTGAAAGGCAACAGTTTTATAAATTCGAAAATGAATGTGTTGTGACTGAACAATCACGCGGGTGAATATTTCGTTGTTGTTTGCCGAAGCAGCTGAAGCACGTGGTGGAGTCGAGAACAAAGGTACGGTAGCTGCAACAAAGAATCACTTACTTTGACGGACAGTCAAGTAGGTTGAGTCAGGTAGATGTAGATATAATGAGAGACAAAAATTGGACAATCGGTTATAGCCGCATAAAGAACGACGGCTGACCGAGTTGAAGAATGATGGAATCTACGTGACCGGAATGTGTTGGCCACAGAGTAACAACTTCGGCAGCAGCAGTCGAATATAACAGACATAAGAAGTTCCGAGGGAAGGTCGGAGACAAGATAAAATATAAACCAGATGTTTCCCCCCGGCCATAAATAAATTAAGCAGGCACGATCAAAGCCTTTACAACCTTCCTAAGGAATCTAAGGAATCTAAGGAATCCAAGGAATCCAAGGAAGATCCCGGCCAACTACCTGATATGCCATGTTCAACCCGCGCAGGCCTGGTGTGTAAGTGTAAGATGGCTCGAACATTCGCACATCCTCGAACAGGGTCGCATTACTTAATACCAACCGGAGTGATAGGATCTAGGCCGTCCACCAGTCAATTGGCGAAACGGGCTTCCCTAGAGACGCGGACATATGAAGCTAGCATGGGAACCCGGGCTCACATCTTTAGACCGGAGAGTTAGAATGGTGCTGGTTGGAGGATATGCCACCGAATTTGCTGTATTGGAAACAGTAGATAGGTAGTCTATCAGACAGTAGAACATCGGACTAGGGTAGGGGATGGAGCCTCAGGGGAAAATGCTTCTTAGGATGCGACAGTAAGGCGCAAGTAGAAGGTTGAAAGTCTACTAGGTTAGAAAGTCCAGCTAGTCCCCGGTATGCCGGTCTTTGTGGAGGCGGACGATTTCCAGGTCGGGCAGGTTTAAAAGCTCCTCAGCCAATGGTTGGCATGGTACCGATCGAACCTGGGAATATGTACAGGCGCCACATCCTTGGCAGCGCGGCCAGCCCCTTATGTCTTGCATATAGTCTGCTACATGTAAATGTACTATACTTTTAGTGATATGTATTCATTGCTAATAAATAACATGATGAGCAACTTCTATTAATCAGCATAGTACTAAACTTTTACGCGCCACAGCTGCTGATTAGCCCTCACCCCGTTTCTGAAACAACATGGCGAAACAAATTGCTCGAAACGGCCTGCTTCCTCTGGGCATACCGTTGGATATCGAAATTTAAATCGGGTAGCAACTACTACGCATTTCGGCCCTCCTCCGAGTTCGCCGTGGAGGATCTACAGAACGCTAGAAACAAAATACCACCATATCTGTACGTTATTAGATTGAGTTGAGATCGTAGCATTGTTATATGCTCGAAGTTACCTATCTTTAATCTCTCCAATATATAAGCCAATAACAACAGGTCTACTCTTTCTATTCCCTTACTTAGGTGGTTTTGCTTTTTCTTTTTCTGAATATTTATACTTCTCACGCCCGTGCCCTTTACGCTTCGAACAGGCTTAAATAAATTAGGTGTGTTAAAAGTAACTTAAGATGACTTCAACTAAGTAGCTTTGATATTGCCTAAAATTAGATATCTATAGATCAGTAACCATCCCTTATCCCTCGATACCCTTTGAATAGAATATAGCCCTACCTGTCGCATGCTAGATTAAATCTAGGTTGAATGCTAGGGATAATCCCGGACGTAGATCGTCAGCTTTCCTTAGGACGCATGAATAGATAATCCCACGAACGTCTATTTCGAGATGGTAGTAACACAGCGCATTGAATTCATTTATATTCGGGGCTATCTCCCTTGGGAGTTAGTGCATTGGTAAAGATCCTGCAAGGTATGTCTCGCGTTTCACGACGTTCCCGAGATCTCAATCTCAATGAAAAGGCGTGGGCTATCGAATCAGTAGTAAGGTGACTAAACTATCAAACATCGCCTCGAACGGAACTGTAATCAAACGCATCGATTGACAAAAGGAAGACTTTTAATCGATCTCTAGATCTTACTTGAGATCAGGGACAGGCTACCCATGTTGTCAGTTTTGGTCCAGATGACTTAAGGGGGGATATTATAACTCACGCATTTGCGAATACTGTCACGGGCCTCGCAAACTTTCTTGTGAGTTGGCCAGTCAACTCGCTGGCAATTTTTATCACAGTAACGAACCATCTTGCAACGACCACAGTGAAGGTCGACATCTCTGTCCCCGCAATTCATGCAGACTTTGCTGACCATCTCTGATGAGGGAGCCTCATCTGAAGAGAATCTGTCGATGAAGGTATGGTCAGTAATCTCCTGCCTAGCTCACATTTTCATATATCGCCGAGTATCAGATAATCGATGGCTAAGAAATTAAGGGTTTTTCTTTTTCCTTTTCGGTATTATCAACGATATACCCTGCGAGATAACTGATACTGACGATTGTTGAATGCCCAAGGAACCTAGCAAGAATGAAAATCTACCACTTACCCTAAGCCACTGAACCAGAACTCATCACCAAGGTCGTACTTCTGCGGACCTCGTTCCTCGGCTCGTCTCGTGTCAATGAGACCCTTAGAACCCGTCTCCCAAGGTGTCCCATCATTCTTGTATTCGTCGAGCGCCGTGACCAGCTGCAACTGCTGCTCGAGCGTAGGGAGCCAGGGCCGAAGGATTCGAAGCGCTCTCAAGTGGCGGTCTTCGATGATCACACCGAGCTCCATGGCTAGCATCCCTAAGATGATAGCTATGCGCTCTCGCTTGTGGTGGCTAGTAGTTGGCTTGAAGTCGCTGGAGAGAATCTTTTCAAACTTCTGGGAGAGCAGGCCGTCGTTCAGCTTTTTGATCGTGCCGGATCTGCCCTCTTCCTCGGTTGGGTATATGAGGTCACAGTCGCACATGTCGCTGAGGTCGTTGGCGATATCGTAGTCATCGTCGGACTGCATGAGACCTTTGCCCCAGGCCGGCATCTTGGCTATGCTTTGGAATATTAGATATGGATATGGTGATATGGTATGGGATGGGTGATGTAGAAGAATAATAGTTGATTATGGGATCGCCGGTAGGGAAGACGAGACGATTTTGAGGATAACAATAGAGAGTTTAAGAAGACGGAACGGAGGAAATCGGCACCTACCTAAAGGTAGGCAGGTGCTTTAGGTAGGTACCTAAGGAGTTAGTTAATGTGACATGCACGGATGTGATTTCTGCTAAAAAGTCATTTAGGAAAGCGCCAATTGCTATTGTGTTTTGTAAATATCCGTTCTTTCCTGTGCAGCAAACTTTCTTTCTCTTTCGATATACATGTATTTACCTCATGTAGTACCTCAGGAGGTAAGCTTGGTATTATCATTAATGGCCGTTACATCATATTGCTTGACTCATCTGGATCTTTTGTCCTTATTACCTAGGTACCATCTGACTTGAAGTGTGATATTGGGGTTAGAGTATCGTGGCATGAATCACTCATGAAAACATATCTTCTATCGGCAAGCACATATCTCAAGGGAACCAAATTGCAACTTAAATATCCAATATCATTGAATCCTTTCATATAACGTCAAAGGATGACATACATTACATAGCAATACAGATGCACATGAGCCCCAGCTGTCTTACTCCAAGTCGTCTCATCGTCTCATCCCTTTAAAAAGGCTGGCTGAACCATTTCTCCTAATGGCCCACGTCCATGATTAAAAGAAGTTGAGGATAGACATGACAGCCAACTAGGTAAACCCCGAAGACTTAAGCATGCCCTTCCAGTTGCAACGCAAGATGGGTATATTGCGCAACAAGCAAAGCCATTGACTTGCGCCACGAATAGGGAGGCGTTAATATGTCGTAGGCGGGGGACAAATAATATAATATTCAAAGGAAGAGAATTATAAAATTACGCGATCCAGCGGTCCAAACCAGGAACCACGTTGGAATCAGGGCAATACCGGGTCCAGAAGGTAGTTATCCTATACTGTAATGCCGATAATTAGTAAACGTTGGCTACATGTATGTAAGGCTATCGGGTATGAATTGAGTTTGAGAAGGGAAAGGTTAAAAAAGGTAAGTGGTACGCTGACGTAGCCAAGGTAAAGGGGAAGTAGAAGATAGAATAGATTATACGCACACTTGACTTTCTGGCCCGTTATTTTCTCCCAAATTACAGCAACGAGGTCTTCTTTAAACCTCTCCCAAGGATTGCGGTTTAGATAGTAGCTGAGCTCGCGGAAGTTATACATTTCTCCCCAGCAGTCGCGACCCCATTCACAGCCTGCCATGTTAACAACAAAATCTCGATCTTCCTGCTTATAATGGATGCGGGAGTCGTTTCCGTTGTCGGAGCACGCGCCAGTCGGGAAGCTGTTGATCTTTCGCTGTGGAAGGAAGGCTGTATGAGTTCGAATCCAAGGTTGATTTGTGTATAATTGCTCCAACGCGTCCTGTTCTTTATGTTCCCACTCCATGTGCTTTTGCTCGTATGCTACCGGGTCCCACCATATATCCAGTAAACGGTCGGTCCACTCGCTTCGTCTGATGAAGAAGGAGCCTAGATTAAATCCCGAACAGTCCTGAGAGAGTATGAGGTTTACAGAGTCAACGCTTCCGTCTCCTACTGGGCTTAATGACTCCGGATCCAGATAGTTGGCTTGAAGGGGATGGGAGATATTGAGAGGATTAAACTCGTTTATGTCCCGATAGATGTGCTTTTCCAGATTGTTGAAAATGTGATGCTGAAGCGAATAGGAGGGCTCCATGACGAACGTATTCAGGTCCAACCACCAAATCCTCCGACACGTTAGCGTAACAGAACTTCATAGCGCAATCGGTTGCTTACCATTCGGCTTTTGGATATTTCCTAAAACTGTTCCTGATACTGTCCACCTTCTCCCAACTTTCTCGCCATTCATGCGCGTACCGTTTTTTGGTGCTCATGTCGACAATTTCGAGGTCGTAACCCCATCTCGCGACGTACTTTCGTTTGTTCCTCACACTATCCCTTTCGATAGCCCACTCCCGCGCTCCTTTCCATTCCATCACGCCACCGCCAACATTTGCGGCAAGTATGATGACAAACTTCTCCCCGCCTCCTAACCAGCCTGTTCTTCTCCAGTAGTACCACAGGGCTGAAGCGCGGTTAGTTACCTGCACGGGTAAAATCTACGGCTAAGACTTACGAGTGATATAGAATAGTATATAGCACGCGAGCAGGAGTAACGCTATAGCCGCACGTATCTTCCATTTCCTACTCATTCGTGTAATCGTGGCTTTTATCCTACCAAGGAGGGGAACCTTCCACCTGCCCCGTCCAAGCTTCTCTTTCTCTGCATATCTGTCATCCGTTGCCGTGTTAAAGGATGGTAGGCTACTCGAGATGCGTCGCATATGTCGGGTGAAGAAGCCCTGGTTGTGTGTTGAGAAGGATGGATAACTGGTAACACCTTGGGTCTTAAGCCTCGCAGACTCCCACGTTACGCCACCGCCGTTGGGCCCCGAGAATGATGCCTTCGCCGGGCTGGATCGGCCACTGGTGTTGATATTTAGGCCCGGAGAAGACCATCCTCCTCCGGGGACAGGAGAGGGACTCCTGCTCAAGGACATCGGAAGGTTGGGTGTGCCTGGAACGTAACTCGCGTCAATAGGGCTGTTTGAATCGATGAGAGGCGCATGTCGTCAACATACCAGGTATCGAACTTAGCGTTGGTTGCAAATACTGGGCCTGTTGGCCCAGACGTAGAGGGGGAACGCGATTATTACCAAGCGCGGAGACCGAGTCGCTCCTTACGGAAGATTGTGTCCGACGGTGGGCGATCGCGGGGCGGTCGCTGAAAGACGAGGAAGAAACTTCGTTATCGGAGTCGACGGGAGCCAGATTCACTATTCCTTCCGTCGCAGTCCTCAAGTTGAGAGGCTGTCGACAGGCAAAAGCAGGTATATGTTAGATAGAAAGTCTAAGGTGGCTGAAGCCACATTCAAGGATGCGGATAATAAAGGTGACAGGAGTGTCTCAGGGATAACAACACGGCGACAGGACAATTGGCCTTGTCCCGATTGCGATTGGGTCTCTATCGGAGGAGAATTTGCCTATCTGGCAAAAAAAGTACGAAGTAGATCGACCCGACAATACAATCGACAAATTTAAGAAAACAACGGTGTTCAATGTTGTCGTTCCATAGTTCCTTCTTCTATGGTGCAGGGATTATAGATAAAATGCAGTAACCGTATCTGGTAACTAGTCTTTGATAAACTAATCTTTTTTTTCTTCCTTCCCGATTGTCCTTTCCTCCTTTGCCTCTCCATCCTGCGCGACATTGCCAGATTGCTTAGATAGGTAGCCAGATAGCCAAGCAGTACGTACATGAAATTTGTAGTGTGGGACGGGTGGACCCCCACGAGCCGCTGTTGGTTTTTCATTTTATATTTTAAAGGCTGCCAAAGAGGTCAGTCGCCCTTATTTAGGTACCTACTAAACAATGCTGACATTCCCCATAACTGTCATGTTAGATAGAATGCAAAGAAGTACGCCACATTCTAATGTTAGTCCCTTTTTGATACATGTATGTTGTTGAATATGTAGATTTAACTCGCTAAATAGTGTGCATGCATACAACTTGGGACACTGCGCATGGAAACCCGTCCAATTAAACCCTTCGTTTTGCCTCATCCGTACAGCAGAAAGACGGATAGGTCTTCGGGATGCACCTAATGCCAGTTCTTCGGTGCAATTGTGATACAAGATGACGTGCCTCAGATTCAATTTGGAGCTTTTGGCTTTCTTGTGTCTGTTGTATCTTGCTTGATTAAGGGTCCTAGTAACCCATGGTAGTTTTACCCTGGCGAGATGAACTGTGCTGTTTTAAGATTTTCAGGGTCTAAAGGGTAATTCAGATTAAGGTGGTACCTACAGTAGCTGAATCTTCGTTCTCATGTTTAAAAGTCCTAAACTTGAAGACAGAAACATTATCCGACGAATCAAGCTAATTCTCTATGAGATACGTATAGGTACGAAGTAGCCTACTGCATAATAGATTCACATTTGGAGAGTCATCTAGCCAAAAAAAGGCATCGTCGTTCATTCTAGACCTTTTATATTTACGAGAGTCGTATATAGAAATGTTACCTAGTACCTATGAGTCTACCCGAATTTCACACGAGCATAATAGGGTATTTATTATATGGTTTTGATTGGCTGCTTTACCTATCGCTCAAGACTGCCAAGGTCGATATGTATGGAGTCAAATCAATTGATTCTGCTCTAATGCTGCTTCCACTAGGTTAGTAAGCTCACCGGCCTATTGACTAAGTAAACGAGATACTGCTCATTGTAAGATTTTAATCCAATGACTTTTCTGCGTGATAGACGAAGCCACGTAAGTGAGAGTATTCTTGGGAGCTGACATTCGTATTGAGTAAGACTTCGTTGAACTCTTACGTTGGTAAGTACATTTATGATAGCCGATACACTCACTCTATCTGAGAGATGAAAACCCTTCCTCTCACTGCGGTAGACCGGTTAACATTCACAGTGATTAGCGATTAAATCGAATAGCTATTGAGTAGCTATGATATAACAAGTGCGTATAGCTAGCTATTTTTGTATGTGTTGCGATGTGCTAGAGGCTAGAAACATACTATCCCCCATAATAACTTTTTAGTAAGCCTCTTAGTTTAATGATGAGTTGGATTCGGTTGAGTTAAGTATAGGTTATTCGTGGAACAACTATAAAAACGTCACGCTTGGATTAGGTACGGCCCCGCGTGCTTGTCGGCTCTCCTTTCTACCAATAGTGTGCATTCTACAAGTACTTTGAGAATAGGGCTCCATGCTCACCTCTAGCAGATGAATACACGTCGACGGTTACTATTTGAAGACGGCGGTACAGCTGGCTGATACCGAGCTGTCTTAGGTGTTTACCTCTAAGCACTGTCAAGACACACATGAATATCGCCGCTTGCCACGGTGGCCGTCAATACTGGTGACGGTGATGATCAGGCTTCCAAGACACGTAGTGTACCTCTGTATGTCTAAGTCTCAGCTGTACAGCCCGATTGAAACATACCGAGTAGAAACAATAAAATCGAATGTCAATGACACAGCCTTCGTGTCACTAGTATAAACACATGTGGCATCTTGAGTATGAGTAGACGAATTTCCTCGGGATACACCACTGATAATCGGGTGCTACACATTTATATAGTCGAATCAAGAGGACTTATTGAATAGATACCTAGTAGGTACCTAAATCAGCTGCTCGGCTAACGGACTGTCTAGCTCGTAGAAGCGGCTGCAGCTGTATGTAGGTAGGCAGGTAAATATGCTTATGCTTTCTTATGCTTTAGCATTGTGTGGGCGGAAGAGAGTGGCCAACCTGCAGCATATGTATTGACGTGGCAGTCCATATTAATGTCAAGATCGATTTGTTGATAAACGGTTACAATTGGGTTGATAATAGCCAGTGGTAGGACGGCATTCAGGTGCAACCCACGTGATAGGATTATCGCCGAATCCCCGCCCTGGAACAGCTGAAGGCCTCCATCCAACTTTTTAAATTAAAATTATTATGCGACAAGAAGTGGGAAGCGGCGAAGGAAAGAAAAACCTCCCAGCCACCCCTTCATCAGCAATTACCTAGGAGTGTTAGCCGCCTTATGTGGGGCTATCTGGCAGCAAGCATTGACTCCCGTCTATATTCCGTATTCCGTAGTACATAGTACTGCTACAGTACATGTACCATCCTTCAGCTCTTTAAGTCGTTTCCCAGCCCTTGATAGTTTCCTATATGTCCCCACAGTTGTAATCGGGATCTAAACAAAACATCGTTATACCTACTCAATTTTTGGCCCGTCGCGACGGTATACCAACTTAATTAATGTACACTCTTTGTTATTAATCAGTCGAGAGTCTTTTCTGAATGGACTCGACTATACGTAACGAGTCTAATCCTGTAAGATGATGACCCGAGAGCATCATCGCCGGCGGAGCCCCGAATCCTCTCGCCGCCGGCGCAAAGAGCGGCGCGATTCTAGAGAGCAACTTCGGAATCAGCAAATAGCACTACCTGCACCGCCTCCGGAAGAACGAAACGAACTCATACACCTTCGATCGCGTGCACCTTCGCCCCTTTCATCGTCATCCTCCACTTCTTCCTCCTTATTAAATATCTCCCGTCCTTCTAGGAGATTCGGGCTTGGCGCGTTCTTCGGTGGCGGTGGCGGTGGGCGGAAGCAACATCGTGTAAAAAAGAAGCGTAGCCGTTTTCTTCGGTTCGGGAATTCTTCCTCGTCATCTGTAGGCTCGGATCTTGCCTATGGAAAAGGGTACGTCGAGCGGCAGAGGAGTCGCGAAATCAGCCCCCCTAGTAGTAGTGCTGGTAAGCCGCGTCCGCGACGTGATCAGACGGACGAAGAAATACTTGAATTAGGAAGACAGTTTGCCGAGATTGCTAGACAACAAAATGCCGAGGACCTTAAAGCAGCTGGGAGGAGCCGGCCGTCGACATTGGTTGGTGCTGCGGCGGCCCTGAGTCAGTTTCGTCGAACAAATAGCGGGAACTCTAACAGGGGGGTTGGAAGCTCTAAACCCCGCCTTGATGATTCTTCAGATGACTCGGACTGGGAGTCCGCTTCTGAAGACGAGTCGTCGTCTAGCGAGTTTGACTCCGGCCTTGCCTATGGCTCCTCGGGACTTAGCCTACCTAATACTATTAACCAGCCTATTCCCCGTCAGAGTACCCCTAGCTCTTCCCGTTCCCCCCGTCCCTCTCAAGTTTCAGTTTATGGCCCCCCTCTCCGCCGGAAATCTTCGGTGGTCGATCCGAACCTCTTCGGACCCGTAAATTCGCTACGAGGTTATGTTGAGGCTCCTTGTGGGTTTGAAACGGTTGACCGATCTACGGTTGTTGGATCTCCGCAACCGTACGGACCGTCAATAACTCCTAGTGAAGCCGCACCTAATAATCGTCCGTTACAACTGGTATATCCAGCTCCAACATCTGATCCAAAACGCTTCGATGTTTATAATGGTCCCGTCGTGTCTAGCCAACAGGACTTGTCTGCCCCGCTTCGGCCTGCACCAGTACCTCTACAACATCCAAGGCCGATGGTGCAGGTGCCCAGGAGGGTTCTCGACTCAGTGGAAACGGGCTCTGGATTCTCAGAGCATGCGTCATCTAAAAAGGTGCCCGTGGAGACTGTCGTTGCTGGTTTGGCCGGGGCTGCATCAGGGGGTGCGGCACTAAGCTCTGATCGTAAAGATGACCACATCAAGTTCGAAGAGAAGCGTGACCGTGATAATGAGCGCCGACCAAAGCGTTCGGACGCTGGCGTTCAGGCTCGGAAAGGTGAAGAGCGTAAGAGCCATGATAATCTCCCTGCGGCTCGTAATGATCTCACTGAGATACCTCGAGAAACGCGATTTGGAAATGGCCTAGAGCTTAAAAGAGACTGGCATTACCGGGAAATGATAGTGCCCGAATTAAAACGAAAGTCTGAGGAGGAGGGGCGCCGTCGTGACGAATACAACGACGATAACTCTGATCACGACCTAACGCGTAACAAGCGCAAAACCGATCTAGAAGATGAACGGAAGATTGTCCATGAAGAGGCTTACAAAAAGGAACGCCGCGACGGAGACGGTGCTAATCGCTCTAGTGTGGCAAGCTACGAACCTGTGAATGGCCCCGAGTATCCTACGCGAGACGGTCTAATTGATCCGTTTCAATTTCAAGTAGCTGATGATGCTTTTCAGACTCCTCCTTACACGACACCGCAACGACCCCTGACGCCGAATGTGATAACTGTAGATCGCGAACCTAATTTCTCCCCGGAACGACTTAGTCGGAGAGATTCTTATGAGCGGGAACTTCGTGATGCACATGAAATATACCAAACTGCCGAGCACGCGACAGCTCCTATAAGCGGGGTTGCATTTGCTGCCGCCGCTGCAGCGGTGATAGCTGAAGATCGCCGTGGACGTAGTCATAGCCGAGGTGGCGATGCTAGCTCTAGGAATAGATCGCGACGGGATGAATCCCCAAAACGTGAAAAAGATGCTGTCCAAGAAGATGCTGACCGTTATTACCGGGAAGCAGAACTTGCGCGCAAGATCAAGGACATAGAAATACAGGATGCTGAGTCTTCGGTTGTGGGCAAATGGAAGCAGGATCAGCAACCGGTGATTGTGGATGTTGTGCCACCCCCAGAAATGGATCACGGGAAGAAGAAGAGCGCCTACGATGCACCCGATGCTGATGTCCGCATTGATAATGTTCTAGAGCATCCCAATGAGCTTTCTCGTTTTCGAACGCCAGATATCAAAGGTCTCACTAAGATCCCCGTATTCACAGCAAGAGACCCTTCCGCTGAGCGAGAGCGGCCAATGCTTAATGTCGTGCGGCCTACGCCTGTTCCCACACCGATTCCAGAAGGACAGCGACGCGCGGAAGAGCCTCTTCCTAGGCTTGTCAAGAAGATTGATATTCCTCCCCCCAAGGTCATACCTGACGTAGTTATTGAATCTCGAAGCGAAGAAGCCCCGGCGCCATTGATAGCAAAATCTGTTAGTTGGGGAGAGAATCAAACAAAACGCTACGTTGTGGAGAGCCCGGAGAGAGAGGATGACCCGTATTCGGGGACTAAGATTGTGACGCCTGCTAAGCCTCCAAGAAGTCGGGCCGGGAAAAAGAGTTCTTGGGGATTAGGATTCATTGCAGCAACTCTCGGTGGTGGTAGCAATAGAAATGCGTCTTCGAGTACATCGGGGCAGACTGCTGTCGTTGAAGCGACCGAACCTAAAAAAGCTTCAAGGAACGGAGACGAACCCGCAAATCGTAGAGCTTCGGTCCCATTCAAGAGCACATATGATAGCCCACCTATCCCTGGCCCCAAACCCCCCAGCCTAAAGGGTGCCCAGATGCCGGGTTCCTTTGAGGAAGACCCGGGTTTTACAGCAAATATAGCTGCCGCCCTTGAAGGTAGCGGGTTTGACCCTAATATCGTTATCGACGATGCGAGCTTTCATAAGCGTGATTCACCACCTGGGTCGAATGACTTCAGCGTATACCAAGCACCGTTCGTGGAGTCAGTGGCCGACTTGAGAACAGTTGACGGTCCAAGGATTACCACTTCTCAGGGTGGCCGGGAACATGGCTTCGTTATTGGGGAAGTCGAGACGCCATCTGACGAGAGGGATATCTCGACTGATAAATCGCGAATTCTTTCCGAGCTCAATAGAGCAGAGCAGCGCAAGCAGGACAAGGCCCCCGAACGAGATAGTGCCGAGAAGCCCCATGTTATTGTCGATGACAGTAAGGCTGCAGAGCTCTCGAGATCTATCACAGAGGACGACTGGGATGTACTCTCGAATAAGTTTAGCAAAAAGGAGAGAAAGAAACGCGAGAAAGCAGCAAGAGCTCAATCATTGGATGACACACCAATCGACAATAAGGCCCAAAACGAGCAAGGTCTAGAGGCGGAATTTATCGCTGAAGGGGAAGACAGCTCACCTAAGAAAAGGCCAAAGAAGTCGAAAAAGGCTGTCGTTGTCCAAGAGGATTCGAGACAGCCTGACATTGTAGAGAGCCCCAAGGTCGTAGCTCCGGTCGATGGTTCTCGGGATGTACAAAATGTCAATACCGTGCAGATTGACACGTCAGATCGTCTAGATGAGAGCAACAGGAGATCTAAGCGTGATTTAGAGATATATAACTCGCCTTCAATACCCACACCGAAGCCCGAGACTTCAAAGAACGGGCCGAGGGGGCCTATAGGAGCGGATGTCTTTACTCCTGACGACGAATCTGGCAGTTCAAGAAAGGATAGCTGGAGGGCTAGGCGAAACTCGGGTGAATCTTTTTCGAGGACGGTCCTGCCATCGGAACTTTCAACGGCAAGCTCTTACGGAATAATCGATACCGCGGATAGTATTATCGAGACCGAAGAAGAGTGGGATACACCGAAAAAGAGCAAAAAGAAGTCGAAGCGTAACAGTGAGGTACATGATTCACCACCTAGGTCTGTACCAATCTTGGAGGCTGCTCTAGACCTTGCTCAGAAGGTAGACAATACTTCTCTCCCTAAAAGCGAACAGGGTGCTCTAAGAAGGGGTAAAAAGAGTAAGCGTGGCTCTGTTGATGATGAATTTGCGTTTCCGACTGTCCGTGGCCTCGAAGACTGGGATTCGTTCAACGAGTCAACGAATAAGTCTACGCAAGACTCTAGTGTTCACGACTCCTTGTCGCGCGTAGCGCTCCCTGTTGAAGATCTTTACGATAGCCCAAAGGAGATGACCGAATCCGCCAGCGATGTACGTAGTGAAAAGACAGCCGCCACAGAAGAGGAGTTAGATACACCGAGGAAATCGAAGAAATCTACGCGAAGTTCGATTCCATATGAAGATCGGCCCTCAACGCCCCAGTCCGTAGCTCCATCTGAAGCCTCCGTGGGAAGTTCCAAGAGGTCGAAACGGGATTCCTATCTTGATCCGTTGTCGACGCCATCAAGGTCAGCTCCGGCCTCTGACGCGGGTACTGATGATTCCCGGAAGAAGAGTAAGAAGAAGAAAAGAAGAAGCGTTCCTGCTGATTTGCCTGAAAACGAGAATGATCTTACTGAAGGAGGACCGACCGATAAGGGAAAGGATCGATCTGAGATCTTAGATTATGATGCTGACTCTGTAGTTCCGAACCAAGCTCGTTACGACGATAGCCAACCAACTGGTAACAAGACGAGGGATGATAAGGCGGACCAAGCTAAAGCCGTGACCTCCATTCCGAGCAGTGCTAATAAAAAGGATCGCAAAGGCTCTAAAGCGGAGATAGATAAAAAGAGCAGCGGAAATACAGGTTTCTTCGGCCGCTTAAAATCTTCAATTGGGATAGTTGAAGAAAAGGAACCTCTACGCAAATTGGATGAGGGCAAGAATGATCCTTTTTTAGGTAATGCCGGCATCCTTGGCGCAGGTGTCGGCTCGACAGGCGATGCTATTATGTCCCAAGAGCCCCAGCCAAATGCCACCAATGCTCCTTTAGATGAGGAATCCCGAACTGTTCCCTTCACTCCCCAGAGACAATCAACTTTATCACGAGAAGCAGAGCCTATCGACCCCGAGATTGTCCCGCGGGAAATTCGACCTGCCATAGATCCTAAACATGGTGACCTGTTACCCTTACCTCCAAGTCGCTCCGGGTCTCCTCTTTCTAAGCTTGGTGATGACTTTCCACCTCTACCGGATAGCCGTCCTGAGACACCTGAGCATGAACGACATTCGCGTGAGGCGCCTACTCATACTCGTCGTCGCAGCACCCTCGAAACGCCGACGAGGCCAAAAACGCCTAGTCAAAGCGCGATACCTATCCAATTTTTCCGTCCGGGGCATAGGCATACACCGAGCAATGGAAGATCTTCACCGTCGGTGTCACCAATCACTGCCACTGTAGAATTCGGAAGCGAGTCGAAGAATCGCTCTCGTCCGGCATCCTGGGAAGCCTCTCGGGACTTCAAACCCTTACTTCTTCTCCAGAGGGCGCTACGGGGATCGATCGACTTATCAAACTCCCCCGAGAGAGAATCCTCGCCTTCGGGGTCTGAACCTCGTGGGCGAGGCTCGCCTTCATCAGCTCACCTAATTCTGGAGTCTCCTGACCGAGACCACCCTTTCCGCGATAATATCTTTTCCGGACCATTGTCATCGCCAGTTGGGATATCTGCAGAAAAACCAGAAAGCTCGCATGCGGCTGAGAAGGCCTTTCAACTTCATGAAGATGCCTTCAGGCAACTACCTAACGAAGCTTCATTCCACCGAAATAGTAGAGCAGACGGTTCCCACTTGTCTCCTCTCCCTGAAGAGTCAGACTTGAAGCTTGCTGAGGATGATTCTCATAGTCCTTTCAGCTCGCCAACTTTCTTAGTAGCCCCTAACATTGGAGATCGAGGTGATTCCGTCCAAAGCCTTCTCAAAGATAACTTGGAGGATAGTGTTGTTTCAACAGAAGCAGCGATGCCTATCATAGGAGAACCAGAAATTACGATCACATCTGATGACCGTAGCTTAAGCCAGGCCAACGAGGCTGTTGTTTCTGCAGAAACACCGTACGGATTTCTCCCCGTTTCGGACTTATTTCCTGGAAGTAAAACGCCAGATTCGATTGATACCTTCGATACTGCCCTGAGCAACGCGGGTGACCATGGACCTCTAGAATCTAGTGGTTCATTAGACAATGCTCAAGATGACGATGAAATACAGGAGAGGGGGTGGAGCAATATCGAAGAATTAATGGCGGGTTCGACTAATACAAAAGCTACTCTGCTCCAAGATGAAATTCTCAGTGGTATTGCATATGAGCGAACTTCGCCTACTGGACAAGTGGAGTCTGTACCGGCTATTGCCTCTACAAAAGATGCACTAAAGGCCTCGGAAGAAGACGTAGACGATAATCAATCGATCGAAACACTGGCGCCCGAATATTCTATTTCAGAAGTACATGAGGAGCAACCTTCAATTGAAGTGCAGGAGCCTGACTCTGATGCCTCGACTATTTCGCAGAGTACAAGTACTACGCCAAAGAAGGGCAAGAAAAAGAAGGAGAATCGCAAGTCTCAATCTACGGAGCGTGGTCTAGAAAGTCTGCCAATTACTACGGATACTCAAAACGTAGGGTTGGACGAGCTGCCCGTACAGCGAGCTAGTGATGCTGTTCCAGCATACAGCAACCCGATCCCCACCGAGCAATTGCCCTTGGTCAAAGAGAAACCGGCTGCTGTTGAAGAACTCACTTTCAGTCACGAAGAGCCAGCCATACCTGAGTCTAAGGCACCTGAGGTTGAAGTAGACAGACCTACGATTGAGCTACACGCAGAGCCAGAGCTAGCCTCAGCGTCATCTCCTATCCCATTAGATATAGCCGCTATTGAGAAGCCTACTGCCCCTGAAGCCGAGATTACTATCCACCCGGAAGTATCTAATATTGAGTTGGGAGTTCCTTCAGTTAAACCGGAGCATAGTGTCGTCGAGTTAGAGACTACTGCTACTGAACCAGAGATATCCTCTACTGAACCAATAGCGACTCCTGAACCAGAACTTCCAAGCGGCGAAGCAAGTACGGTGGAAACTGAGCCGAACACTGGAGAAACTCGTATCGAAGAGCCAGAGACTTCTACCGTTCAGAAAGATATCCCTGCTACTGAAGCTGTATTAACTGTAGTGGAATCAGAAGCGCCTAGCGTTGGACTAGAACCGATCGCTAAGTTAGAGCCAACTGTTCTTCAGAGCAACCCGACTGCAGCTGGAAGCGAGACTCCTACTATCCAGACAGAGCCTACCATAATTGGAGTAGAGTCAGCCTCTGAACAAGAACCAGCCCTGCCCAATGCTGAGCTAGAGAAGCCGGAGCAACTTGAGACAACCCTAGAGCTTTCTCCTAGTGCCTTTGAGAAAGATGAGAAAAAGGAAGAGGATATACAGCGGCCACTATTAGAGAATGAGCAAGCTGAACCTGCCACCTCTGTTGAAGAGCCAACTAAAGGAACCGAGGAGTTAACACAGGAGACCAGCGTAGAGAGTCCCCGTGTACTTCCTGTTGACCAACAAATCTCTAGTCAAGATCAACCAGAAGCTACTTCACCAGAACCGCGTGATGGCCAATTGGACTCGCCCGAGGAAATTCCTACCATAGAGACGTCTGAGAAGGAGGAGAACAAGACACAAGCAACAGTACCTGAGCTAGAGGACCAAGTTATTGATGAACAAATTCTAGCCCAGGAAGAAGAGGGCCAGCCTCTTTCTAAATCACCGTCTCTTCCAATAGTGCAAGTCGAGGACCAGCAACCTGATACTCCTGTGGAAGGCTTCGTAGAAGCACCAGCTAGCCCGATACAAACTGAACAGCAACCAAATCTATTTCCCGAAAATGAATCAATTAGCGAACAAGTGCTCCAAGAAGAACCTACAAGGCCCAGCGAAGCCAATCGGGATGACGAGAAGACGTCACGAGAAATACTTTCTCCGAACCAGCCGGTGGAGCCGATATTGAGCAACCCCGCGGTTGATAGCCACGACGATCTTCAGTCTACGGTCCCTGTTCTTGGACATGATGAGCAGCCGCAATCAGCATCGAAAACAATTTTAGAAGAGACCTATTCGCCTGACGATTCTATAAAGCCTGAAGTTTCTATTGTGGACGGAGAACAACACGATGAGCAACCCACTTTGACTAAAACTGATCTACAGCGCTCCGGCGAACAGGAATCAAGCGGCTCGGCATTATTGAAGGACACTAACGTGGATGGATCACCGCTGCAACTCGATATACTTAGCAGTGAAGATACTAAGGACCGGCAAGGACCTGCGTCAACCGATCCAACCGAGGTTCCGCTTTCTAAGCCCGATTGGAGCGAAAGCTCAGAATACGAGCAAGACAAATCAGCCGTACCATTCCAAGCGGTGGAGGAAGCATCGAGTTTAACCCCAGAAACCGATGACGCCCAACCACCGAGTCTTTCTAACGAAGTGATCAGTGAGGAGGCACGGGAAATGACTCCATCACTAGATAAACCCGGTAGCGAGAAGGGGGAAAGCAAGGAAATGAGTCAAGATGCGTCAGAAGTAGTTGACACTTCTATATTAACTGGTCCCAATCCGGAACCGGCGCCCCAACCAACACCCTTTGAAGCTGGTGTTAGCGAGCCTCAAGTCGTCAGCGATGTTCCCGAAAAGCCGTCCCAAGACCGCAAGAATGAATTGGATGCATCACTCGCGGAGGAGCAGTCCTCTGTACCTCAAACAATTGTAGAGGATGTGCAGGAGCCTGTTATAGAACAAGCTGAACCAATTGCGGATATTGTGGATACCACCGATGCAATCGATGCAATCGATGCACATGCATTGAGTGGGGAACTAGAATCTAAGGAATCTAAGGAATCTGAGGAATCTAAGAAATCTGTGGGGGAGCCCACGATTGTGGAGACAGATGTTGATAGCAACCCACCCTCCCACTCTCTCGCTCCCGAAGTTGACGAAGTTGACGTGACAGCTGTCACTCAGGTGGAAAATCAAGCTCCCGAGTCCGAGTCTACCCCTAGCAAGGAGGAGGAAGACGAAGAAAAGCGTGGTCCTATCCAAGTCGAGACTGTCACTAACGATATTCCCCAGGAAACACCGGAAATTCTGGATGCGCGGGGTGATGCGGACAAGGAAGTAACTTCACCTACTCAACTTACCATTGACAGAATTAGCGACGGCACCCAAGCAGTTCAAGCAGTTCAAGCGAAAGAAGATACTGACGTATCACCGAAGATTAAGCAACTAGAGACGGACGAGAAACCTGAAAATATCTCTACTGGCACTGAGGAAACGCCAGCATCCATCATCTTACCAGAGATATCAACCGAGCCAGTTGTCGTTTCCGAGGATATCGCACAAACCGGAGAGAGTCTTGGTTTAGATCTAAATCCACCTAGCATCGAAGGATCTGAGAAGGACGAAGAGAAGCCCCAAAGCCCCAAATTCCCCGGACCACTCGAACAGGGACCTATGGAGACTTCGGTGGAACTGGTCGGTGAGACCCCTGCGCCTGACACAACCTTCAACCCCGACTGGGCTTCTATTAACGTACCGCCCCCACCGGATTACTTACCGGAATCCGAGGCCCATTCTCAAGAGGCATCGGGCAGTTTTGGTGATGCGTCGAAGGTCCAACAAGAACCATCTCAGGGTCAGCCAATAGACCCATTGGATCAGCTTATCCAGCATATTGAGGCTAAGACCCAATCAAATACCCTTGACGACATACGAGACGGGCCAGACCTAAAAGATTTCGACGTTGCTACAGATACCCAAGGGCAAGCCCCCCAGGAAGATGCAGAAAATTCGATAGAAGCCCAAAACAGTCTACTAGCGGAGGACGCATCAAAGGATGAGCATGCCAGTGTTCAACAACCATCAGGTGAAATCGTACCAGCGGTGCAGGAAAGTGCAAATGACAATTTACCCATTGAGGCGGACGCTGTCCAGGAGCCTTCTACCCAGGATGAATCCCAAGTCATACCAATCCTGCCGGCTCAAGATAATCTCCCCACTGAAGCCAGTCCTACAGCAGTCCTCGAGTCGCAGGATAAGGTTGAACAGCCTTCAGAAAGTATGACAAATGACAGCGTTTTAGCAATCTCTCAAGTCGGCGAGCCAACTCGAGCTATGCCTACTAGTTCCGAAGATGATCTGTCGAATCCTCTTACAGAGCATACTACCCTCAGCGATCCACAGGCTGAGTCTAACCTATTAGCCGAGGATAAGACTCAAAGCACTATAGAAATACTGCCAACGATTGTGGAAGAGGCTGAGAGCGAAGATCAAGACGCGCTCGATTCTACAATAGGAACAGTGGCGCCGATGACCGAGCCAAGTACAGAGGCCCCTTCCTCAGACCTCATCGAAATGCCATCGACTATATCGCAAAATCAGACTAATCTAGGTGAAGTCGCGTCAGAAACTCCGGTGATAGCTGAACCAGTGGAGTCGGTGTCTCAGCCGCATCAAGATGACCCGCAGAGCCCTATAAATAAGGACAAGGGAAAGGAGAAGGAAATTAGCCAAGTACAAGAACGAGAACCCGAGTCGCCCCCCTTACCAACAGAACCTCCGACCGAACAACCGCAATCCCCTACTCTCGAGAGCAGTCAACCGCAAGATGTGATGCCTTTGGATCCACCCTTGGTTCAAGAGATTAAGACGGAGCCACACCTGACTGAGCAAGACCCGCCTGACCTATCCGATTTACCTACCCCCGGAACGAGCAAGACCGCGACCAGCACATTGGATATCTCTCCTTCTCTAACGAAAGAGACTGAGCCACGAGCATCGGATGTTACGGGTACAACCGTCCAATCTCAAGACTCTGAGCAGGAACCAGGAGTTCATACAGACAAGGCAGGTGACGATATGTTGATAATCAGGCCTGAGATCGCCCCAAGTGGAGAAGTTACAAATGTCCAGGACCAGGAGAAAACTCGACAAACCAATGATCTAACTGAAAACGCTATGCTAGAGGAAGAACCCGTGGCTGAGCCTGTACGCGACGACGAAAGCCTGGAAAACGTGGTCACGCCCAGGCCAAAGAAAAGCAAAAAAGGGAAAAAGCGAGGGACCCAGTCAATCTTAGACGATACGGCATCTATACCAAGCCAAGAAACTACCGAATCCGCCCCAAGCATGCCAGCAGCCGTCGACGAAGCAATAAATCCTACGAAGAGCACTATACCTACAGTTAGCGAAGAGCTTTCTCTCCTGCCCTCGGACAGAGTAGACGAGCTTACCGAAGCCGCAATTACGATAGTCCAAGAAGATGATTCTAGATCTCCCACAAATAATCAATCTACCGTAGCCAATGCTAAGGAAATTGCAGAGCTGGAGCCTAAGAGCTCCGAGAGCGTCTCTATAGAGGATAAGGAAGGTGAAGAAAACAAGCAACTAACCCTTCTAGATGAAAACCTATCCGAGCAAATTCCAGAGCAGACAGCTAAGGAAAGTCCAGTGGTGCTTTTCACAGACGAGCAAAGCGAAATTCAAGTCCCAGCTCCTACAGAAGCCTCGAAGGAAGGAAAGTTAGACGAACCTGTCTCTCCCAAAAAGAATAAGAAAGGAAAGAAGGCCAAGGGAGACAATTCTCACGATAGGAATGCCTCTGCCTCCCAAGTCGAATCGAGTCAAGTATCTATGGACGCAATAGACAATAACAAGCAGACGGATATTGGCAGATCTACCTCCCAGCAAAGCCCCGAAGGTGCAGACATTATTGATCTTGGCCCTACTGAAAATAAAGATATGGAAGTCAAGGATGTTGGTCGTTCAGATGATGTACAGTCACAAGAACAAATTCAAGCAGAATTTGAGTCTGCAGCTCAACCAGATATAAGTGAAATTGCAGAGACTGAAAACTTAGCACTCGAGAGCTTAAAGGACGAAAAGGTTGAGGAGGCGGCTCCTACTAAGAAAGGCAAAAAGAACAAGAAAAAGAAGCGCGCAAGTTTACGGGAAGATGAGGCAATTTCACAACAACAGCCAGCTCAACTCACTAGCGATCTAGCAGCTAGTACGTCCGCGATCGAGCAGGTCAATACAGAAAAGCTCTCTGTTCCAGAAAATTCAGCAGATCGTGACGCTGCAGATCTAACACCTGGCCAAAAAGACGATGGGGAGAAGGATCCAAGCACCCAGGAGCCCGAACCTGAGGCCGAGATGCTAGCCGAACCGGAGCCGGATTCCATCCCCCAACAGCTAGAGTCGCCTATGGAAGTCAGATCTACTAATATACTTCCCGATGTACCTCCCGTGAGCATTGAAGATACGGTTTCCATTGAAGAGAATCACTCAACTGGCCTGCCCGAAACACCGGTCGAGTCCACCAGTATCGAGGAGGCTCCGATTGTAAGCACACGGGATAATAGACCTTCCGCCGAGGAGAATATTCCTACAGTGGTACCGCCCCAGATTGTCGAGGAGCAGATTGAAAGGGGCACGTTACCAGAGTCTGACATTCCTCTATCAGACCAAACCCCTCCTGAAAATATTGCCACTGTTCCTACGTCCGAGGAGCCCAGCGCCGAAGATACCTCTCAGTTGGAGGTGATCCAGTCAGAGACCGTTAGCCAGATGCCGGAAGAGCAGACCAATGTTGTTTACTCAACTCCTCCGCGAGAGGAGCCGGTGTTCCAGGGACTAGTCCAGTCAGACGAAAAGCACGAGGAAACCGTAGATCCTATCGCTTCCGAAACTCCGGCTGAAGTAGTACAGCTTGATAAGTTCCCCAGGTCAGAAGAAGATTTGCAACCAGCAGAATCTACCCAACTAGAGGCCGTAGTATCAGAAGAGCCTGTGCCTACCCAGGATCCGCCAAAACAGGAGCCTGCGCAATTAGAGGAGCCAATAGCTACGGAGGAACCGTTGAATCAGGAAGAACTACCCAAGCTAGAAGAGCTCGCTCAACCAGGCGAATCTGAGCAATTAGTCTCTGTGCCACAAGATCTTTTGGAGGTAGAAGCACCTGCACAGCAAGATTCGATACAGCCAGAAGAGTCTGCACAACGTTCGGAGCCGGGGTTGCTAGCTCAAGCAGAAGAACCTACACAGCTAGAAAGTTCTGTAAACCCTGTCCAGGAGCTCCCCGTCACCTTGGATGAAACTGAGTCCACGCTGACAAAGAAGTCTAAGAAAAGCAAGAAAAAGAGAGTTAATCAAACCGAACCAGAACTCGCATCAGAAAGCACGAAGCTAGTTGAGACTCAAACTCAAAAGGAGTTACCGAAGCAGTCTAGAGACCAACATGTGGACCAACGTGCTGAGCATCGGGCGAGCTGGGGTTTCTTTGGGGGGCTTACCGACTCATTCAAGAGTCTCCTGAGTATACAAGAACCTATGACGACCTCGAAAGACAACGAAAATACAGAGGACCTCCCCGAAGTGCCTACGAAATCGGAGTCTAAGCCAGAGGAGAAGGAAGCCAGTCAGCCTGAAACGGAACCTACGCTAAAAACCGTGCCCTCATCAGAACCAATAGAACAATCCGAGCACCTTGATAGTCAGCTAATCGTTGATGATACGTCCACAATCGCCACAGATGCTGTGCCCGAAGACGTCTTACCTGAGGTGGCTACAAGTAAAAAATCCAAGAAGAAGAAGAAAGCAAGCCAAGTTAGCCAGGAGCCCGATTCTAGCGCTACGGTACCTCTAGAATCCCAAGCACAACCAAATTTGCCCGAGGAGTCTCCCATACAAGAGAGCCAGGAACAACTTGATACTCCGCCTAAGGTAGAACATGCAACAGCCCCGAGGGAGGAAGAGAAGTCCAGAGAAAACCCCTCTCAATCTTCTGGTAGCAAAATGTCCAAGAAGGAAAGGCGAAAGATGAAAAAATTAGCTGCTCTAGCCGCCGAGCTGTTTCAGCCCGAACCTGACTTGAAGACCAAGGATGAGCCAGTAGTGCCTAAAACAGTACCAGGCCCCTCAGAACCACCCCCGGAGCTAGTAAACTCAAACTCGGAAGTGCAAAATGCCCCTATTACGAACGCCACATCGACGAGCTTTCGGGAAGAGGGCTTACAGTCGCCAACAGTAGAGGCTGAATCCTCGACTCAACCTATACAAGGGCACGTCGGAGATCTTGCCGAAAAAATTGGTGAAGAAATAGGTGCGCCTACGGACCAAGATACCTTAGCTCCCAGCTCCGAGCCGGCTCTTATAACCTCTGAAGTGGAAAATACAGCCAAGGATACACATTTGGATGGAACTCTCAATGCTATAGGCGAGGCCGCACATGACGTACAAGAATCAAAGGAAGCTTTGCCCGACATTCCTGTCGAAGATCTTGAAAAGGAAAAAGAGGCTCTGATACTCAATACTCCTGAACCAAGCACTGGAATCCCAAATTCCGACCTGCAGTCGCAAAGTTTGCCAGATGTCGAAAAGCAAGATGATACGACAGCCAGCACGGAACATTTAATAAGCGAAGAGCAGTTGCCTATGGAGTCGAATGATATTCCGGAGCCTATCAAGACACCTAAGATAAGCGCCACCGAGCAGCAAGAATTGCCTATCAATGAACAACTCGATACTGACCCTTCTGCGCCGAAAGAACCGGAACCTCAGCCTTCCCCTGTTAGCCGCAAGAAGTCAAAAAAGGACAAGAAAAAGAAAAGAATGAATGCCCAAGCCGGATTAGAAACAGGCTCGGGAACTCAGACGCCTGTAAGCCAAGAACCGAATACAGGTCATAATTCGAGCGACATCGTCACAGGGGAGCCCACAGCTCAGGGACTGGAAAGGACAATGGTAAATGAGGGTGAGTGGCTAGAATCCCCAAATAATCCCCCACAAGATGAGACACGCCGCAAAGCGTCGGGCACTTCTACTCCTCTAGAGTCCATAGAAGATGCACTGGGAAACGCTTCTCCGGATACAGTAGCAAAAGAGAACGCCCCGAGAAGACTGACTCCAGAAAATATCTCAGAAGTCGAAGGGCAAGGTTCTAAAGCAAAGGACGTCGAAGAAGGAATTCCCCCCAAGCCGAAAGACCAAGATCAAAATGCTGAAAACATCAATATCAGTCACCCTGACGAGAACAGCGTAGAAGTTCCGGGAATCACTCAACCGCCGTCGCCCGTATCGGAGCGCCATCCTAACAAAGGGCCTCTTAGCGAAACCAGACAAGACATTTTAGACCACGTCGAGTTACCGGGGCCTGTCACCCCTCCTCGGACTCCGTCAACGGTTGCCGCACACACGGTCAATGTTGACCTTTCGCCGGCCCAGCTAAGTAGTCATATAGAACACGAGCGTCCATTCGATCAGTCACCGCAGCCAGGCAAGAGGATTAGAACTTATTTGTCCAGCGGCGACCCTACGATATCTAAACTCCTTCCGACTCAACTCAAATTTCCTCGAAATACCGAGAGCTCAAGCTACGATGCCCGCGGGCTGTTACCACCTGCAGGGTCATACATCGCAAAAACCAGTGATAACAATGTCGTTTCGCATGACATCACTCCTACCCGAGAGATTGCAGTCTCGTATCTTGAATCTCAGTTAATTACAAAGGCGGAAAACTCTCATAACGTCGAAGAGAATAGTGGTGTCAAGCAAATTAGCACTTCTGGTTTACTCCCGGTGCTCACACCACAACGAGAGATTGCCGCTTCATATTTTGAAGGGCCGCCCTCAAGTGAGATTCATCCTCATGACGACACTCCAGACGACACAACTGGAGAATTTGTAGTCAATGCACCACTGGTAGCAATGGACGAGGATATTTATACCTCACCTGCAGAGTCGCAGTTAAGTCAATTGGATCCCGGGCATGTAGAAGAAGAAAAACCTCTTTCAGCTCAGCCTGAGGCTCGGCAGCCAAGCCCCATTCAAGATACGACCACACCAGCACGTAAGATTGCAGCTATCCTTATGGAATCTCACTTTCATTCGTCTAAAAAGGCGAAGATGCATAAGGATGCAGACTCTGCAGTTCCGGAAATTATGCCTGCAGCGCCCTCGACTAGAGAGGCTACACATTTAACTGAGAAGTATGCCAACATGAAAACGCCAGATACACAAGACATACTTGATAACCGTGTAGTTTCAGAAATTTCTGAGCCCAAGGTACCAGAGGATAAGGATCCAGAGGTTAATGCAAGCAATCAGGAGACTGGGCCGAGCACAGGGGCAGATGAACAAAAAGAGGCACCGTCTTCTGATCTTAAGGAGATAGAGCCATCAGGAAATATCCCAACACATGGGAGCGTTTTCGAGGAAATCGAGAGCCCAGTAGTAGGAAGAGAAGTACAACAGAACTTACCGGAACCTCGCAGTGCTAGTCGTGAAGGCCCAACATCGAGAGAGCCACCTACTACTGAAATCATAAAAAAGCTAGACGATCTAGATACATCGGAGCACACCAGTGAATCTTCAGAACCAACAGCGGAGCGCAAAATCGACGAGGCATTACTCAAGTCACCAAGTTCAAGGCCTTTAATTCAGGACCACGGAAATTCCGGTCGCAATTCACCCCGTGTCCTTCCTCCAGTAAGGGAAGAGACGGGTGAAGAACTACAAAATGAAGGACGGAATCGGGATCACGGGATCACAAACAAGACATCAATTATTACAGAGGTGAATAGGGACAATAGGGACAGTGGATTTGTAACAGATTCACCAAATCCGATGCGGCGTAGTTCCGTGGACGAATTAAGCCTACGCGACAGCGGTGTGAATTTGCGCGATTGGCCAGAAAAGACGCCCCAAAAGAATGCAGCATTAGAAGACGAAAGCAGTGTAATTCGCACTCCCCAACCGAATGAAAGAAGAAGCAAAAAGCTAGGGTTGGGAAGCGAGACGCCAAATTTAAGCACACCGATTGCTCGCAGTCAAGATGGGCAAAGAAGTGTATCAGAAAGTATAAGTCGAGGATCAACAGATTCAACACCGCGGATGGAAAACCAACCAAGGCGGTCTGCATCCAATACGAGCATTTCACGGTTAAAGACACCTGAACCACAACAGTTTCGGCCTGAAAGTCCAGGCGGTCGTAATTTTCGATCAGGCTCCAACACCCCACCCCTTGCGCTCCGACGCACGGGTAAACGAATGAGCGGTGACCTGAGATCCTTGAGATCCTTGAGCTCCAACCTCTCCAATAATAACAATGCCTCGAGAGAAAATCTCCACCAGACCCAACAACTTCAGCAAACTCAGCAAACCACGATACCTGTGGCTAATGAGGGCCGTGTCCGAGCCAAGGACATGACGGACGTATATGTAAGTACATGATAGCAACCGTGCTCCTCTTACCCTGTTACATTACCATTAGGTATTATCCATCGTATCCATCGTATCCATTATCCGTCTTAAAACAAACAAATCATTCGAGCCCATCAAGCCATGACCGCCGCTACTCTATTTGCTAATCCCCATATGCAGGATGGCTACGGCGAGGGCCGCATTGGATCCCCACGGTCTCCAACCCGACCACAGAGCATGCGTCGCCGACAAAGCATACAGGTTCTAGAACTCGAATCAAGAGTCGAGCAATTAGTAGCCGAAAATCGCGCGCTTGCCGACGAAAAGGCCCACGTCGAACAAAACGTAACCCATCGAACTGCATCCGCCATCACCGAGCGCGATGCCGAAATTGAAAGTCTCAAGGCCTCACTCGAATGGCTACACAAGGAAGTCAATCGATTAACTGAGGTTAACGAAGGTCTTCACAGCGCCAATAACGTCCTCGCCCTTCAGCACAATGAGAAGTACAAACGCCTCGAAGCCCTGCACGCGTCGGCAGCCAAAGAACTCGAAAACTCCCGCCTAGCTCAAGATAATTACGATAGGACATTACAAGAAAAAGACAGTGAGATCCAAGAGCTACGTGCTCAACTCGAGGTTACCAAAGAGCAGGTCAGGGAAATGCAACGACAAATACTTGCCCACAAACCTCCCGACGCAGACTTCCTTCGTCTCAAAGATGAAGATCACTTTGACCATCGCTGCCAACAATTATGCCAACACGTGCAGCAATGGGTCCTTCGCTTCTCCAAATTTTCTGACATGCGTGCTTGTCGATTGACGAGCGAAATCAACGATGAAAAGATTATCGACCGATTAGACAACGCAGTCTTAGACGGCTCCGATGTTGATGAATACCTCAGCGACCGAGTGAGACGTCGCGACATATTCATGTCCATGACTATGAATATGATTTGGGAATTTGTCTTCACTCGTTACCTGTTCGGCATGGACCGGGAACACCGGCAGAAGCTCAAGTCTCTAGAGAAGCTTCTATTAGAGGTTGGACCGCCGCATGCTGTCCGCCAGTGGCGCGCCGTAACATTGACGCTACTGTCTAAGAGGCCAGCGTTTGGTGATCAGCGCAACCAGGACACCGAGGCCGTCGTACAGGCCGTCTTCCAAACCCTATGCATGATCCTCCCGCCTCCGTCCAACCTGGAGGCACAAATACAATCGCAGCTCCGCCGTGTCATGCGCGAAGCTGTCGACCTTTCAATCGAGATGCGTACTCAGCGGGCCGAATATATGATGCTACCGCCATTACAGCCTGAGTACGACGCCAACGGCGACCTAGCACGCACCGTCGCTTTCAACGCGGCGCTCATGAATGAACGATCAGGAGACTCAGTCTCTAATGATCAATACGAAGTCCAGCGTGCCATCGTCCGCACGGTACTCTTCCCACTCGTAGTTAAAAAGGGCGACGATAACGGCGTTGGGGACGACGAGGTCGTCATCTGCCCTGCGCAGGTGCTCGTCGCCAAGCCCCCGCGTCACGCCACCATCCGCATAGTCACACCCACATCCGACACAGGCGGCCCGCTATCGCGAGGCGCCACGCCCTCGGCAGCCGCTCCTAGCACCGTCAGCCTTCAGATGCAAGATGCCCCCCTCCCCATGCCAACTCCCCCGCAAGAGGCCGAGTACCTAGAAGGCGGCATCTAGAGAATGACGCCTTCCTCGCGGATACGCGAAGCAACAGCACGAACAACAGCAACAACGCGGACCCATAACAAAAATAATAGTAATAATCATAAACGGAAGGCCTAGGCCAACGAGGCATACGCATACGCATACGCATACGCATTAATGAGGGGGTCTGTCACGCATCTTAAGATTTAAGATTTCTTTTCAACCTTCTGTCACGTTTTGTCTTTTCCACGGATTTACAAAAACGGGCTTTTTTTCTTCCCCCTTTTTTTTTTGGTAAAGGGAACGGCGGTGATACCTGGTCTGGCGTTGCCTACATGAATGACTTGGAGCTTTATGCCTTTTTTTTTCCCGCTCAATACCTATCTGCATGAATGATATCTTTTTTTTTTTCCTGTCCAATATCCCATCCCATCCTCTCGGTTCGGATTGGGGGCGCGCAAGATAGAAAGAATTGTTGTTAATGAGTCATGACCCCGGATCGTGTTTTTTCTCTTATTACGGACTGTTTTCCTACTACTACTACTATTCTTCGCTTCGGATGATGATGATGATGATATGTGTATTTATATCAGAAGAGAATTCACGACTATTACTTCAGGTTTAATTCCTTCGTACTATTTTATTGTGACGATATGTATTGGCATGTCTGAGCTTCAGTTACGGTTAGACGAGGTAAGGAACTAGTAGATCTAATAGTTATAGAGACTTCGTACTGAAAACATTGTAGCTTGAGGACAGACAATACTTTGAAAATTAAGCGAGAACCTTTATATCCTGCCTAGACACTAGACATCTAAACAAATTAACGTAGGACATATCCATCTTAAATGGGAGAGTCAGCTTCTCGTACTAGAAAGTACTACTTAAAAGGTACAATTAGAGCATGATGATATAGCTACCCGTTCATCACGCATACCTACCAAGCGCAAAATAACAAAATAAGAAGATATATCTTTTATTTTTAAACATTCCCAAAAAGCGAGTGCAAAGCTCTATAATAATGGTATATCTCCAATCCGTGTCTCGTTAGGTATTCGTTGTACTCCCAACCCGATATACAACAAAACGAAAAATACAGTAACCCTAGCTCCCTCTCACTACGAATTGCTTCACATCATCGTCTAAATTTGAAGTAGATAAAGATCAAAGTTCAAAATAAATAGAAACTCCAAATGTCGGCCCATCCTATCCCATCCCATCCCATCCTGTCCTATCCTGTCAAGTGCTCCAACCCGCAGCGCTGAAATTCGGGTCGTGAAATCCCTGTATGCTTAACCCGCCCGTTTGCGGATCGTTAGGAAAGAGAGAGTTGATTGTGTCCTGAACCTCAAGTTAGCATGGTTGTTAAGAATTTAAAGGGCAACATAAACAAGGTCGTAAGAGACATACCCAATCAATATTATCCATGATACTACCGTTATGGGTCATTCCCGGTCCCCGAGTCCCCGGTGTAGAGATCCGTTGACCCCCTTGTTCTATGCTCGAGCTGTCGCTCCCCGGGCTTGCGTGATTCGGTGGTAAACTCCATAGTGCCTGCCCATCAGAAACACCTGCAAATACCATCTGCGGTTGTGACATCGGAGGGCCAGCCGGCATTGGTGGAGTATACCCCGGTTCAACCTTGGGTACATCCGGAGCTATTCCCTGAGGCAGTTGTTGTAGATGACCTTGCACAGGTGGCGACGGCCGTGAAGTTCCCGCGACGACATTTTGCCCAGGAACGGCCCGTGAGAGGCTTGTGGGCCCACGCATCTTGCGCATGCGCATATATACTGCAGTCTTACCTTGTATCTCAGAAAGGAGCTGCACGGCCTTAGCTTCGGGTGGAAGCCTGCGGTCCATGCCAAAAACGTAGTCCAAGCACGACCATATCCGATCAGCGTCGCGAGACTGCGGCCGGTAATAAACTTCAGTCGCCAATAACAGCGCGATCTGGTATTGGAAATAAGCACCAAGATACCATGCCCAATCCTTAAAATTAGAATTGGTCTCAAGCTGTATTGCAAGCTCGACGATCATGATCCCAGATGTAATAAGAAGTTGATTCAGCCGTGGCGGCATTGGGTTGGCCGCATTTGAGTGGTAGGGATGTAGGATCATGACGTGCAAGCGGTATGTCAACAGATACATGACGCATTTTGCATACCTCTGGATTGGCTGTGTGACATCTAGAAGGCGATCGTATTTTTCTGACATCCGCCGGCGGAAGTTTTCGATCTTAGTGAGCACGGCTGTCAACGTGGTCCGGCGAGTTTCAAGTCTCCGCCTGTCGATCCATATGATGCGCATCATCTCGTTGATTTCAAAGCGTATCAGGGCAAGAGTATTGTTGGTCCACGCGTCTGATGGCTCTGGCGGTCTTACGGCATGCGTAAGTTCCTCGTCATTGCAGTTTAGAGGCAATTTCGTATCGTAGTCATCTCGCCTGATCACTGGCTTCGGTCCTTGGGCCTCGCAGGTTCGAATATCGAGGAAGCATAACTGGTGCCAGATCAGACGCCGAACATGCGTTTCGAGCGGTGTAAGACCATATGCTTCTCCATCGCGATGTAAACCCATGCACTCAGCCATCCGTACTGCAGCACCAACGAGGACTGAGTGGGCCCGTGACACTTCACCTCTGCAAAGGGGAAGCTATCGTGGAATTAGTCATCTCCATAGCTAATCCCAGGGTAAACAAACGTACCATATACATAATAAACGCTTGCATCGTTTCTACCTTGGTAGTTCGTAGAAAGTTTGCCTTGCTTAAGGCGGTTTCGGTGCCCATCTTCAGGCTAGAGACCCAGCTAGCTCTGGGATATCCAACGAACTCAGGGGTGTTCTCATCTACACTGATAGCTCCGCTAAACATAGCACCAAAAATGACAGCTTGCATTGAAGGCCGGGGTTCATATCCTGCGTTTATTTCCTCCCAGAAGGTCGTGTAAGTAGCCTCTAACGTCGGCCTATGGGCACAAGGAGCAATTGGGTGAACAGAAGTGAAGTATTGCTTCATTAACTGATCTGCGGCGGCCTTAAACGGTAGAAATTGGAGGATCGACGGTGGCTCCCCCAGCTGACCGAAGAAGAAGCCGGAAGTGGGTACTATATACTGGTCCCCTGGCCTCAGGAACTCGGGTAGGTCGTCGATGCCGGACGCCTGCCCTCCGTGCTGCGGAGGTTGCGAACCCGAAGGCTGCGAACCTGAGATGCCAGCCGATATCTGAAGTTCACACTGTAAGTATCTTACCCATGCGTATCGTATGCGTCACATACCTCTTCGGATATCCTAGGTCGCGAGAGACCGCCTATTCTTTCAGTGATGCGCATTTTCCCGATCTGGATCCCTAGGTCTATCATATCACCCGCCCCGTCAACGTCGTCCTCGTACGTTACATCTAAAGCTGCAAGTGGTGTAGCCTCCAGATCGCGCTCTTCGTCATCTTCACCTACAATATCGTCGGCCAGACTGCGCTGCTGTAACGTACTCTTGGACGTCGTAGACTTTGCAACATCACGCTCGAGTTCTCGTTCAAGAGTTCCTTGCTTCTCCTTGATTTCGGCAAGGCGCATTTGACTAGCTTCGTCCAGTCGCGGTCCTATGTATAGACAGTCTCGGGCAGCCTTGTTGCAGTTTGTGCAGGACGGGCTCGTCTTGGAGCATTTTAACTTTCTTCTTCGACATTCTAAGCAACTTTTATAGACGGAGCGCAAGAAACAAAACGTTGGTCTCCCGGCTGAGTTTCGAGGGACATGCCGGGAAACCAAGTTTTGTTTCTAGGATACTCCGTGCTTGTAAATTAGCATCCATACTTCGTATTGGCAAAGAGGACGTAAGGAGGTGGGACATGTTAGAGATACATAATACGTATGTCCGATTCGCTTTTCTTTTTTCTTTTCCTTTTTGTCTTCGCGTTGGGAATATAGGAATAGAGGGTATATCTCACCTATTAATCATGCGGTTGCGCCGGCGAATAGGCTTCGCCTGCCAGGCGGCGCGTGAGTCCGGATCTAAGCCGGCCACGTGGTCGGTTTGTTCCATGGTTGAGGAGCGGTATTATAGTGGGAAAGCGGCCGGAGTTGGCGCGGGATTGTGAAGAACTACTCTAGCCGTGCTAATGCGCCGACGCCGCCCTGTGGATCGTCGGCTCGATCTCATAGGTCCATCTAACCCCCCAGATTTCATGTCAGATCTCACCCAGAACGCCGGGGATTTTGGTATCGGTTAATTGGGCGCCGAGATCAATTTATTTACGTCTCGGGCTCGGTGGGTATTCGTAGGATTCTCTCGATACAATACGATAAAAGTACTGACGTAAATCAAGTCGTCTATTAGGTGTGGCGAGCAAAGGTCTATTATATGGAATCAGAACAGAACCCGGTCAGTTGTCGGCGCCTGCACCCACATATTTGCTATTGGGACAAGCTAGGCGGATTCTGTACATTGAAGGGGGGTGGTAATATACCGATATCTTGGGCTCCCTTGCATACAATCAACGTCCATGAATCGAAGCGGCAGCGTTATAGGTCCCTCCGTCGCCGCTGCAGCAGATGATGCATGGCGGAACCGCCCACGAATAGCCCACGAATAGCCGTAGGGTATCAAGCGAGTCCGGGGGGGTCAGAGCGAAAGAGAGAACGTTATGTAAGAGGGAGGGAGAAAGGCAGGGTTGTCTACTCCGCCATGGCTAATAGGCGAATGAAATGAGAATGGCAGATATATTAAAAGGAGAAAATTACAGAGAGTATGTACCTAAAGATAGGCGCGCGAGCGGTGGGGTTATTCTTCTCTTGCGCCTGCCTCTGCCTCTTATTGTACGCACGTGGTTGAGTACATGTAGCTTCCACATACCGAAGCATTGAGACACGAGGCTTAGTACATTAGGTAATGTACCTACCTAAGGAGATAGGTTATGTAGGTACCGTACCTAGGTAGGTATCTATGTGCGTTTACGCAGAAGTAACAATACGCCTGTATTCTCTGTATTCTCTAGCACCTACCTTAGTTGCTAAAGCATACCTACATAACACTGGACGAACATCAATAGTGGGTACCTAGGTAAATATGTAGTGGTAGTGGCTCGTCCAGCGACTCGGGTAACGTACCCCGAATAAGCGGAGAAAGGGCTCAAGGAACCATCAGGGAACAACCCTTTTATATAGAAGTTAAGGCTAACCATTTATGGCTACCAATCAAGAACCTCGAACGTCCTTTCAGAAGAACCCTTCGCTCCTATTCACGTTTCCTGTTTCTGCACCTAGTCTGTCGCATATTGACTACTATGCGTTGAATTATCCAGCCTCGCTCGGCGCCGCCGATGCGGTCCTCGAACGATATCTACATGGTAATAGATACCTTAGGTTCCTAACAGGCTAACCTAAGGTAATATGTACATATACATATGTATTAGGTGCGAAGAGCCGAATAATTTCTATACATAGTACATAGATAGCGTAAGGCACTATATATACCCACTCTTATAACTCTCTCAGCCCTTTACCATATCGAGAATATTGGTTACCAGCCCAACCCGGTGTTCAAGGTATCTACTGTGGTACACCACTCACTGTAAGAGGCTGACGCCCAAGTCCGTTAATGCCTGTGTTGCTCAAGGCATCCTAGCTGCCGTGTAACCGATAGTAATGTAATAACAAGCTCAACTCTTTCTAACAGAAACTCTAAGCTGTCATAGATACCAATCACCACCCTCCTTTCCTCACGTTTTAACAAGCGAACCCAGGCAGAATCAGTCGATACTGCAATGTATTACGTAGTTTGCACGACATTCTGCTTGTCATACAGGTATTATTTCTATTTTTCCCTCTATGTAGGTATAGGTACCCATATATTGACCATATATGCTGGTCACATATGCTGGTCACATACCCCGGCGTGTATCAATACACCGCGCGCATAATATCCAAAAGTCGTAATTCTGTATATCATATTTGGGTATCGTCTAGCGGTTTACCAGACAGCTGGAATTGTGTTTTTCTTTTCCAAGCCACCCCAGCTTCGGCCGGCGCCTCATCCGGTGTTACTACGGCGATGCCGGGCATTCTTTACTCTCCATTGCCTCAGAGCCAATCCAATCTCCAACATCTTATCGCGGCCGGCATGCTTGTCTATTAACGACAAAAACCACCGCAACCGGGTAATCCTACCCGGGTTCCCTTCTGCAAGGTCCCTTGTGATATTGTGGAGTAGTGCTCGCAGGACTATCATCGGTATTACTGTGCCGCGTCTACTTTGGAAGTAGGTGATACACCGTGAAATAAAAGCAAAAGATTGCCTAGGCGAGATATTCTGTGAGATAGCAAATGCCATTGCTGCTTTAGTTGCTGCCTTGGTCGCTTTCACGAGCTTACGTCTCGTGATGAACTTGACAGGTCTTTGCCTTTGCCTTTGCCTTTGCTCTTCCAGTAGCCGCTTTACCCGCATAGCACTTAAAACTTTGTAATGCCTGGATGACCGGTTTCCTATCAGAGTTTTCAAGGTCTCGGTAGACAAGTTAGTGTCCCAGAAATTTTTAGTGTCGGCCTTTCTTTTGCCTCTCGCTCTACTTTCTCTATAGAGACTTAAGATTTCTATGGCTAGGACTGGATCGCCCATCCCAATAGCAATATTAGCTAGGGGGGTTGCCGGGCTCTTGGCAAGGATTCGCATCCCTTTCGCGAAGTTCATAATATCTTGCTCTCGGCCGAGTTGATTGAGGAACTCGTAAAGGCCTTTCGCAAGGCGAAATTGGCCTGTCTTCCACAGTGCCATGCCAAAGTAACCGTAGCACGTCGAGTCCTTCCTTCGAGTTCGCTGGAGCACATTGTAGAATTTTACGTGATACTTAAGCGAAGAACCACACCTAACCAGATACATTTCGCAAATCTCTCTCCTCGAAAGAGGCTTTGTGTCTTTGCCAGCTTCAAGAATACAAGCTGTCTGTACAAGGTAACGGTCATCTACGCTTGGTAACCGGGCTAAAAGTTGTAGCCATCCCAGACGCATTCGGGGGAAATATACGTCTGTCGATTCCCTATGCATCAACAAATAATGGGTACCGCTTTCTAATATATGGAGATGATCGGCTAGGTTAAGTCTCCTTAAGGGTTCGGCTATTTTATTAGTTTGCCGGATCACAGCCGAACGCTTCCAGCTACGGCCTGAGGCAATCAAGTAGGTACGCAAATTTGCTAGAACCCCTGTTGATACGTCGTTTAAGTAATCGTCCGGTATATGATCCATAGCTTTTGTAAAGATGCGTATGCTATTAATCCGCAACTCTGAAATTCTTTGTAATAAGTCGCACCAAAAAAAGTCGTCTAGAGAGCTATGCTCTTGTACTCGGTGGCTAGAAAGACCTACAATAGTTGCGTCGAGTAGATCTAGCTTAATTCGATCAACGGCCCATTCCAAAGGCTGCCCAGGGCCTGCTCGTGGTGTATTAACCCCCTCTTGGATGCCATCTAATACGGCGCAGACAACGTCGCCAGAGTAAAAGCCGCCGGCAAGGTAATCTTTCCAACTACGGCAGAACTCTGTAAAATTTGGCCTTGTTGCTGCTGTTGCCTCAGATTCTAAATCCCGAAAGATGAGATTTAGCCCGGTATCGATGACTTGCGTCGGTGTAGTCTGAGCGTCCCAAGTAATGTTTGGTAATGAGTTGTCTGCAACCCATTCTTTTGGCATGATACCATCATGGGAAGGCTCAGCAAACCAGTTCAGCATGGCTCCTGCCAAGGTCCGTTCCTGTGCGCTCTCGTCTCGGTGCTGTCGAAGTCGCGTACGAGGCGGTGATGGCGGTTTCCAACGCCATTGTGTCAGGTCTGCCAAATTCTCAAGCCCCCATAGCGGCGAGGCAGAGCGTAAGTGACCTGGGTTCAGTTCTACCATGTGTCTTTTTCCCATACGCCTTCGATTCTCCATCGGACCGGGAACAGAGGAGCCATAACGAGCGGTTGTCCTTGACTTCGCACAGTAACGATCGAATGCGGCGGCGAGAAGAGCCTCCGGGATCCAAATGCTATCGTTTTGCGGACGTATGTGACGGTTGGCGGCTCGACGACATTGCGAAGCCAAGGCGGGAGACATGAGCGGAGGGGAGGTAGAGGAGGATAGGACGTATAAATCCTCCTTTCAACTTTCAATCATGAGAAAATTTGATAGATCTAGTCAAATCATTTCAAATAAACAAGTATTAGTCGATGTTTCCGCCAACGGTTATAATACACCCGGTCGACGCGATTGGGCGTCAACGAGGTTACATGAGTATTAAATTGTGAAAGCTTGTGAAAGAATTGAAGTCGAAAAGTTGGAGCTTGGAAAACAATTGAAAGAAGCTTATTGGTCCAGCTCTAGCTTCTCGTCTCCACTATGAGCATTCTGTACTGGATGATGTATAGTGGATTCCTTACATAAGACGACTTACAGGGGCACATCCCACCATTGGAGCTAACAAACCGTGGGGTCAAACGAAGACGGGGAGGGACGGGGCGACCTTCACATTGCCTCAAGATTTCCCCCAAGACATAATTCTTTTTTCCTTCCAATTATATTCTAAGCGCATTCCTCACTAATAATGGCTCACGATTTTGCGCCGTTAACCAACGATCTGATCCTAAGGACAGCAAGAGGTGTGTATTATCCCATCTTCGTCACTATTCCACCAAAGCATACTAATCCGAGTTGTTGCATAACGCAGGTGAGGATGTAGAACGCGCGCCAATATGGATCATGCGTCAAGGTATATACACATAGTCAGCTCGAACATAAGGACGTTCAATTGCTGATGGCCTCGTCAGCTGGTCGGTATCTACCCGAATACCACGAAGCCAAGGGCAAACGTGACTTCTTCGAATGTTGCCGAGACCCCGAGGTCGCCTCAACCCTGACTCTGCAGCCCATTGAGCGGTTCGCCGGCCTGCTAGACGCCTCAATCATCTTCTCCGACATCCTCGTCGTACCGCAGGCCCTGGGAATGATCGTCGAGATGGTAGATAAGAAGGGGCCACACTTCCCGGATCCGTTGAGGTCGCCCGACGATGGTCAATACTCCAAGGTCCTCAACAAGAATGTTGATGTCGCGGCTGAGCTGGATTACGTATATAAGGCGATAACCTTGACGAGGAAGAAGTTGAAAGGCCGTGTGCCGCTAATTGGCTTCTGCGGTGCTCCCTGGACTCTCTTTTGCTATATGGTCGAAGGAGGTGGTACGAAGCTGTTCATCGAGAGTAAGAAGTGGATTTACCGACACCCCGAGGAATCAAAGGCCTTACTTCAGAAGATATCAGAGGTCTGCGTGGAATACCTAGCGCTGCAGGTCAAAGCAGGCGCTCAATTGGTTCAAGTCTTCGACTCGTGGGCAGGGGAGCTCTCACCCTCGACATTCAAGAAGTTCAGTGAGCCTTACCTAGCTTACATCTCGGAGAATTTACCGAAGAGGCTGGCGGAGCTGGGCTTAGAGCGTGTGCCCATGATTGTTTTCGCTAAGGGAGCCAATTTCGCACTAGACTCGGTTTGCAATCTAGGCTACGACGTTGTGGGTTTGGATTGGCAGATCGACCCGGCTGAGGCCGTCAAGATCCGGGGAAACAGGCGGATTGTCTTTCAGGGGAATGCGGACCCGGGAGTTTTGTACGGGACAAGAGCGTCCATATCTGAGACGGTAGGGGAAATGGTTAAAGGTTTTGGGGGCGGCAAGAAGGGCTGGATTGCCAATCTTGGTCACGGTATCACACCATTGGTGAACCCGGAAGATCTAAAGTTCTATCTACAGGAAATCCAGCGATTGACTAGTAGGTAACGAAGCCCTCTAGAATCTACTTTATGAGCTAGCGAATCTAGATGCCCTAAAGAGAGAGAAAAAGGTTACCTATTGATCTGGAAAGCTTCTGTCCAGGTCTATTCCGCTCCTAATTGCTGTTAGAACACTATGCTTCATAAAAGCAAATAAATTAGTGTCAAGGTTTCAACTTTCACTTACCATGAGACTGACCATGCCACCTTTCCGCCCAGACTCTTGCAAACCCTTTGGCTCTTTGGATTATCCGGGGCGACATCCGCCCAGCAATGCTCATCATCATCGTACTCCTTCAAGCGCTCGCGCAGAATCTTAACGGCTGCGGCCTTAGCAAAGCCTTTACCGCGCCACTCCTCCTCGCAGTGCAGGTTGCTCAGCGAAGAATCGGGTCCTAGTATGACCCATGCGATAGGCGTGCCGTCGCTTTGGTAGACGGCCATGCTAGGCAGTAGTATGATAGTTCTCCTGTATATATATATATCTCATTAACTCCCTAATTCGAAACTACAAACATATGTGTAGGTACCTAGGTAGGTAGTAAAGGAGTAAAACGAAAAAGGGGAAACATACTCTTTCCGCGAGATTTTAGTCCGCGACAACATAAGCGGGATATCCTCCCTCCTAACAGCCCTCCACTCCATCCCCTCCTTAAGCGGACTCGGCACCTCAGGCAGCCCGTCCAGGCTAAACATCCACTTGTCGAACACCGCCACATAGCTAAACACGATACCGCGATTCAGCAGCGCCAGCCTCGTAGTCTCGCTCAGCGTCCCGGCAAGTACCCTAGCCGGATGCACATCCAGCCCGTCTAGTCTTTGTACCGCAGCGTGTTGCGTCCCAGGGGCGTAGAACGCCTCGCGGATGGCCTTGACTTCGCGCAGGATGTAGTACGCGCACTCTGCCGCTAACTCCTCGGCGCTCTTGCCGCCGGAGGCCGCGGACGCGAGGGTGCCGGGGCGTCGCTCTAGTGATGAGTATAGCCAGATCTCGGTCTCGGGGCCGCGCGAGAGGTCTAGGTATGCGGCTGCGAAGGGGGTGTCTTGGGTGTGGTCGCGGGGCTTTAGGCCCGGTGCTGAGGCGAATAGGATGCGTGCGTGCTCCGTGATACCCCCCGGGAAGCGTGTGAAACGCAGGCGCCGGAGCAGTGGTAGTGCATATGGGCGGTGGTGCGCTTGTAAGAGGTTGATTAGGTCTTCCGGAGGCTGCGTGTACACGGTTACGGCCACGGCCACGGCCACAGATGCGTCTACAGACATCTTACCGATTTTTCCCTTTCTGATTATCTGCTTATTCGTATTGATAGAGGAGTAAAGAAAACGAGTTGGAGAGTAAGTGGGGGAAATAATTTAAATTTAAGTAGTATAGAACCGGGGCAGGACTTGCCGGCTCATATCGAGACGGCCACCGGACTTTGATATTTATCGGCGTTGTCCCCGGCATCGCGGGTCTCGTCGTGACTCATGAAGGATTCCGCGGTCGGCACGGGTTTCATTTCGGAGTCATGATGCTACAAATACCTACCTACCTACCTACCTACCTAGGTTAGGTGCTTCTCGATACCACATTCTAACCCCAACTCATTTTACATTTTACTACCGCGTAACCTCTACGTTTATTGTGACCAGTATCGGCACCGTCAAGCGCTTTGATATAGTATTAGGTCAGAAACCCCCCTCCCCTCCCCCTCACTCCTTACTTCTCGAATCTACATGCCCCCCCCCCCCCCCAAGAATATAGACAAATCTCCAAGGCTACCCCCACCATGTATATGGTATCTATAAAGAGGCTCTAAGTCATCTGATATTCCAGAAAGGCTCTCGACCCAACAACAACTTGACTGGTTGCTGACATGTACCACCCAAAAAGAATTACCGCAAACTACTACCATATTATAGAACTGTCGTACTCGGGAAGTCCTGCATGGTAGCTGATGCGCAGTGAGATAAAAAAGACTCGCCGGTTATATGTTACACCAGTACATAAGAGCCTCATCTTCTTACCCCAGCTACATGCTGATTCGATACTAAGAAAGTAAGACGGAAGAGAATGACCCAACAAGATCCGTATATCAGGAGTAATAAGACAAGACGTAAACCAAACTCCGGACATGTCACTTTACAGCTAGTTAGATTATATCAAGCACAACAATACCTAATAGAGTATAGTCATCGTGTAACACTTGTTTATTATGCCTAAGTACCTAACTTGTAAGTTTTGGTATCATCGTGACCCCTGACGCTGCGTGATTGCCAATGCCCTCTCTCTAATACCACAACCGGTTTCCATTCTCATAGCCCACCATCCGTCCTCCTTTTATTCCATAACATAAAAAAAGACAACCCGTAACTCCATGCTCGCCCACACCGGCACCATCGTCGTGGTATATCGGAATAAGAAAGCAAAGCAAAGCAAAACAAAACAAAACGAAACACACAACTTGCAATACGCCTACCCCTCGGCCCGTAACTCAATCCCATCGATCCGCTCGTCTTGAACAATACCATCTCGAGGATTTTCCTTTCGAGATCCCTTTTTCTTCGCCTTTCTTCTCAAGGCAGCCTAAACCTTCTTGAAGAACTCCTTGGCCTTAGCTGCCAACCCATTAGCATGGCCCTTGCCGCCGTGGTGGTCCTCAGCGCCGGCAGCAGCCGAACCGTCCAGGCTCGTCTTTGAGATCTCGGCCTCCTCGCTATTCAGCCTCACGACGTTAGCTGCTCCTCCGCGCCCGACGTGGGTTGCGCCTTGGCTGGGTCGTCGCTCAATACTAGAGAATTGACCATAGTTATTAGTAAAATTTCCGTCTATCGATTTCTTTGCTGCCTAATCCGACAACCCTCGGCGGGGTAGATGAAAGGTGCTAGACTTACGGTCCGACATCCTGGCGTGCTCGCGTCTCGACGGGATCCTTGTTCGGCGCCATGTTACCGGAGCCACCACGGCCGGTGGTGACGACGGATGTTTTCAGAGTCGGAGTCTCGAGGTCAGTCGGCTGGATCCTAGGGGATTTGGAGACGTCGGCGATGTTGCCGGCGCCGCCTCGGCCGGTCGAAGTCATTTGTCCCGTCATCTTCTCAAAGCGTCTGTCCGAGAGTCCTAGGAGCTTTGAATGGGGGAAATCGCTATAGCTATAAGAGCGCGGGGGAGTATAAAGGTTACGAAGATGGTGTATGTAGGCGTATTAGAATAGTTCAGTAGCTTGAACCGTCGAGAGCAAATGCAACAATAATAAAAACGAGGCTCAGAACAAAGAGAAGCGCCTAAGTTGATAAATGCCTAACTCGCTCTTAGGAATTGCGCAATCTGGCTGGGCAACAGACGATCACCTCGGTACAGCTGTGTGCGATTGAGTTAGATCTACAAAATACCAAAGCAGCAAAGGCATGTAAAGTTCCTCTTACAGTATCACGAGCATAGCACTATAAATAAAATATTATACCTTATAATACACTCGGGCGTACCTACTTTTCAATCACAAGACTATAAAAAAAAAAACTTTTCCCACTTACACTAACTAGACGAAAAAAAAACCCCGAAAAAAAAGAAAGACCCTTACAACCAAGAAAAAAAAAAAAAAAAAAAAAAAAAATCGTCACGTCACTCGCGCCGCCCGAATGCCAAAGCAGAGTTTCGCCCAGGTCCCCACCGCCCAAAACCAGCCAACGGGATGAGGTAACTAAGACGTAATAGAAACGGCGGGTGATCCAAAGTGCCTGCCAGCCAGCCAGCCAGCCAGCCCAGCACGCAGGTCCCTAAGGTCCGTAAGATGTCTTAGGCATTACAACCCTAATGCTAGCGGGTGGTGTGCCGTTGCCGTTGCCGTCCAGCCGTCTCGACCTCTTGGCTTCTGTGATAGTCGGGATTTAGCACCGAGCTACTACGAAGTGACTTTTCTAGTGTGAGGTACCTACCTACCTACCTACATCCATATTCCTATTGAACCTACATACCTAAACTCGCATCGTCTTAGGTAAGGCAACCCATCTTGAAGTTAGGTACTTCCCTAGGCCAGGTCATTATTCCCACGCGCTACGTCCAAGTAAAACAGCCCAGAGAAGGCTTCAAAAACAGGTTCTCGATGAGACGGTCTATCCGTCCAGCAAGATCTGCCCAATCTGCTACCTAGCTCGAATCTACCGTACATATGTAAAGCTAAGCCGTCTCGCCTTACCGGAAATACGGGTTCCCGTTTGCCCCCTTCCCCTTCCCCATACCTATCAGATTAGGTTTTTATCGCGGCTCAGCTTAGATCGATCAATCTGATACATATGATATGATATGTAGTATATGATCCGAGCGAGCTAGCTAGCAGGTAGCCAGTTAGGTAACTGATTGGTTGGCGCATTTACTCTACCGATCTATCGATATTATCATCTTCGATGAAAGCGATATGTAGCAACGTAGATGCACGAGGATAAAAAAAAACGGGACAATCCTGTTGTCTTATATGTACTTCAATGTTGAAGAGATTAAGTAGGACGAGTCCTCGTTAATAGCACGGGAAAGCACGTATGTATAGGTATATACAGTATAACTAGGGCAGGTACATCAGGTGTCTTTGTATACATCCTCAGTCCGACCTCGCATCTTCCTCAACTTACAAACGTCCATACATGCAATGCAATACATGGGAATCCCTATGCCAGTCCGTATACTCTCCACCGATACCATCATCAGACGACTTTCCATCTGCACATGTATATCCGATTAATATTACCTAGTCCAATGTTGGTTAGGTTACATAGTACTTCCGTTCCACGTTTCATTCTGAATCATACCTAGATTAAGAACCAAAAAAAAAAAAAAAAAAAAAAAGGTCGGGATATTTCCTTTCGGTCTTATCTCATCGAACGTTACCTTATCCGTTTGTTCTATGTATCTAAGCCCAAGCCAAAAGCCAAAAGCCAAAAGCCAAAAAGTGGTTCGGTGGCGCAACACGCACACGCACACGCACACGCACACACACCTGTCATGTCCATTGTCATCCCAAGAATTTAAAGATAAAGTTACACCACATTTCTGTAGCATACCAAATTGTCGGGGCTGTCAATACATATATCCACGCGGCATCCTACGCCACCTCATTGGACATGTCCTGCATGTGAATATTACAATATTACCACGCGGTCTTTAGCAGACCTACTCATCGGACTTATGAATAAGATACGAATGAGCTTCGAGCATCGACTTAAAGACCTGTAATTAATTAATCAATCGGCGATAACGAGCCTCGTCAGTCCATCATCAAGACCAATTCGGTATGCCGGTATGCCTTCGTTATCATCTATGAAGGTCACAATTTACAAATGGTAGAGTCAGAAATAAGGTGTTCGCCATAGTCGCGCGTGGGAAAGCTACTACAAATCCCAAGCAACCAATGACGCATACATATTTTCTAAATTCATCGCTTTCATATCTGACCTGTACTATGGCGGGTATATTGCAGAACCAAACCATCGGTTTGTAAACGTAAAACGTAAAAAACCTAGTTAACCTCAGGTAGGTATGCTAGGGCCGAGCTGGCTGATTTTAAATTCGCCCCTTTAGTCGCCTGAACCTCGTCTTTTGCCGGCATCAAATGGGCCTCTCTGTTCTGCACCTTGTAATCCAAGATCCATTCCGCCACATACCTGTTTTGTTAAATGATATGAGCGCACGTGCCGTGATGAGCACGTCGTGGCGAGATAGCTTTTCCTGTTCTGAACTTGATGTCACCGGGCAATGACATACCCGTATTCTCATCAATGGGAGCCGACACCGTCCTTGTACCCGAAAACAGAATATCGAAGGTAATTTATCTTAGTTTTCATCTTCGTCATCCGATCCTCGGCCTTTGCTCCCTTTCCCGTCCTGGCCGTCCTTTCTGATCGGGATCTTAACACCCTGCACAGCGAAGCATTTGCTGAGAGCAGTGCTTTCGCAGACACCTGGAAATTTCTTTGCTGAATATACTTGGAACTTCTCGCTGAAGACCTGCGCAAGGACTGGAGCCCTGCCTCTATTTAGGAGTTCGGCATCGCTGCCGCCATTAGTTATCGCATCTGGCCGCCGTAGGTTGATGAAGGAAAATCGTAATCTGTATATATCATGTAAGCGTGTGGTAAGTGGCTTACGCTTGGCGACTTACCTAAACCACCCTTCTGTCCGGACACTTAAATCCTGTAAAATAAACCAAATTCCAATCTTATCTGTGGGGTCGGTGAGACGCGAAGCGCTTGCAGCGAGGCTACCGATGAGATTTCTCGTATACATGCCGTTTGGTGATTGAGGTCCCATTAGACGGTTGTGTGTCATCTGATGTCCCGACATATCCTGGGAGAACCGGGGTCCGAACATGGGCTGCGAGGGCAATTGAGGTACGCCCGGTACCATGTCATTTCGGTAACCGCCACCGGGATAGCCATACTGTTGGGCTTGTGGGGGATAACCGTATCCTAGACAATATGTAAGACATGAAAAAATCAGATGAGCATAAACGGGGTCTTTCTACCTTGGCCATACGGGTCTGGCTGATAAGGAGACATTGCGTGAGGGTAAGCAGGGCTAGGTTGCTGTGCGTATTCGCGGTTTGACGGCACAATGGACTGGTATCCATAACCTCCCGCCTGGCTTCCCTCGATCACTTCTCGGAAAGATGAAGCTTGCGTGGACGAAATCGACGGCGACTGCTGAGAATGCTTGACAAGGTTGACCTCCTTGTCTCCATTTTCGGACCAGAGATCCACGTGTAATACATAATGTTGATGTTCAACCTCGCTGGCCCAAGGTTAGTTCTAATCTAAAGAATGGCAAGGCTGCGCTCCACACACTTGCAATCTACTTCTTTGCCCGTAGTCTTATCCATCACTACTAGTCTGATGCAGGGCGGGGGAGTAATAGGCCGTCGGTCCTGGTTGATATTAGCGTCTAATTGGCACAGACAAACGGTGAAGACAAAACGCGCCCACCTTGTCACCAAAACCGCACATTCTCGCCCTTAGAGGTTGTTGAACCACCTCAAGTCTACATCGCTCGTCAGTTCCCAAATCCCTAGAATTAACAAGCTCTAGAGGCTATTGTTAAGAGTTGAGATTACCTATATTTCCTAGTCGCGTCGGTGCCCTCAATTGGCTGGGGAGCCGGTTTGTCTTTTTCTTCAGGACCAGGCTTGGAAGAAAGTGGATTAGGACCAGAACTGGTGACGCCGTTCTCTGTCGTACCGAGCTCACCAGCACGATCTCTGGGACCTGGCATGTTGGGCGGGGCCATATTCGTTCGCGGCGGAGGCATGTTTGCACGGTGAGGGTTGGTTATGGGATCTTGCTGATAGCTAAAAGACAATGGGGGAGGAAGTTGGGCATAGCCCGGATGGTGTGCGGAAGGGCCTGACATCTCGGGCGCATAAGCTTGCGAGTGGTGGACAGGCGGAGCCGGATATCCTGAACTCATGTTGTCCCGATCTCTTGCTCCCCCTTAGCTACTACGCAAATTATCCTCAAACTCTTACGCAACGCTCTCTCTGTCGACTTCGGTAGTACTCTTACGCCTATGAAGCTGCGGACGTAAGGTCTGTAAGATTTGTATGGTGGGATGAAAGGAGGATGGTTGAGAGGTAGGTAGGTAGTCGGTTAAGGTCGAGGTGAAATGGGTAAGCTTAAAGGTGGAATTATGCCGTGCTCGAAAAAACGTATAGAGGGTGGAGTGTTTGTCCTCTAAGAAGAATGTGAGCACTATATAGGTAAGGTAGATAAATGTACAGGGAGCAGCGGTAAAGATGCTAGCTAGCTAAGCTTGCTTAGGTTCATGCGATCAAGGGTATCTCGGCGGTGGGACCTAGCGGGAAACCCACAGCTTTAGTTTACCTTTCCAATGGAACGAGGCAAGACCTTCGCGGGGCGAGAAAGTTACCTGTATAGATCGGACGGTTTATTGCTGTCAAAGTTTGTTTACTATGCGGTAGAAATAAGGTGGGATGATTATTTTTTTTGACCGTCGAATATGGAGAAACGTGGTTGGAGAAAATAAAATAAAATAAAACAAAACCATGTAAGACAGTCCCGCCCAAGCTCTTAAGGGACACCTGCTGTGATCAACTGGGGGATTAGGAGAGGCGCAAACCTTATTAAAGTAGAAGCGCCACCAGCCGATTGGAGAGGCAAGGGTCTTTAGCAGGTACACCTGTATCGTACAATTTCACATTACAGTGTCAGAGTGTCCAGGTGCTATGTGCAGCTTGTAGCTTGTAGCTTGTAGCTTGTAGCTTGTAGCTTGTAGCTTGTATCCGTAGCTCGTCCCTGTTTGTCCAGCTTTTGGGGGGTGGTGGGGAGAAAGTGGTAGTGGGGGGCGGGCAACCGTGGACTGTGGGAGGAGGTTAAGATCTAAGTAGACTAGCATATAAAAGTGTAGAATGGTAGATTGTAGGTACACTATGTATTGCACCTACCTCAATTTGTACCTACTAGGCAGATTTGCGTGGGAGATTTTAGTCCGTAAGTACATGCACTTGAGAAAAAAAATACATGCATATATATTTTGTC